CCCTGTCTACTCTAACACCTGCCCCTCGTCTAGCCCCTGTCTACTCTAACACCTGGCCCTCGTCTAGCCCCTGTCTAACACCTGCCCCTGGTCTAGCCCCTGTCTAACACCTGCCCCTGGTCTAGCCCCTGTCTAACACCTGCCCCTGGTCTAGCCCCTGTCTAACACCTGCCCCTGGTCTAGCCCCTGTCTAACACCTGCCCCTCGTCTAGCCCCTGTCTACTCAAACACCTGCCCCTCGTCTAGCCCCTGTCTAACACCTGCCCCTGGTCTAGCCCCTGTCTACTCTAACACCTGCCCCTCGTCTAGCCCCTGTCTAACACCTGCCCCTCGTCTAGCCCCTGTCTACTCTAACACCTGCCCCTCGTCTAGCCCCTGTCTAACACCTGCCCCTCGTCTAGCCCCTGTCTACTCTAACACCTGCCCCTCGTCTAGCCCCTGTCTAACACCTGCCCCTCGTCTAGCCCCTGTCTACTCTAACACCTGCCCCTCGTCTAGCCCCTGTCTAACACCTGCCCCTCGTCTAACCCCTGTCTAACACCTGCCCCTCGTCTAGCCCCTGTCTAACACCTGCCCCTAGTCTTGCCCCTGTCTAACACCTGCCCCTCGTCTAACCCCTGTCTAACACCTGCCCCTCGTCTAGCCCCTGTCTACTCTAACACCTGCCCCTCGTCTAGCCCCTGTCTAACACCTGCCCCTCGTCTAGCCCCTGTCTAACACCTGCCCCTCGTCTAGCCCCTGTCTAACACCTGGCCCTCGTCTAGCCCCTGTCTAACACCTGCCCCTCGTCTAGCCCCTGTCTACTCTAACACCTGCCCCTCGTCTAGCCCCTGTCTACTCTAACACCTGCCCCCCGTCTAGCCCCTGTCTAACACCTGCCCCTCGTCTAGCCCCTGTCTAACACCTGCCCCTCGTCTAGCCCCTGTCTAACACCTGCCCCTCGTCTAGCCCCTGTCTACTCTAACACCTGCCCCTCGTCTAGCCCCTGTCTAACACCTGCCCCTCGTCTAGCCCCTGTCTAACACCTGCCCCTCGTCTAGCCCCAGTCTAACACCTGCCCCTCGTCTAGCCCCTGTCTAACACCTGGCCCTCGTCTAGCCCCTGTCTAACACCTGCCCCTCGTCTAGCCCCTGTCTAACACCTGCCCCTCGTCTAGCCCCTGTCTAACACCTGGCCCTCGTCTAGCCCCTGTCTAACACCTGCCCCTCGTCTAGCCCCTGTCTAACACCTGCCCCTCGTCTAGCCCCTGTCTAACACCTGCCCCTGGTCTAGCCCCTGTCTAACACCTGCCCCTCGTCTAGCCCCTGTCTACTCTAACACCTGCCCCTCGTCTAGCCCCTGTCTACTCTAACACCTGCCCCTCGTCTAGCCCCTGTCTAACACCTGCCCCTCGTCTAGCCCCTGTCTACTCTAACACCTGCCCCTCGTCTAGCCCCTGTCTAACACCTGCCCCTCGTCTAGCCCCTGTCTAACACCTGCCCCTCGTCTAGCCCCTGTCTACTCTAACACCTGCCCCTCGTCTAGCCCCTGTCTAACACCTGCCCCTCGTCTAGCCCCTGTCTAACACCTGCCCCTCGTCTAGCCCCAGTCTAACACCTGCCCCTCGTCTAGCCCCTGTCTAACACCTGGCCCTCGTCTAGCCCCTGTCTAACACCTGCCCCTCGTCTAGCCCCTGTCTAACACCTGCCCCTCGTCTAGCCCCTGTCTAACACCTGCCCCTCGTCTAGCCCCTGTCTAACACCTGCCCCTGGTCTAGCCCCTGTCTAACACCTGCCCCTCGTCTAACCCCTGTCTACTCTAACACCTGCCCCTCGTCTAGCCCCTGTCTAACACCTGCCCCTCGTCTAGCCCCTGTCTAACACCTGCCCCTCGTCTAGCCCCTGTCTAACACCTGCCCCTGGTCTAGCCCCTGTCTAACACCTGCCCCTCGTCTAGCCCCTGTCTAACACCTGCCCCTCGTCTAGCCCCTGTCTAACACCTGCCCCTCGTCTAGCCCCTGTCTACTCTAACACCTGCCCCTCGTCTAGCCCCTGTCTAACACCTGCCCCTCGTCTAGCCCCTGTCTAACACCTGCCCCTCGTCTAGCCCCTGTCTAACACCTGCCCCTCGTCTAGCCTCTGTCTACTCTAACACCTGCCCCTCGTCTAGCCCCTGTCTACTCTAACACCTGCCCCTCGTCTAGCCCCTGTCTACTCTAACACCTGCCCCTCGTCTAGCCCCTGTCTACTCTAACACCTGCCCCTCGTCTAGCCCCTGTCTAACACCTGCCCCTCGTCTAGCCCCTGTCTAACACCTGCCCCTGGTCTAGCCCCTGTCTAACACCTGCCCCTCGTCTAGCCCCTTTCTAACACCTGCCCCTGGTCTAGCCCCTGTCTACTCTAACACCTGCCCCTCGTCTAGCCCCTGTCTAACACCTGCCCCTCGTCTAGCCCCTGTCTAACACCTGCCCCTCGTCTAGCCCCTGTCTAACACCTGCCCCTCGTCTAGCCCCTGTCTAACACCTGCCCCTCGTCTAGCCCCTGTCTAACACCTGCCCCTGGTCTAGCCCCTGTCTAACACCTGCCCCTCGTCTAGCCCCTGTCTAACACCTGCCCCTGGTCTAGCCCCTGTCTAACACCTGCCCCTCGTCTAGCCCCTGTCTAACACCTGCCCCTCGTCTAGCCCCTGTCTAACACCTGCCCCTCGTCTAGCCCCTGTCTACTCTAACACCTGCCCCTGGTCTAGCCCCTGTCTAACACCTGCCCCTCGTCTAGCCCCTGTCTAACACCTGCCCCTCGTCTAGCCCCTGTCTAACACCTGCCCCTCGTCTAGCCCCTGTCTACTCTAACACCTGCCCCTCGTCTAGCCCCTGTCTAACACCTGCCCCTCGTCTAGCCCCTGTCTAACACCTGCCCCTCGTCTAGCCCCTGTCTAACACCTGCCCCTCGTCTAGCCTCTGTCTACTCTAACACCTGCCCCTCGTCTAGCCCCTGTCTACTCTAACACCTGCCCCTCGTCTAGCCCCTGTCTACTCTAACACCTGCCCCTCGTCTAGCCCCTGTCTACTCTAACACCTGCCCCTCGTCTAGCCCCTGTCTAACACCTGCCCCTCGTCTAGCCCCTGTCTAACACCTGCCCCTGGTCTAGCCCCTGTCTAACACCTGCCCCTCGTCTAGCCCCTTTCTAACACCTGCCCCTGGTCTAGCCCCTGTCTACTCTAACACCTGCCCCTCGTCTAGCCCCTGTCTAACACCTGCCCCTCGTCTAGCCCCTGTCTAACACCTGCCCCTCGTCTAGCCCCTGTCTAACACCTGCCCCTCGTCTAGCCCCTGTCTAACACCTGCCCCTCGTCTAGCCCCTGTCTAACACCTGCCCCTGGTCTAGCCCCTGTCTAACACCTGCCCCTCGTCTAGCCCCTGTCTAACACCTGCCCCTGGTCTAGCCCCTGTCTAACACCTGCCCCTCGTCTAGCCCCTGTCTAACACCTGCCCCTCGTCTAGCCCCTGTCTAACACCTGCCCCTCGTCTAGCCCCTGTCTACTCTAACACCTGCCCCTCGTCTAGCCCCTGTCTAACACCTGCCCCTCGTCTAGCCCCTGTCTAACACCTGCCCCTCGTCTAGCCCCTGTCTAACACCTGCCCCTCGTCTAGCCCCTGTCTAACACCTGCCCCTCGTCTAGCCCCTGTCTAACACCTGCCCCTCGTCTAGCCCCTGTCTAACACCTGCCCCTCGTCTAGCCCCTGTCTACTCTAACACCTGCCCCTCGTCTAGCCCCTGTCTACTCTAACACCTGGCCCTCGTCTAGCCCCTGTCTAACACCTGCCCCTCGTCTAGCCCCTGTCTAACACCTGCCCCTCGTCTAGCCCCTGTCTAACACCTGCCCCTCGTCTAGCCCCTGTCTAACACCTGCCCCTCGTCTAGCCCCTGTCTACTCTAACACCTGCCCCTCGTCTAGCCCCTGTCTAACACCTGCCCCTCGTCTAGCCCCTGTCTAACACCTGCCCCTCGTCTAGCCCCTGTCTAACACCTGCCCCTCGTCTAGCCCCTGTCTAACACCTGCCCCTGGTCTAGCCCCTGTCTAACACCTGCCCCTCGTCTAGCCCCTGTCTAACACCTGCCCCTCGTCTAGCCCCTGTCTAACACCTGCCCCTCGTCTAGCCCCTGTCTAACACCTGCCCCTCGTCTAGCCCCTGTCTACTCTAACACCTGCCCCTGGTCTAGCCCCTGTCTAACACCTGCCCCTCGTCTAGCCCCTGTCTACTCTAACACCTGCCCCTCGTCTAGCCCCTGTCTACTCTAACACCTGCCCCTGGTCTAGCCCCTGTCTAACACCTGCCCCTCGTCTAGCCCCTGTCTACTCTAACACCTGCCCCTCGTCTAGCCCCTGTCTACTCTAACACCTGGCCCTCGTCTAGCCCCTGTCTACTCTAACACCTGCCCCTCGTCTAGCCCTTGTCTAACACCTGCCCCTCGTCTAGCCCCTGTCTAACACCTGCCCCTGGTCTAGCCCCTGTCTAACACCTGCCCCTGGTCTAGCCCCTGTCTAACACCTGCCCCTCGTCTAGCCCCTGTCTACTCTAACACCTGCCCCTCGTCTAGCCCTTGTCTAACACCTGCCCCTCGTCTAGCCCCTGTCTAACACCTGCCCCTGGTCTAGCCCCTGTCTAACACCTGCCCCTGGTCTAGCCCCTGTCTAACACCTGCCCCTCGTCTAGCCCCTGTCTAACACCTGCCCCCCGTCTAGCCCCTGTCTAACACCTGCCCCTCGTCTAGCCCCTGTCTAACACCTGCCCCTCGTCTAGCCCCTGTCTACTCTAACACCTGCCCCTGGTCTAGCTCCTGTCTAACACCTGCCCCTGGTCTAGCCCCTGTCTAACACCTGCCCCTGGTCTAGCCCCTGTCTAACACCTGCCTCTGGTCTAGCCCCTGTCTAACACCTGCCCCTCGTCTAGCCCCTGTCTACTCTAACACCTGCCCCTGGTCTCGCCCCTGTCTAACACCTGCACGTGCCCACTCCCCAGAGTGAGTACCTCAACATGGTGGAGCAGTGTATGAACTTCGCCTGTGAACTGATGGACCTGTGCCGCGGGACCCAGGAGGTCGAGGCCGTGCTCAGCGAGAGTGACGAGGGCACGGAGAGGGACCCGTTGGCCCGCTTAAAGATGGCCATCCGGTATATGGAGAAAAAAGTAAGCGATTGGTTGGCCACTTCACAGTTTGGTTGCTTTCAGACATTTTTCTCCGGGGGGGGGGGGGGAAGCAGGAAACTGTTTAATGTTTATATTTTTATTTTCTTCATTAAATAAATATTTTTTGTTTTCGTTAGCGGGAGGGGGAGGGGGGTGCTGTAATCTTGCTTCAGGGGTGGGACAAGGGTGGCTGTGCCTGAAAGAAATTCTAAAAGAAACCGTTCTACTTCACCTACCATGTTTAGTCTTTGATCGAGTGCCTTATACGTAAATACCTGAAGATTTACAAATATGCATATGATATAACAGCTGATGTTGTGTTTGTGTACCTGCAGTTTGTAGCCCACCCAAACTGCCAACAACACATGACCTCCATCTGGTACGGCTCGGAGATGGGATTCTTGCAGTCTCTCAACGGCCTGATGCAGTTCTTGTATCTCATCATCTTCCTTCCTGCCATTCCCTTCATGTGTGTGCTCTACATCGTCGCACCAGGCAGCAAGGTCAGTCTAACTACCCAACACACAAGGTCAGTCTAAGTGCTCACACACACAACTTCAGTCTAACTACCAAAACACGTAAGGTCAATCTAAATAACCAAACACATCTTGTTTTTCCCCAAAGACACACGTGTCCATCTTGTTTCTCCCCAGTTTGGCGCCGTAATGCGCTGCCCTGTGACCAAGTTCATCACCCACACCACCTCACACATGTGCTTCCTCATCCTGCTCGCTGCGGCAACTTTTCGCATTTCAGAGTCCAACGATGCCATCACTAGTTCCAGTAAGTCTTTTAGTATATCAATGACCAACGATGCCATCACTAGTTCCAGTAAGTCTTTTAGTATATCAATGACCAACGATGCCATCACTAGTTCCAGTAAGTCTTTTAGTATATCAATGACCAACGATGCCATCACTAGTTCCAGTAAGTCTTTTAGTATATCAATGACCAATGATGCCATTACTAGTTCCAGTAAGTCTTTTAGTATATCAATGACCAATGATGCCATTACTAGTTCCAGTAAGTCTTTTAGTATATCAATGACCAACGGTACAAAACCTATGAAAAGGTCTACTTATTTAACAAAGATATTTAAAAGTTTGAACCAATGTTTGACTGATGTGTGTCTATGAAAGACGATATGTTAACATGTTTGACCGATGTGTTTAGGTGATCTGAAAGACAGAAGAATATGTTAACATGTTTGACCGATGTGTTTAGGTGATCTTAAAGACAGAAGAATATGTTAACATGTTTGACCGATGTGTTTAGGTGATCTGAAAGACAGAAGAATATGTTAACATGTTTGACCGATGTGTTTAGGTGATCTGAAAGACAGAAGAATATGTTAACATGTTTGACCGATGTGTTTAGGTGATCTGAAAGACAGCCTCTACGAGCATCTCAATAAAGACGAGAGGATACAGAGTCTGTTGAAGGAAACCCTGCGTCCTGCAAACAAACTGATAACTGACGTCCAGATGTGTATAGTTTTCTGGGTATTGGGTGAGTAATTCATGAATTTACTGACGTCTAGATGTACCTAATTATTCAGTTGAATGTCTTGTATCAAGTTCGCTAATTACTAACCGATGGTTGACGTGCTTTTATATAATCACATTTTTTTAAAATATTTTACAGTACGGTAGTAAAAAATGTATCAATTCACTTAACTAATATATATATTTACATGTAACACATGTGAAAATTAGGAGTATCGGTATCAAGGATTAATGAGATCTGTGTCCATATAAGTTAACATTTGTAACATTTATAAATAAGAAAATCAGCTGGTGTAATGATGTGGATTAATGGATTAAATCAGAGTGAGATGGCTAGTGGATTGAGTGGTGTGAGTGAGATGGTTTGTTCCCAGGCCAGCTGTGGTTGATGTGAATAAAATGGCTTGTCCCCTGATGTGGATGATGTGAATAAAATGGCTTGTCCCCTGATGTGGTTGATGTGAATAAAATGGCTTGTCCCCTGATGTGGTTGATGTGAATAAAATGGCTTGTCCCCTGATGTGGTTGATGTGAATAAAATGGCTTGTCCCCTGATGTGGTTGATGTGAATAAAATGGCTTGTCCCCTGATGTGGTAGATGTGAATAAAATGGCTTGTCCCCTGAGATATCTGTGGTTGATGTGAATAAAATGGCTTGTCCCCTGATGTGGTAGATGTGAATAAAATGGCTTGTCCCCTGATGTGGTTGATGTGAATAAAATGGCTTGTCCCCTGATGTGGTTGATGTGAATAAAATGGCTTGTCCCCTGATGTGGTTGATGTGACTGGCTTGTCCCCTGATGTGGTTGATGTAAATAAAATGGCTTGTCCCCTGATGTGGTTGATGTGACTGGCTTGTCCCCTGATGTGGTTGATGTGACTGTCTTGTCCCCTGATGTGGTTGATGTGACTGGCTTGTCCCCTGATGTGGTTGATGTGACTGGCTTGTCCCCTGATGTGGTTGATGTGAATAAAATGGCTTGTCCCCTGATGTGGTTGATGTGACTGGCTTGTCCCCTGATGTGGTTGATGTGACTGGCTTGTCCCCTGATGTGGTTGATGTGAATAAAATGGCTTGTCCCCTGATGTGGTTGATGTGAATAAAATGGCTTGTCCCCTGATGTGGTTGATGTGACTGGCTTGTCCCCTGATGTGGTTGATGTGACTGGCTTGTCCCCTGATGTGGTTGATGTGACTGGCTTGTCCCCAGGCTTGCTGTGGATTGAGTGTAAACAGATCTACAGCTGTGGGGCCAGGTGCTACATCATGGACTACTACAACGCCATGGACTTTGCCGTACTCTCCATGTACCTGTCGTCTTACGTGCTCAGGTTCTTCACCAACTACAAGGTCACGGAGGCAGATAAGTGAGTGCTTTCTCGGCCTTTGTGTGAGACAGGTGTATTAGGTTGTTTGACAAAACTATATATAGCCTATCCCAACAGGGAAGTTTTTAGTTTTCTCAAAAGACTATATATAGCCATCCTATTTCTACTACTACTGTAAACAAACCAAGAAAAAACAAATGAAGTGAAAGGATAAATTAGAACTCAAGCAGACAGCCTACCTCCCACTCTACTGCAACTACTCTGATCTAGGTCACGTGATATTAACGGCGAGATTCACGTATCCCTAAACTCCCCTACACCGTAAGAATTGCGTGTTAAAGGAAGACACAGACAACAAACAAATCGATCGCTGTGATGTGCACTGTCACTCCAAATTACTTTTTCGGCGGTTTTCCCATCGCTCGTTATTTGGATCAACCGGAAAAAGAGAAGAAAAATTTTACTAAGGGAAGCCTTATGGACTCGAGCTCGAGACTTTCAGGTTGGCAGCCATGCGCTCTGCCATCTTCCATCAGAGTTTCTTCCGGCATCGGGGAGGCTCCAACCCTTCCTCCCCCAAATCATTAAGTGCCCCCACCCCCTGGAGAAAAAAAAAAGTCTGAAAGAAACACTGTCCTCCGTCCCGTTAAATCACTCTAATATTTTTTTCTTGCATAAAAGCAACAACATTAAAAACTTTGTCGATTAAATTTTAAATTTCTACACGAAAATTATCTTTCTAATAGGATTCTATAAGAAAAATTTTTACTCCGATAAGACGGTTCTCATTTGTTTTTTACTTTCTCGTATACAAAGTATTGTAATCTTGCTGAATAATGAACTGATATTTGACAGTTTTCGCCGTTTACCCCTCCCTAATTTATCATATACGGAAACTAAAAGATGCATTGTAATCGTGCAAAAAAAAATCTAAATAAACATTTTTACAAACTTTGTCGGGGTTTTGACTGTATGTCTCTGTGTCACGCAAACTTCAGCACCGTGTCAGTAATGTTGAGGAAATTTCCTCTTTAAGTGTTATTTCAAATTTGTAGTTCGGTATCAACTTATTTCAAATTTGTAGTTCGGTATCAACTTATTTCAAATTTGTAGTTCGGTATCAACTTATTTCAAATTTGTAGTTCGGTATCAACTTATTTCAAATGTGTAGTTCGGTATCAACTTATTTCAAATTTGTAGTTCGGTATCAACTTTTGAGCGAGAGTTATCTACTCACCAATCCAGTACAAATACTTGCGATTTTTGTTAGCGAAAAAAGCGCCCCCCACACACACTCATCACAACCATCTTGGACAAAGTTTGTAAAGCGGTTTTTAACGTAACTAACTTTTTTTTTAAATGTTACACAATTATACAATGCACAGTACAATTCGTTTCTTTCTGATAGCTAAAGGTTGTTTACTCAGAATCCTGTGTAATTTTGCTATTTTATTTAGCCTAAAAGCGCCCCCCTGCACCATCTTGATAAAAGTCACTAACGTATTTTACAGTTCAACAATCGTACAATACGTTTTAATACAATTGGTTTCTTTTAATAGCGGTAACGTTTATCGACTCAACAATCTAGTGTAAATTCTTCCGTTTTAAGTCTCGAAAAAGCGCCCCCCCCCCCATCTAGGAAAAGCTTCAAAGCGGTTTTGCCGGTCACTGTTTCTTAAGAGTATATGTTTTACATTAAGAAATCAAGGTAGAAAACAGTTAAATCAGTATGTAAAGGCGTGTAGCCATTACATTTCTTAACTTAGACAGTTTATAATTCAAAACTGCAGCATAAAATCAGCTTTAAAAAAATTTTCCCACCCCTTTTGGCGCCCCCATAGGGTCGGCGCCCGGGGCGGCCGGCCCCCGCCCCCCCCCCTAGCTACGCCTCTGCTCCAAACTACGGCCCGCGTAGTCCTCTCAGAATTTTTTGTCCGAGGAAAAATCGTTTGTTGGTGATGGCTGAGGAACTCTACCCAGAAAAATCAAAGACATGCCCGGAAGAAACTGGCCCCCGAACTGAAATTTGATAGTTAATGCGGCCCTTGGACTGAAAAGTTTGGAGACCCCTGATTTAGATGAACAAAATTTTATCATCTTATTATCTTGAATATGTCACATTTCGAGTGATTTTCGGAGACCGGGAGTGGTACTTTAAAGTATTTCTTATTTCTCAAAGAATACCACTTCCACTGGGCCGATTTGTTTCAAACTTTTCATGTAGGTAAAGACTCAATGAACCCTGGCATAAAATGTGACTCAATTAAGTTTTTTAAAACTAATCAATGTTGCCATTATAAGGTACTATTTTTGCACTATTATACACATGGTATGCGCTCAATAAGTGAGAAATTATTATTTTAGTATTAAAAATAAATGTTAATAAAGAAATATTTCTAAATTCCGATTGCACTGGAAGTACCATCTCCCTTGCCCTTAGTGACGTATAAGAATATACGAGAAAGTTTAGGGGAGATAACCCCCCCCCCCCGCTTTATTTTACAAGCTTTAATTTAACATGCTTCCTCTGTCTGTATGTATTGTTTTTATCTGTCGTGCCTAGTGCTTCGTCATCGATCGAAACTGTCGAACGAAATTTCGACCACCTCTAACTGACCGATTCGTTTCAAACTTGGCACGTGCGTCAAAACCCGATGACAATGCAATCTGACATCAAATTTGACGTAATTGGATGCCTAATTAATTTTGTATGAATTAACTAAAAATAAAATGTGTCGCTTCTTAAATTCTAGCAATGTATTCAAAGCATAATATGTAAATTTTTATTCCCCAGTTTTTTTAATGGCACCCAGACCGCTCGGACGCTGCTAAATGAGGGAAACTACACGTTCTTTGATTTGTTTTTGGCCAATGTCAAACAGAGGGGGAGCTCTAGCACGCCCAAAAATTACTTCATGGAAGCTTGTAGGTGGCTGGTGTGTGTGGTGTTTGGTGTAGGTGGCTGGTGTTTGGTGTAGGTGGGCGGTGTTTGGTGTAGGTGGATGGTGTTTGGTATAGGTGGTTGGTGTTTGGTATAGGTGGTTGGTGTTTGGTGTAGGTGGCTGGTGTTTGGTGTAGTTGGATGGTGTTTGGTGTAGGTACATGGTGTTTGGTGTAGGTGGATGGTGTTTGGTGTAGGTGGATGGTGTTTGGTGTAGGTGGTTGGTGTTTGGTGTAGGTGGCTGGTGTTTGGTGTAGGTGGGCGGTGTTTGGTGTAGGTGGATGGTGTTTGGTATAGGTGGTTGGTGTTTGGTATAGGTGGTTGGTGTTTGGTGTAGGTGGCTGGTGTTTGGTGTAGTTGGATGGTGTTTGGTGTAGGTACATGGTGTTTGGTGTAGGTGGATGGTGTTTGGTGTAGGTGGATGGTGTTTGGTGTAGGTGGTTGGTGTTTGGTGTAGGTGGCTGGTGTTTGGTGTAGGTGGGCGGTGTTTGGTGTAGGTGGATGGTGTTTGGTATAGGTGGTTGGTGTTTGGTGTAAGTGGATGGTGTTTGGTATAGGTGGTTGGTGTTTGGTGTAGGTGGATGGTGTTTGGTATAGGTGGTTGGTGTTTAGTGTAGGTGGATGGTGTGTGTGGTGTTTGGTATAGGTGGTTGGTGTTTGGTATAGGTGGTTGGTGTTTGGTGTAGGTGGATGGTGTTTGGTATAGGTGGTTGGTGTTTAGTGTAGGTGGATGGTGTGTGTGGTGTTTGGTGTAGGTGGCTGGTGTTTGGTGTAGATGGCTGGTGTGGTTGGTGTTTGGTGTAGGTGGCTGGTGTTTGGTGTAGGTGGCTGGTGTTTGGTGTAGGTGGGCGGTGTTTGGTGTAGGTGGCTGGTGTTTGTAATAGGTAGTTGGTGTGTGTGGTGTTTATTGTGTGGCCGGTGTGCGGGATGTGGGTGGTGTGTTATAAATATCTAGTGTGTGAGATGTGTAAAACTGTTCAATGTGTGTGGTGTTGTGAATGTGTCTGGTGTGTGAGATGTGTAAAACTGTTCAATGTGTGTGGTGTTGTGAATGTGTCTAGTGTGTGGGATGTGTGGTGTGTTAAAGTCTGTGTGAGCACCCTCTGACCGAGACTGACCTGTCCCAGCCCGCTTCAAGTGGGACGAGTACGACCCGGAGATCGTGTCTGACGTCCTGTTTGCTATCGCCAACGTCATCAGCTTCGCCCGGACCACGCAGCTCATGCCGGCATTCGAGGTGCTCGGGCCCCTGCAGATCTCGCTCGGCAGGATGATTGGGGACATCACCCGATTTATGGTGCTCTTTACTTTGGTGGGTAAACATTTAAGGGGACAGCACCCACTTTATGGTGCTCTTTACTTTGGTGGGTAAACATTTAAGGGGACATCACCCGATTTATGGTGCTCTTTACTTTGGTGGGTAACAATTTAAGGGGACAGCACCCACTTTATGGTGCTCTTTACTTTGGTGGGTAACAATTTAAGGGGACCAGTGTTTCTTCCAGACTTTTTTCTCAGGGGGGGGGGGGGGGCACTAGAAATCTTCGGGGGGGGGGGGGCGGTAAACTTTCTTCGGGGGGGGGGGGGCGGACACTGTTAAAAGTATATATTTTCTATATAAATTATATAAATTTCATTTCGTTCGGGGGGCGGTAAAAAATTTTCGGGGGGCCGAAGAGATACCTGGAAGAAACTCTGAAAGGGACAGCACCCGATTTAATCTAAACATCCATGTGGGTTTAAAATACACGTTGTTGGCCTCACAACAATACTGTTCTCTGTAATTCAGACATGGTATTTTAACTTTAAATTCTTTCTTTACTCGCCAGGTACTGTTTGCCTTCATGGTTGGGCTGCACAACCTCTACTGGTACTACGGCTCGCAGAAAATTCGAATGGATATCAACGGCAAGCAAGTGGCTGTTCATGCTGCGAAGTCATTCCAAGGGTAGGTGAATTAAATTATCGCATTATTCCAAGGGTAGGTTAATTAAATTATCGCATTATTCCAAGGGTAGGTTAATTAAACTATCGCATTATTCCAAGGGTAGGTTAATTAAACTATCGCATTATTCCAAGGGTAGGTTAATTAAACTATCGCATTATTCCAATGGCAGGTTAATTAAACTATCGCATTATTCCAATGGCAGGTTAATTAAACTATCGCATTATTCCAAAGGTTGGCTAATGCAATTATCGCGTTGTTTCAGGGTTCATGTGTTACATTTCGTTGTTTGCTTAAAATCTTTTATTTACTTTTAATAATATGACTAGATCTTGAATATGTGGAGATTACTGTAGATTTAACTTTAATAATATTCAACACAATGAGCGTGCTAATTTTAATGCAGGAACAGTTCTAATTGTTATAGTACATAACTAACTTGCTTGAACATGTTTTATCAATGATGATTATTTTTTATAAAATGTTGTAATTATAAAAAGCACATGATGACTGTTTTGCAAACAATAACGAACTTTAAATATCGTATTACAAATTAGAACATTACAATTACATTTTGCTACTCCGATTACATGCCAGATTTTTACAAATAATCGACCGAAATCATGACAAATAATACACCAATTTCACTTTAAGTTTATTTACTTACAGAGATAATCTAACATTAAAAGAACCTTGAGAAGTATTTCTATTTTATTTACAGTACAGTTAGAATCGAACTTGTTTTGTTTCATTTACAGTTTGCAGCAGACGTTTTCCAGTTTGTTTTGGGCAATGTTTGGTCACTCTGCTATAGCTGACATCACGATAAACCATCCGAAGCCCAATGGAGGTAATGTATAACTTGATTCGTGTCACGCGAGGAAAGGCTTCTCTTTAACACATCTTTGACTGTGTTCCTGGCTGACATAATTAATTATAGATCTGAAACTTAATTGCCGTGATTCTTCTAACTCTTTTGAGTTTCTCATTAATTAAAAAAATTTCTGAGTGTCTTGGCTTTATTTAACTAATAATGTTTCTATAAGGCAAGGTTAAAGGTCCGCCCATAAACGATGTCACATTTTTAGGGGGAGGAGGGAGGCGAGTGTGACGGTGTGTGACAGGGGTTAGGGTGGGGACCACAAAGTGGACAATTTTTTAGGGAAAAAAATACTAAAACTTCTTTTTTAGAGGGAGGGTGTTGTAGGCGGGAACAGGGCATCTTCCCCCTGTCAATTACCCCCCGGACGTTTCCCCCTCCCCAACATTACCCCCCCCCCCCCGGAGTAATTACCCCCTGTCAATGACCCCCTGCCCAGTAGGACATTACCCCCCCCCCCCCTTCAGGACAGGGTTAGGGCTAGGATTAGGGTTAGGCTTAAACCAATGTCTAGCGTTGGTTTTGTGTGAAGTTTTAGGCTAAGGTGGATGCTTAGGTTTTGGTCTTTTTCTTAAGGTTAGGATTAAAGTAGTATATAGGTATAGAATTATAGTTAGAGCTAGGATTCTAACTTGAGGGGGGGGATTCCCGGGGGGGGGATTGACAGGGGGTAATTGCTCTGGGGGGGGGGGGGAACCAGGGGGGGAATCTCCAGATGGGTTATTTCCGGGGGGTAATGTCCTGTAGCCGTTGTAGGCTGAGGTGTGACGTCATTTTAAGGGTGGATGTCTGGCTTTGTGTGGATATTGCGAGGGAGGAAGGTTAAAATTGTCAAAAAAACATGACGTCATTTATGGATGACCCTTTCTTCCTTTCTTTAAAATATAATTTAATTTGTTATAATTCTGATTAGTTTAAAACTAGGACTAAAAATATGGAGGCTTTAGTTTTTAAAGCTGTTAGTATTTTAAATAGACTACTAAACTGCTTGTAATAAAAAAAATGTATCTATGATTATAACTAACCCATTAAAACTCTCTACTTAAAGTAAAGGCTCCCATATGAATAATTCTTAGCTAACCAATGTTTTTATTGATAAATTACTGAAATAGTTTTAGATTGCTGAGTTTATTACTGGCATAGGTTTCCATCATGTTGAATAATTATTCTATAATTTAATTAAACACTTATTTTTCATATCATTAAAGATTTTCAAATTAATTTGATTTAGGCCTACATCGTCAAAATGTTAAACTTGCTAAATAGTTTCGAATGATAAAGCTTTAATTAAGTTTGCACTTCGAGCTGCTAAAGTTAATTTTAAAAAAGAATTTAAAATGAATGGCAATAACTGACTTCTTCAAAACTGTTTTAAACTCTGACTAAATAGTTATTGTAGTGTTCATTCAAGAAATAATTTTGTTCAGCTGCCTTCAGATTACAAATAACCACTAGTATGGAAAATATCTGTGATTGAAAGTACTAAATGGAAAAACTGATGTTCAAAATGTTTACTCAAGAAAATAAAAAGGACCAACACTTATGGCACTAATTACCTAAGTGTTATTAAGTTGTATAAAATAGATTCTTTTTAAAAGCAACTAACAATAATTAACAGGTGTAAGAAATTTAAAATGTAATTGCATTTTGGCCCGAAAGTTGCCAGACTAATGTTTCCATTTCTGTCTCTGGCTGAACTCACTTTGTGCTTGCCCCTTACACCACCACTCCTGCAGTGCACCAATGCATTACACTGGATGTGGACAAGACCATGATCTACTGTGCTGATGGAACTCAGGCCAGTAAGCAGAATATCAGCATACCCCAGCTTTCTGTGACACCTGCTCTAGCTCCCTTTTCATAGATGCTTTGTTTCACATCTTCTGTCCTTTAAGATTCCTTATTTTTAATTACCCTTTGTTTAAAAAAAAAAGAATGTGCATTTCATTGTTGTTACTGTTAATTGTAACTGAAAGTCCTCAACATCCATGGCAAAAATCAAAGCATTTGTTCAATTATTCATGTAGGTAAGCTTGGCCTCATTCAATTCTATTGCATGGGAATGCTGTATCAAAATAGTACAGGAAACATGTTTTTCCTGGATTATGAAAAAAGCATGCTGCCAAAACGACATTTTGAATACTTAAAATTTAACAACTCTCTTCTCTTTACTCCACCCTTCTCTGCACAACAAAACAATTAAAATTTGAAATTAAATCACTTTTTCAGAGTGAATTGTGTTTGATCCAAATATTTTGTGTTCACTAAAGCAAACAAGTTCTAATTATTTACAATGAAAAAACAACTTTGCTAAATATTTTAAAATATAATTGTTTATTGTAAAGAATATTATTTACAGCATATTTTTCAATTATTTTCATTCCTAAACTGCTATTGCTTGTAACCATTTAGAGTTATCTGTTCCAGAAGAAGAGCATGTTTAAACCTAATTTATGATGTATCAATGAATGTTAGCTTGATTTCAATCTTTCTTTTCAACCAATCCGTTTTTTTTTGCAACCAAACAAATTTTGTATAACTATTATAATTAACCTTCATTATTTTCCTATCCAATATTTACTTTAAAACTCAGGTAATGTTGTCTGATACTTGTTTATCAATTCAGCTATACAATAAAAAGATAATACTCAACACAATTATGATTTGTCTCCATTTTTCACTCACAAAATAACACTCAACACAATTATGATTTATCTCCCATTCCATCACCAAACACACACAATTATGATTTATCTCCCATTCCACCACCAGACAACACACAAGGACAGCTGTTCACCCCAGACAACCCACAGCTACAGAACAGCACATCCCTGGTTGAGACGGTTGGCATGTACCTGTATGGCATCTACCATGTTGTCATCATCATCGTCCTCATCAACATGCTGATAGCCATGATGTCACACTCATTTGAAGACATTCAGGTACCATCTTATAACCTTGCTCACTCCAGTCACACTCTTTGAAGACATTCAGGTAGCATCTTATAACCTTGCTCACTCCATTCACACTCATTTGAAGACATTCAGGTAGCATAACCTTGCTCACTCCATTCACACTCATTTGAAGACATTCAGGTAGCATCTTATAACCTTGCTCACTCCATTCACACTCATTTGAAGACATTCAGGTAGCATAACCTTGCTCACTCCATTCACACTCATTTGAAGACATTCAGGTAGCATCTTATAACCTTGTTCACTCCATTCACACTCATTTGAAGACATTCAGGTAGCATCTTATAACCTTGCTCACTCCATTCACACTCATTTGAAGACATTCAGGTAGCATCTTATAACCTTGCAAGTCGTAGTTTCATGTTTATTTTCTTGCTTTGCTAAAGCAGATGATTATTATACCTTACTGTTAAAAAGATATTTTTAAATACGAAATAGATAATTTGAATGAGAAAAATGTTTAAGTTTTAACCTCAGAAACATTAAGTTTAATTTTATTTTTAAATAAGTAAATTAAATCTTAACACCTATAAAAATCAATGACACAAAGTTTACTGTGCCATTACCCTTGCAACACATCTAACGAGTTGTTCCTTTAATGTTTGATTGTAGACTGACTATTGCAACACATCTAACGAGTTTTTCCTTTAATGTTTGATTGTAGACTGACTGTTGCGACACATCTAATGATTTTTTTTTCTTTAATGTTTGATTGTAGAGTGACTGTTGCGACACATCTAATGAGTTGTTCCTTTAATGTTTAATTGTAGACTGACTGTTGCGACACATCTAATGAGTTGTTCCTTTAATGTTTGATTGTAGACTGACTGTGACGTGGAGTGGAAGTTTGCTCGCACTAAACTCTGGCTCAACTACATGGATGACGGCAGTACTCTCCCCGTGCCATTTAACATGATCCCCACCCCAAAATCCTTCTTTTACGGATGGCAGGCTGTCAAGGAAACTTTTAACCCAAGCTCAGAGGTAACAGAGCCGGGTAGGCACCGGCGGCAGACATTTCTCAAGGTAGCCCTTTATAGTCGTGTGAGTGAACACTTGCTACACATTGTCTTGCAATAATTGACTTCATCCTCTTCTACCTCATGTAGGTCATTACTAATTAGGTCTTGCAATAATTGACTTCATCCTTTTCAACCTCATCCAGATCATTACTTATCAGGTCTTGCAATAATTTACTTCATCCTCTTCTACCTCATGTAGGTCATTACTTATCAGGTCTTGCAATAATTGACTTCATTCTCTTCAACCTCATGTAGGTCATTACTTATCAGGTCTTGCAAAAATTGATTTCATTCTCTTCAACCTCATGTAGGTCATTACTTATCAGGTCTTGCAATAATTTACTTCATTCTCTACAACCTCATGTAGGTCATTACTTATCAGGTCTTGCAAAAATTGATTTCATTCTCTTCAACCTCATGTAGGTCATTACTAATTAGAGCCTTTATTAGATTTGAAATTATTGTGAGACAATAATTCTTAAATTATTTTTTTTAATGCAATGAGCTTAGTGCTCTTCCATAGCAAACACCTCAAGTGATCGAAGGATATTTTCAAGGGGAGCTAAGATAACAAATTATTTACCTTGTTTTATTCTTAAACAAATTTTAAATATAGAAAATAATACCAGGACAAATGATTTTATATTTTAATCAACAAATTAAATCCATAACTAAAATCTAAACAGTATTCTTATAAGTCCATTTCTTTTATTTAGGTTGGGGTAAATAATATTTAACAAAATGGCTACATCAAGTTTAACTAGGTGCCATCTATTTGTTAAGCCTATCCACATAATATACATGCATTCTTCAGTGGCTACAGTTACTACACTTTCTATGGCTGCTCTTATTTTATTACATTTCTCAAAAACAAAATAATAATTCAAAACAAAATACTAGTAACATAATAAAATGTATTCCAACAAAACTGAAAGTGAGTTAGTTTGCCAGACTGGAGAGGTGTTTCATAGGCGCTACATTGTGCAGACCGTGGCGCCGTGGAAACATCTACCCAGTCGGTAGACATTGTCAACAAAACTTTTACAGTGGGCAGACATTGTCAACAAAACTTTTACAATGGGCAGACATAGTCAACAAAACTTTTACAGTAGGCAGACATTGTCAAGAAAACTTTTACAGTAGGCAGACATTGTCAACAAAACTTGTACAATGGGCAGACATTGTCAACAAAACTTTTACAGTAGGCAGACATTGTCAAAAAAACTTTTACAATGGGGAGACATTGTCAACAAAACTTTTACAGTAGGCAGACATTGTCAACAAAACTTTTACAGTAGGCAGACATTGTCAACAAAACTTTTACAGTAGGCAGACATTGTCAACAAAACTTATGTATCTACTTTTGTCTACTGAATTAATTTAACTTGACTTCACCAAGTGTAACTTGATCTCTATACCTCACACAACATGTATCTGGTAGCTAGTGCCTGTTTCTCATGGGATCCTTCCCCCATACACTAAAAGTAAAAATAGGAGCTTAGGTGAGAAATAGGAGCAGCAGTTTAAAATACTCAAGTTTTAAGATCAGGTTTCCAGCAACAAAAACATTAGGGTTATTTTAATTGCCTGGTTGTCTGCCTAAAGGTTTGCCATATTGTGTTGTGTGAAAACAAAGAGAAACAATACAAATGTGGATTGGCTTATTAGATTTGCAACATTGTATTCTGTAGAAAAGAAGAGAAACTGTATGTAAAAACCTGGAACTCAAACCAGATGAGACCTCCTACTCTGACATTATGCACAGACTAGTCAAAAGATATCTTTTTAAATTGGAGAGGGCCAAAGATGAGAAAGAAATAGGTGAGCAATCATTGTCTAGATTGTAATTATTCTGTTTAAAAAATTGTTTAATGGTTACCAGTGTATGTATATTATAGCTAATTAATTTGTAATTATTGTAAAATAAGTCAATGTTTAGCAGTTACAGTTTTTAATCAAAGTTTTTTTTCAAAAGTTAAATTTATTCTTATTTTATTTTAGAAACACCATTAAAATTCAGATTTCATACTGCCAGTAGTTGCTTACACTGTTAACAATTAGAAAACAAGCATGAAATTAAATTGTTAGAAGGAAGTTTTTTAGAGCCCATTCCATCTAGCTCAGATGTCAACTAGTCTCCCTTTTTCTAATGGTATCTTTGGTTTCCGGCCAGCAAAAGATGGTCATGGTAATGTAAGAGCAGAAGAAGTGGAAATTTGGGACCCAACAGCCCCAGATGGTCCCCCTCCACCAATACCAGAGACACCCAGCAGAATTCCATATGCCACGCCACCTATTCCAGAAGAAGAGGACGATATTAAGTCTCGTAAGTCATTCAGGTTTTGTAATACACATGCTAGATTTGCTGGCTTACAGGATACTTTTGTATGTATGTGGTATGTTATGTTTGTATGTATGTGCTATGTTCTGTTTTACATGACAAGCAGCCTAACCCACAGATAAAACTTTAAAAAAATATAAAGAATTTTTTTTGGTATATTTGTAAATAAGCCAAGTTTAAATAAACTTTAGGCTAAAATCTTTATAGAATTTCCTTAACTCAAAATTGGAATGCATTCTTTTTGCATGAAAGATAGCTTTGGGAACATATAAAAGATAAAATACACTTCTGCACTGCAAACTTCAATTTTACTTGACCTTATGTGCTGACCTTCTAACTTAAGTTATATTTGACCTTACATTTGTAGACCATAGGTCAACAAGGAGAAAGACAGGTTGGAAATCTCACAACCGTAGAGCATCTTCAACCAACTTGCCAATAGCCACAACTCTAGCCATACCACAACTTGATGCCATACAAAGGTAACTTCTGACTGAAACTTGCTTTTATTGCAACTTTCAAATAACAAGCTATTTCTTAAATATAACCTCATAATGTCTTAACAACTGATAGTTTTCTATTTCTGCTAGGTCACAAAAATTGTTGGACATGCGGCTGCAACAATTGCAAGCCAACCATAAGGAGACCAATCGTCTACAAGACGACGTGGAGTTTATAAGACGCCTGATGGCTGAAAACCAGAAAGCTCTCTGCAACGTTGTCCAGGCTCTGGCCAACATCCAGGGGGAAATAGTCAACCTGGTCCAGTGCCTCAAGCCCCAGCCCAAGCACCAGCCCGCCAATTCCATCAGCTCCCAGGGCAGCCTGCCCAACACCCACCACCAGTCCAACACTGTGACTATGGTACCCGGCGGCGGGGTGCTACTTATAGAAAAAGATGTTGAGGGTGGGCTGGGGAATGCTGGGATATCAGGTGGGAGGAAAACGGAAAGGGAAAGAGGAGGGAGTGGAGACAGAGGAGTGAGTAAAAAGGAAAGAGGAGACTCTAGAAAGAGGTCAGGACCAGAAGAGGATGAGAGTAAAGTATGACAACACTAGACTGACTTGTTACCTCCAAGCTGTTTCATAATGGATTCTTTTGACCATGTGACCATTCATCCTCTCATTCCCATGGAAACAGTGCTGCTGCAGGCTTTAAGACATCATCAACTTGCCATCAAAACTCCATTCACATAGCCAGGAAGTAAGACTTGTTCTGTAGGTTTAAAATGTCCATGTGTGGAACATTTGAAACTCTCCCAGATGTGAGATTTAAAATGTCTATGTGTGGAACATTTGAAACTCTCCCAAATCTGAGGTTTAAAATGTCTATGTGTGGAACATTTGAAACTCTCAGATGAGAGGTTTAAATGTCTATGTGTGGAACATTTGAAACTCTCCCAGATGAGAGGTTTAAAATGTCTATGTGTGGAACATTTGAAACTCTCAGATGAGAGGTTTAAATGTCTATGTGTGGAACATTTGAAACTCTCCCAGATGAGAGGTTTAAAATGTCTATGTGTGGAACATTTGAAACTCTCAGATGTGAGATTTAAAATGTCTATGTGTGGAACATTTGAAACTCTCAGATGTGAGGTTAAAAATGTCTATGTGTGGAACATTTGAAACTCTCCCAGATGTGAGGTTTTAAATGTCTATGTGTGGAACATTTGAAACTCTCCCAAATGTGAGGTTTGAAATGTCCATGTGTGGAACATTTGAAACTCTCCCAAATGTGAGGTTTGAAATGTCCATGTGTGGAACATTTGAAACTCTCCCAAATGTGAGGTTTTAAATGTCTATGTGTGGAACATTTGAAACTCTCCCAGATATGGAGATGAAACACATTTCTGCTTTTTGCCTGACAGTTGACAATACTATGCTTATGAGGATGCTGATAATATTATATGAGAAGCTCACTTACAAAAGGTACGGTTTAAAAAAGTAAATGTTTTTAAACTTGTGATATAGGCCTATTAAAAGTGATTTGAAAGCTTTTGAGTTCTTCAAATTTTTAGTTTTATTCTATGCAATAAGATAAGGAAGGAACTTGTATTCTAAAAACCCATTTTCTAACTTTTGAAAGTCTGCTTCTCATTTACAGGACTGATATTACCAAACCACTGCTAATTTATGGTGAATGCAAAATCTTTTGGTTTGCAAAACGTTTTAGGTAGATAATTTTATCAAAACAATTAATTTTATATGAATTATGAATGAGGTTGTAGTACAACTAAATTTTAAATGAGACTATTTATACCATTAACAAAAATATAAATGACGTTCCTCTATTCACACTTTTTAAAAATTATTAATTAATTTCTTCTTAAATAAAAAGTTAGCTGTCATGTATTACATTTAAAAAACTATTTAAATATCTTCATTGGTATTTTAAAACCATCTTTCTTTAGTAAGTATTTATAAATCAACTTTCTTTTATGAGTTGTGGAAATAAAATATTATTGAGTATTTTAAAAATCAATATTTTTTTTTAAATAAAGGGTGTACTGTGGAAGGCTGTATAGTTTAGCTATAGGCCTGGGAGTTTGGGTAATGAAGCTTTTCTTTCTTGGCACAGTTTAATTACATGTTGACACTAAATTAAAACTTTCAATTATCATATTGAATTATTTTTAAATTATTTCTCTATCATTACTGCATTAAAAATCTCGCTATCAAATAATACAAAACACATTTTAGCCTTTATGATATCTCTAAAATGTTGTTTTTTAACTCATCTAAAATTGTAAGGTGACAAGTCCCATTGAATATTTCATATGGCAAAAAGCAATGTATCTATTTTATAATATATTGTAGGTATAGCACAATCTAAAAACATAATGTAATTTTTATTTCAACTCAACTGTTTATTTCAGCAGATTTTTTAATTTTTGTATCAAAATAAGAATGGATTGTTTTATTTTAAAAATAAATTGTTTTGATTCTTTTTTTTTTCTGGCACCGTAAAATATTTTGAAAAAGGTGTGTGACCTTCTAAACATGTAACAAAGCTAAAATCATATTCTAAGTTTGGTCTCATAAAGTTAAAGTATTTCAAATATGTAAAATAAAAAGAAATTAAAAAAGAAAAAAGAAACAATGTGTTGACAGTGGGATTTATGATTAACCCATCTTTTGTTGTTTTTTTTTTCATGAAGATTTTATGTTACTATTTAAAAAAATTTATTTAAAACATCCAAAAACTTCCTTGCTTAAAAGTTGTTGGTAATATTAAATACTAAAAATAATCAAATGAAACTACAACAAAAATCAAAACTACCTCCCTTTAAGACCTAATTACACATGGTAAACCTAAAGAGTGGAAATTTTGTTGCTGTAAAGCTATTGTTGAGTAGTTCCGTATTGTTTCTCTCTAACTTTGCCAAGTAGTGCGGGCACTACTCTCCTTTTGCGGGTATTCAGAAGAACAATGTGAGTAAACTGTGATTTTAACATCATAAATTTTATGAAACTGACGTGCTATTACAAATCTGTTTGTTTTATGATGCTCTATTCACACTGCTGGATCCAAACAATTCCAAACTCAGAATTTGTATAATAAATTAATTTTCAAAGTTAAGGTAGGAAGTAATTTGCACTTATTTTAAAAACACCAAGAATGTTTTATTTTCTTCTTTAGAATAATTCTGAGCAAAACAATAACAACATCAACACACAGAGTTTAACAAAAGAATTTAACCATGTATAAAAATAAATGTTGCTAAAAAACCTTAACAAAGTATTTTATCTGAATCAACTACAATATCCTGCCTAGTTTTATATCAGTAATAGAGAAACAGTTTAGAGAAATGTTCAACACAGTTTAAAGAAGTGCCCAGTTAAAATTAAAAAGATTTTTTTAGGCACAAATATAAAGTTTATAATATAAGAATTCTGAAAATATTCTGCAGTTTACTTAATTTGAGTTAATTTTTGTAACAATATTCCATAGCTATCTAGCTCTTCTTTAAAAACAAAAAGTGCTCTATCTTCTGCTGATAATCTGTCATGTTAGTCAATATGTTTTATGTAGTCTTGTCATGTGATTTCCTGACATGCATTACTAAAGCTGGGGACTTTATAAATTTTGAAAACAGGGACTCAGACCAAATTGTTTTTTAAGGAAAGTCATTTTTTTTCTCACCTAATAGTCAGTGGTGCAGACTGGGCAGCATAACTAAATCTTCAACTTAGTAGGGTAACATACATTCATGAAATGTATCATGTTCCCAACTAGGTCAAATCTTTTCTGAGAAGTAGGTCTTCAGTAATTTTTGTACTGCTGAGGTGTAGAAGTGAGCATGAACTCTGAAGGTGGTAGAACAGTTAGCATAAGCAACTCTGTCTTGTAGAAGTAAATGTTCATTTTCGTTGTCATTATTTTTTCATTGCATACATTATTTATTGCACATAACTTGTTTGCAGTCTATGCATTATCACTTTTATGAACTGATCATTGAAGAATATTTGTCTCTGTTAATTCAGTCACAAAATGTATGTGGGCTTCACATCTCAGCCTATGCGCACAACTGAGCCTGCATTATTTATCCATAAAGTACTTGTTTCAACCCACCTTTGTTCCCTACTAGAAAACTCAAATTTTAAAATGGTTTTGAGTTTTGTACCTTAAACAATTTTTTTTTCAAATTTACAGAAAATCTGCTGATAAATATCTACTTGTGTAAAAACTTTTAACCATTTCTATTTTAGGTGATTTATTTAGTATTTAGTTATTTGTAGATTGCTTCAATCATACATAGTCAAATAGTTGTCAGGTTTTCACCACAGACCCTATTTAATATTTACTTGTACGAACATTGGCATTAAATATCCCTTTTATTGAATTGTACATTACATGTCATGTTATGCAAATATATATAATAAGATGTTCCTTTTCAATTTGTATGTATTAATCACGCAGGAAATTAATTATGTTATTATTTAGACCGAGTTGAAAGTATTAACCTCCAGCTATAAAACCTATTGAATAAGGGAGACTACCAAAACCATTGTCAAATCATAAGGTCAATAATTTATTTCTTTAGCTAAATCTAAATCTATTTAGTATTTTGAAATGTGTGAATATTCTATCAATCAGCAATACAACTAAATACTTTTAAAATGGTACGGACACTACAATTTGTCTCATTGGTTTGATTTAATTCAAGCATTTCTGGGGGGTTTTCTGTCATAGTTTTAGTGATTTTAAAAACTCTAGGGGCTTATCAGTTTTAATTTTTATTGTTAAAACAAAATTTTATTTTTACAACCATCCAATATGTGGTAGCTTGACAATGTCTCTTGTGATATAATATAAAAATAATAAGAATATAGTATAGTCTATATTCTATACTATGTTATTATTATAAATCAAATCTATCAAGGGTTTGGGGGGGGGGGGGGGCGTTGAAACTAATCTAGCCAATACAAAACCAGGTCTATTTATTATTTTATCTGTTAAACAGGGTGCTCGATAACAAATAACGTGTGTTTAGAAAACGAATGTAAATTTGTAATTGTTGATTTCAATATTTGTAGAGAGCATTGGTTTGAACTTTTACCAACAGCTTGAAGTTTAAAAAAAAGGATGACTGCTGTCCACCCCAAAAGTAATTGTTGGTTCAATTTATTTGTATGCAAGTTTACATTTCAATGAATACTTGTGTGAAATGCATAAGTTATGCAACGTTGTGATTCTTACCACAGAAACAGTTTTGAAAATAAATTATTACACTGACAATGACTAATTTCATGCGTGTTTATTTTTTGCTGGACTGAAAATGCACGTGTGCGTGGTTATTTGATTTCTGTTTTGTGCCACAAATTTTTGTTTTTAATAATTGGTTGTTTTTTTTTCTGCTTTTTTGTAATGTGACTATAGTGTTTATTATTTTTATTTTGTCAATACGGCAGAAAGTGAATGCTTCTCTCATTTTACGGCTATATATCCACGCTTTAGACTTAATGCTTTTCTCATTCTCAGATTGTTTCAACAGTAATTTTACGATTTTTCTATAATGTGGTATCACCCCTTCTCCTCAATGTTTCTGTGTGGTATCACCACTTCCCCCCCCCCCCCCAATGTTTCTGTGTGGTATCACCCCTTCTCCTCAATGTTTCTGTGTGGTATCACCACTTCCCCCCCCCCCAATGTTTCTGTGTGGTATCACCCCTTCTCCTCAATGTTTCTGTGTAGTATCACCCCTTCTCCTCAATGTTTCTGTGTGGTATCACCGCTTCTCCTCAATGTTTCTGTGTGGTATCACCCCTTCTCCTCAATGTTTCTGTGTGGTATCACCCCTTCTCCTCAATGTTTATGTGTGGTATCACCCCTTCTCCCCAATGCTCTCACCCAGTGCGGACCAGCGATGGAATTTATATAGAAAATTTATACTTTTTCCAGTGCCCGTCCCGTCCCCCCCCCCGTCCCCCTGGAGAAAAAAGTCTGAAAGAAACACTCGGACTGCACTCCCCTCCTCCTTCTGATGATATAAGGCTGCAGTGGTGGTATAGGCCTGACTTGAATCTAATTAAAGATCAAATAGCTGATTGATTGGGAGGGAAAATGTTTGCTTAACAACTCTGTCTCCAGTTTTGACCCCCAAGCAGATGAGGCTCGTTAGCAACCCCCATATAGGAGAGAAAACAGCAGCCTTTGTAAATTGTTCTTGAGTGGACAAAGGCTGTGGAAGCAAACTCAGAAACACGAGCTGGCTGAAATCCAGTCAATGATATGTGCTGCACAACATGTTGATTTGATTATGTTGGAGGAGATCACAGGGTCCTTTATTCTTTTAATTAAGGAAGTAGAATGCCAATCGGTTGGGATACCATCAAAATTTGCAGGAGCATATCTCCATTTAGTATTTTTCTCCGCAAGCTTTAAAAATCTTTAGACCACAGGCTACAACTGTCCTGCAGTTATAAACAGCCGGGGTTTAACTTTATTAATAAAGCAAACTTGTTAGACACTTTTTTTTCAGATGCATAACATTGTTAGATCTATTAAGATTTATTCAGGTGTCCAGGGCATGTAGGCATATCATCATCTTTTTCGTTTGTGTGGCCAAGACACATCATGGGGCCGCCACAGAAAGCTCCCTCCACTTTCGTCGCTCACCGGCAATTTGCATGACAGTTCTGTCTCTGCCAGCTGCTTCCTGGCAGTCCCCCATGACAGTCCTGTCTCTGCCAGCTGCTTCCTGGCAGTCCCCCATGACAGTCCTGCCTCTGCCAGCTGCTTCCTGGCAGTCCCCCATGACAGTCCTGTCTCTGCCAGCTGCTTCCTGGCGGTCCCCCATGACAGTCCTGTCTCTGCCAGCTGCTTCCTGGCAGTCCCCCATGACAGTCCTGTCTCTGCCAGCTGCTTCCTGGCGGTCCCCCATGACAGTCCTGCCTCTGCCAGCTGCTTCCTGGCTGTTCGCCTCCACGTCTCTCTTGGCCTTCCCTGCTTTGTTTTCTTTGAGGCTTCCAGTTTAGCGATGTTACCCGGATTCATTCTTAAGACATTCCTCATCCATTATTTCCGAAACTGCTTCGATCCATATCTATCTCTTTTAGCTTAGTAGTCTATCATTGGAAATGGTGTTACACCAGTGGATTATTTTTATCCTTTGCAAGCAGTAGCGTAGCCAGGATCGTCTCATGGAGGGGGGGGGGGGGTTCAAATTTTTACCCGGGGACAAACTTTCGATTTGCACCCCCCAAACTTTTGATTTGCACCCTTCCCTCAAACTTTTGATTTGCACCCCCCAAACTTTTGATTTGCACCCTTCCCTCAAACTTTTGATTTACACCCCCTCATACTTTATATATATACCGAGGGGTCTATAAGGGGGGGGGGATTATGACCTCCATACTCCCCCCCCCCCCCCGCCTACGCCAAGCATTTAGTTTTATTAGAAAGAAAGAGTCCAGTGAACAGAGTTTCTTCCAGGCATCCCCTCCCCCTCAAAGAAAATCTACCCCCCCCCCCCCAAAAATATCAATTGCACCCCCGGAGAAAAATGTCTGGAAGATTAATTTTGAAAAGTCTGCATTAAAAATTTGGTCTTATATAAAGTACAGTCCTGGAAAAGTTACCGGTCGCAAAATCACTGATTTGTAGGCTCGCAACAATGAGCCAATAATAATATCTCAGGTAAATTTAAACCGGATATTCCTACCTCGCATGCGCAGACATACAGGTAGGACAGGAACAAGGAAATGTACCTGGGTTAACGCTGTTTCGCTGATTTCGAAAACAATATCAAATGACAATGAGTTAACTGTTTAATGTGGTGAAGTTTCCCATCAAACGGCCCAAACATGAAGGAAATAGACTTGGATAAGGCGACCATCGATACATATCATGCCTGGGTTCAGCGAGGCATTCGGAATGACTTGAACTCTGTAAGTACTAGACTGTAGAGATTATGAAGATGAGATCTAGATCTAGTAAACTTAAGTAATTAAGTAAGTAAAGAAAGGCAGCTAATGGACCAATGGTCTAATAAATAGTAATGGATGCATCTATTCGGACCCGGGTCCCAATAGCCACGGCCGCTATTAGGACCCGGGTCCCAATAGCCACGGCCGCTATTAGGACCCGGGTCCCAATAGCCACGGCCGCTATTGGGACCCGGGTCCTAATAGCCACTTCCAATAGTAATAATGGCATTGGAGTCACAGAGTCAGTAGACTGACTTGGTGTCCTACCTTATGTTAAAATGTTTATAGGCCTACCCCCTAGTATTAGTAAAAAGGCTAATGCTAGCCGGAATAAGATACGCATGCGATATGCATCGCATGCGCAATGGAGAGAAACTACGACTTGCCTTCGCTGCGATGTTTTCGATGGTACTGCGCATGCGTGTGTTTACAACCGCAGAACCCTAACACCAATCCTATCCCTAACCCTAGCCCTAATCCGAATTACCCTATCCCTAACCCTCATTCTAACCCTAGCCATAGGTCACTGCGCATGCGCAGAGCTATCTTTTGCAGACTAAGTGGAGACGTTGGGGAGAAAAATCTTCTTCCGAGTAGTCACTTCGTAGTAAAAAAGTAAAGGGATAGAGACTATTTTAAAACTAAAAGAGTTTAATTTAGTTAGGCCTACTTAATTTACAAAAGTAAATTAAATATAGTTAGGCCTTATATAGTATTATATTGGCCTAATAAACTAACACAGTTATCCAGTAACAAATAGATTCTAAATGCCATGGACTGAATGACGTCCAATCATCCAGTTGCATAAGGCCTCTATTCTAATAATAGTTTTATTGGTCAATATAAATATTTCAAGTGGACCCTTTGTATCCCTAGCAAAACAAATAGGACCGTCAAAGCCTCAAATATGACAAATAAGTTATAACGCATGTGTTGTTGAATTGAAACAAAAAAAATTTAAAATAGCCTCTTGTCTACAGTGTTTCTTCCAGACTTTTTTCTCCTGGAGGGGGGGGGGGGGGCAGACACTGTTAAAAGTTTAAAAGTATATACTTTCTATATAAATTCCATTTTGTTCGGGGGGGGGGGGGCTCTGCCTCCCTGAAGAGATGCCTGGTAGAAACAGTGTAGTTTATGTAGACTAGTTGAATTGATTGAACACCACTTTTGTTATTAATTTAAAACCAATCATCATAAAACTAGTTAAATTAACCTATGAATTTGAATGCTTTATTTTCCAGATCAGCCTAGGGCCTGGCAAACTCCCATTTAGAGCAGGGATTTTTATGTACGTCAGCGCTTTCTTTAGTCTCATAATAGGGATCCTTCTGGTGGCTCTACGCATGAGATATGTCTACTTGTGGGATTGGAGCGCCCAATTCCTGGGACCATTTTTCTTTATTCTTTTTCTTTTGTGTATGGCTGCTGGATCCTACCTGATGGTGCTGGCTAAAAGAAGGAGCAACAAATACCGCTCACAACTTTATGTAAGTATCAACAAATACCGCTCACAACTTTATGTAAGTATCAACAAATACCGCTCACAACTTTATGTAAGTATCAACAAATACCGCTCACAACTTTATGTAAGTATCAACAAATACCGCTCACAACTTTATGTAAGTATCAACAAATACCGCTCACAACTTTATGTAAGTATCAACAAATACCGCTCACAACTTTATGTAAGTATCAACAAATACCACTCACAACTTTATGTAAGTATCAACAAATACCGCTCACAACTTTATGTAAGTATCAACAAATACCGCTCACAACTTTATGTAAGTATCAACAAATACCGCTCACAACTTTATGTAAGTATCAACAAATACCGCTCACAACTTTATGTAAGTATCAACAAATACCGCTCACAACTTTATGTAAGTATCCACAGAGTGATAATAAAACCTGCAGCAGATCTGTGCCCAATACTAGTAATTGTCAAAACAAAACAGTAGAGAAATAATGGAATGTCTTAAATCAGATGTATGTGGGGCTGGGGTAAAAGATTGAAATTTAATTTATGCAATCATAATACTTGTCCTTAAAAAAAAAAGGGGTTAATAGACAGATTGGTAAATATTTACTTAAAAACAATTTTAATTTATAAGTAAAGTCCTATATTTATTTTAATATTTGTACCTTTTTTTAATAGTTCAGGCCACTTGGTGATTGGGGTGTATCCTGCATTCATAAAAATGAACTGGCTCTGGTAGTGGAGCAGAAGTAAGTTGAACTACATTTGGTAATTGTAGAAATATTCTTTAAGATTGACTTTAAAGGACGATATATTTGGACTTTAAAAATTGCCTCTATTTTTAAATGATGTATTTATTATAACCAGACATGACCTGAAATCTGGCACTACTCCACACAAAACAGTCAAGCCAAGGTCGGAGGCTTATTCTCAGGTGAGTGGCTTTGTAATGCTGTCTAACAAGGATATTTTTATAATATATGTGTATTCCTGACAATTAGTCCATAATGTTTTTTTTCTGACAATTAGTCCATAATATATGGGTTTTTTTCTGACAATTAGTCCATAATATATGTGTATTTCTGACAATTAGTCCAGCAAGGATGCTCGCAGAACAAGACCAAGGGATGGCAGGGATAACCATGCTTATGACAAGAGTCCTCTAGATGCCAACAAGCCATTCCGTCCTGAGGACAGACGTAGACCTGATGGTAGCAGGGGACCTCCACCTGAAGGACGTAGGGGACCTCCCCCAGATGGTCGTAGGGGACCCCCACCAGATGGACGCAGGGGACCCCCACCAGATGGACGCAGGGGACCACCACCTGATGGAAGAAGAGGACCACCACCTGAAGGACGTAGAGGACCCCCACCTGAAGGACGCGGTGGACCACCTGAGGGCTATCGTCGCCGCCCGGATGACAGACGACCACCTGAAAATGGGGAGAGGCCACGGGGCCCACCACCTGGATATGAAGAAAGGTAAAAATTGTTTTTTTGTTGAAGAATACTTTTCTGTTGGTTTGACATTATTCTGACTTCATATTTATTTAGTTTTTTGTGTGTTATGTTATTGCCGTAGTGAAACAATGCTGTTTTTATCTTTAAGCTCCATGTCATCACTATTTAAATTTTCTTTTGTAGACAAAACAATGACCGTCTCAGGCCACCACCCAATGGGCAGCGAGGACCTGGAGGTGCTGCTAGGATACCCTTGGATGATGGGCAGGGTCGACGACCTAGAGGGGTGCCAAGATTTGATGGAGTGGAGAGGATCCCTAATGAGGAGTAAGTTTTACAGCTTTTAAAAACCAATCTACTATAATAAATTGTAAGGTTTTCATTACATAAATTAATCATTTCTGGATTTTGATTTAAGCCAATTCTTTCTTTCAGTCTCCGTGATGTCCAGCTGATTTTGGACAAATCCCGAGATGAATCTTCAGAAATATAATTTTTAAATACTTTGTACATAGGATTTTTTTTTAAACTACTTTTGTTCATGGTTTTTTTTACTGTTTCAAATAACTTTTTTTTTTAAATTCAATTTTAAAAAGTCAAATTGTTTTCTCCTGGCCAATTGGATAAAACTTGAAGAAACTGGTGGTTTCAATGAAATACATTTTGATAATCAAGTTATAACTAGTGCCTCTTCATCCTGTATATAGTATCACATAGTTTTTACAGAGCTATTTAGCAGACATTCCATTATTCTAACATTCCACTTGAAATTATTTCAATCATATTCAAACATTTGCAGCCATTTTCATGGCAATGTACTACTCAAAATAAAATATATCTCTTATTTTTCTTGTTCATGTTTTTACTTTAAACACTACTTGTATGAAATGTGTAAAGAATTGAATTGTTTATTTCTAACACTTATTTTTTTAGTTAACTTCATCTCACTTCTGGTTTAGAAGTGGATTTACAACATTCAAGTTATAAATTTAGAATACATTTCTAAGTCCCATATTTGAGTGCAGCTAAATACAAACTCAATTTTAATTTTAAACATCTTAGCAGCAAAAGTAGCTGTAATGTCAGCCCAAAATAGTTTTAAATTTGCTGAAATGGGATTTTTACATTTGTTTTTATAATTGGATGTGATTAATACTCAGGATCAGAAACCAAGACATCACATTATTCTAGGAATGTAAACAAACACATGCTGTGGTTCAAATAAATAATAAAGACTGAAAATGTGCATAAAAAGTATTGGTTTTATTTAATACAAAATTCACAGCAACGAAAAGTTAAATAATTAGGTAAAGAATAGTGGTGGTCCTCATTATATGATTGCCAAAGTAATTATTACAAAAGCGATACTTCAATACCAGATGTTGATTAGGACATGATGAATGTAAAAAAATGTATTGTATAAATGTGATGCTGATAACGTAAGGCAAAAAGTATTAGGCACTGTGACAACTCAACCAATTATTGTATACAAGGTTTTATTTTTAAAATGCATTAGGAACAAAGGCAAGTATATACAAGTGTGAGTCATGTTCTTTACATTAGTTTCCATTTATGTGATCTGTTATTGCACTTCTGTTCACCTTGCCTTGCTCTTCAAACTCCTTGATATTTTTGTCAAAAATTTTCTCCTGAAGAATATTGAGAACATTACAATATCAAACATTACAACAGTCAAAAATCTTATTTGCATACTGAAGTAAGAGATTCATTATAACTCACTGTTGTTGCTAGTGTTATAAAAAGTAATAACACTATATTAAGGTATTTTCTTAAAGTCAAATATCAAGAAAAATAAACTTACGGTCTTTATCATCAATATTTCCATGGCTAATTTTACAAATTCAGTGGTGGTAAGATTTTCAACTGGCTTCTTCAGAGTCAAAAAGGGACATTTGGGTGAATGCTTTGTGTGTTCTTTGCTAAAATAATAAAAAAAAAATGTTTTAGTCGTGCAAGTCACACATCTCACGTCGGAGTTTTTTAAATCATCAATTAAAATGTCCTAGCTGTCACTCACACTGGATCATCATCTGGCTCCCACCCATCTAATTCTTTCAGGCAGAATATGCAGCACACATTGTCAGGACAATCAGAACATGGGCTGAAGTAAAATCCAGCTTGTGCAAGCTGGCAACAGAAAAAATAGGTTTGTTAACACAGCCTGCAAGTACAGCAGACATTTCCTTTTCAATGTGATTAACTCAAATTGTATAGTTAAAGTTATTTTCTGGCCTATATTTATATATTTAGACACTGCTTTTAGTTTATTATTCTCTATTATATTTGACACAGATATATCACATTTTTTGGCAGAAAAAGCCATTTTTACTCCGTATAGCATGCGCCAACAATGTCATCCAAGGCCATTACCACATTGGATTTTTTTTCCGATGAGTATTTAAGATACCCGCCCACCCCCTCACAGCATACCGCATTTCTTTACAAAACAGGGTTAAAAGTTTAACTTTGATTTCAAGTAGGGGAGAGGGTGGTACTGAAACAATGAAGCTGTTTCTTTAATAGTACACATATATGTTATATAGGCCTAACTAAAAAAGTATAGACCTACTGCCATAGCATCATACAGGAAATGTGCTAATTTAATAAATTAGTTAATTGACGAAAGAAATATCGCTAATGATAATGAATGTTTTATGGAGAAGTTGAAGTTTGTTTTGGTTAAGGCAAAACACTACTGTGTGGCTAGAAACTATGTGAATTAATTAAGTGTCCAGGGCAGATACTCGTCTTAGTCTTCTATCTAGAAAAAGAAAACATCATGTATGCTGTCGGATACGCATTTAGATCTAGACTTATTTTAAAATGTATTTAGTATTTATTTTTATTCAAAAGCGTTTTTTGATCAGTCACCACAGGTGGATGTCGGATATGCCTAAGCGGTAATCTATTGCTTTAGGTACGTAAAATCGGCCAAGGCTAGTATTGTGTGACAAAGTTGCCTCATTGTTAAGGCTTTAATAGAAGTATATTGTGATATATTTGTGTCAAACATTATAGATAATTGAATAATAAACCAAAATCAATGGCTAAAAATATATCATTATAGGACAGAAATTAACTTTAAACAGCAGTGTTTTGCAAGCAATATTTGCTATATAAACAGCAGCCATTTGTAAATTATAGTGGCTTCCCCATAATCTCCCGCTATAAGTTTACCCAAAAAAACTTAAACTCCATTTTAGCGTATTTTATTTGCTGCTTCACATTCACTTCCAGTTGAGCATATTTTATTAACACAACCAAAACACAAAAATGAAGCAGGGAATTAAATACACTAAAATGGACTTTTACCCAAGATGGCTGCTTAAGTAAATGAGCTTTGTTGCATCTGATGAAAATATCGCTAGTCTTTATTTTTAATATTTTTTAGGCCTACTGAAAAGTTTTAATTTTTAATACAATTGTTTAAAAATAGGTACATCTAGGCTACATGAATGAAACTGAAACATTTGTGTAAGTTTCAAAACATAAAATCTTTTTAAAAATGTGAAACAATTGCTAAAATAGTAAAATTATTTTGAAAATTTAATGGGGCACCGTCTTTTCACATTTTAATAATGTAATATTAATGTATTAGGCCGCCTCATTGCTTAGATGGCTGGATTGACCTCTGACCCTGAAACGTCACGCGTCGTTTTCTGACGGTTTTTACGTTTATTTTAGGGTCCAATCCACGACAAATGAAAAAACTGTTAATCTCGCAAATTCTTATCATTATTTTAACACAAGATGCTAATAAAATGGATAATATGCCTTAGAATGCCAGAAAAAAACGCTAGAATTGTAGTTGTAAATAATGAGAGGATTTCCAGTGGAGCACTCTCCGTATAAACTGAACCGCTGCCAAAAACGACCGTATAACGGGGAAAACGGCCCGTATAACGGTAGATTAATATATAATTGAGATATTTACCATGTATATTTACAGTATTATGGATGATCTTTACCAAAAATCCAATTACCCCGTAAGTAACCATGCGACAATTTCTCTCTGCTATTTTTAGTAACGTTGCGTCATTGTTACGCTAGTTGCCAGACAGAAACAACTAGTTTTTGTTTTTTACGGAATGAACTGTTAAGTCTAGTATTTTAATTATAATTCAATTGTAGCATGTGTGGAAAAAGTAAAATTATGGACATTATTATTGTATTAATAATTTTATTAGTATATTGATTTTTTCTTCACTGTGGGCCGACAGTTGCTGCATTCGTGACCGGTGGTTAACCTCGTCAACGCTGCGTGGCCTATTCGTTTATATAATCAGTGATGCTCGTTCAGTGGCCTTTTTCAGAGCTAGGCCTAATTACTGGCGATTTTTAGACTTGATCGGCCGTTAGCCCTTTTCATTGCTGCGTATTTTAAAAAAATGCTCGTTCAGCTGCCTTTTTTTTGGCGCTAAATAATCTGTTTACGGTCATTTTAAGCGTTTATTTATTTATTTTTTTAAGCTAGACGTAGATCTAGTTAAATTTTTTTTTTATACAGCTGGCTGTCTAGCATGCCTGATATGTGAACTTTAAAAAAAATGACCGAACTTTTAAAAAAAATGACCAGAAGTAGGGAAGTAGGTCTGTAATTAAATTTGCTTGAAGAAGGGGGGGGGGAGAGAGAGAAGTGAAGACACCGACCATCTCGTGTACGCGTGTTCATTCTATGACGTGTACTATAGGTCACGGTGACCCCGCGACCGTGGTGGGATTTTTCATCCACAGGATAGTAAACGTAAGCAAGCAATCACGCGAGTGACGATGTTTGGAGATTTTATTTTAAAAAAATAATCACATACGTCATGTTTTCAAGATGAAAAAAAAAATGTAATGTAAAAAAAAAAAGACACTAATACCATGTATGAACCTCAGCTGCCACGCTGTTGACTCAATACAATGTGAATTGAGTGTAAAAAGTATTTGTATTTATAAACTATCATAACTATTACTATCATATTATTTTAAGCATATTTATTATTTAAAATTAGAATTTGAAATAAAAATATTTATTATGGTCATTTGATTTATGCAGGTGTTCATTACTTCATAAAATGGTATGAATATCATGTGGAGTAGAATTTAATAAATAATAAAATAACTAGATATAGTTTTATTATCAACGAGTTGCTTTTTGTTATTTTCCGGTGAGTAAATTACCTAAGCTGACGCAATTACCATGGCGGGAATTAAAAGCTCGTGCACACAAGTCCACGACGTCATGTTATGCCAGTCGAGGGCCAAGAACGCTGATTTGTCATTCATTTTCCATTTTTGATTAATTTTCAAATTCTCTATTTTCTCGTCAACCGAGTAAGCTAGATATTTAAATGAGGTGTCAAATGTTCTCTTAAGGGGTAAGGAAGTTAATGGTGTATTTGAAATAACAGAATATTTTATTTTAAAAAATCCATAATTCAACCTATAATGTATGATTGATTATTTATCCGAATATCGATATTCGCCCGATTTTACCTTTTCTGGAGTACAGTGCCAAGAACTATCATTTGGCCATCCTTTAAACGTCTTAAGCCTCTCCTTCTCAATAAACATAAGCATTGTTCTGTCGTCTAAAAGTAAATTTTCGGTCATTTTAAAATTCAAAAATTATTGTTTGTTTATTGTTTGAATCTCGTTCCGGAAGTGACATTCTCTTGTATCGAAGTTATTTCGCGTTTTATAAAACTGTTTTAATAAATTGTAATAAGAATTGATTAAAATTAAAATACTCTATTTTGACAGATTTCAGACAAGAGTTTTGAAAAATATCAATGTTTAAAAAAAAATAAAACTGCAATTTCGAGGGGGTTGTAGGCTAAGGTGTGACGTCATTTTAGGGTGTGGGGGTCTGGCTTTTTTGTGACGACGTATGACGGAGGGGAGGGGGGAGGTAAAAATCATTAAAAAAAACGTGACGTCATTTATGGATGACCCCACGTGCATTGGCATTCTGTTTGTGTAGGGGGAGGGGGAAAACAGGGCACATATGGTGCTACTAATCCTAGATCTATACGTTTTTGGTTTTTATCCAATCGCTAAGAAAATTTGGGAAGTCGTTGAGAATACTTCAGGTAATGTTTGGCATTTGGGAAATTTTCTAGCATTAAATTTAATTTTTTTTTTTTTGGCGGCGCCACGTCAGTAAAGCGGTGCTGTTTCCCAGCAGGAATCTCTTCGGGAGATTTCAATTTCATTTTGTTCGGGGGGGGGGGGGGGGGTAGGCTTTCTTCGTGGGGGGGGGAGGGGCGGGGTCTCCGAAAAGACGCCTGGAAGAAACTCTGTAGCAATGTTTAACCAGCAAACAGTTGAAATAGATCTAGTAGACAATTATAATTTGACATTTCCTTGCAAAGCGAAACAAACAACTCAATAATTGATGTTGTTGTTTTGGTAAAGCATTAGAATTCTAGATCTACATCCACTAACAAAAATTACACAAAAAAGGAGTGCTCGGCTTTTGAGTGTCTAGCTTTTTGTGATGAAGTTATTACGATGAGATTGAGATGGGGCAGGGGGGAAGAATGGGCAACTAACGTGGCGTTATTTATGAATAGCCTGGGTATGTGGTTGAAGAATACTACACGATACTCATGTGCGATACTTATAGTCGAATGCATCCATTCTGCGAGGTGCGGATAACTCTGCCCAACTAAACAAACACGCTCTTGTTTTGGTATTTATAAAATAAATGTACTAGGAATCTACTAGATTTAGCATTTTAATAATTTAATATAGATCTATTAGGATTGGAATTTGGCGCTAGATTCTAGATCTAGACCAACAATTGCTACTAATTTGTTATAGATCTAGTTCTAGACTTAAGGGTATAATTTATTATTATGCCTAAAGTTGTAAAAAAAAGTGGCCCTTCAAGGGAAAAAACAAAGGACCGGCCTGTACACCCATACAGTAGAAAAGCAATTCAACTTTCTAAACAGAAGACACACGATAAAAAGTTGGAGGCATCCAAAACAAATCAGCTAATGAAATCTGAACTGCTGGCTGAAAAGCTACTTTGGATTCAAGTATGTAATGTTGTTATTTGTTTTTTTTTATTATTTTATTTTTAGCCCAATTTCCATACTGACAATTGCGATTATTAATTCGTAATTTCTGGATGGATTGATGGATGTGTGTCCGCAGCTTTAAGTCGTATCTCCTCCTCAACGAAGCAATATTGAGGACTAGTTCCAAAAGCAAATATGTTAAGCAAGTTCCGAGGATGATTGTGGGCCAAAAAAATTCCTGGAATTCCTTCCTGGATTTCCCGGAAAAGCCAAAAAACCTCGAAAAAATGCAGTTTTTGGCCCATATCTCAACAAACAGACCACTTAGCGACTTGAAACATTTACCAATCGATTCCTGCCATAATTTAGAACAATATTGCCGAAGAAAGTTTTCAAAAGTATCCTTTCGTTCGGTCACAAAAACTTAATCAAGGAAATTGCGCTTAAATTGTCACTAGACTTTTTATGAACTTGTTTTAATAGGGCCTATCAAATATCCTATCTCTCGCCGATAGTATAGGTAATCTATCGTTTTGGGTACGTAAAATTGCCCGCGGCTATTAATGTACGAAAACGTTACCTCATTGTCAAGGCTTTAATAGAAGTATATTGTGATATGTTTGTGTCAAATATTATAGATAAATGAATAATAAACCTAAATCAATAACTAAATATATCAATATGTTGAATAGGCCAGAAATTAACTTTAAACAGCAGTGTCTGCGAGCAAGATTTACTATTCACTATCAGCCATTTGTAAAATAGAGTGGCTTCCCCCTGAATCTCTCGCTATAACTTTATAAAAATAAAACTTAAGCAAGATGGCTGCTATAGTAAATGGTTGCATCTGTTGGAAACATCGCTAGTCTTTATTTATTACTGAAAAGTTTTAATTCAATTGTTTGAAAACAGGTACATAAAGGAAACAAGGAAACATTTTTGTATTTTAAAAAACATTAACGTTACCTCACCTTTAGTGTTGTTGCTCATTAATTTTGGTTAGCGCTGGTCCTACACATTTGTTTTTTACGGGTAGGCCTACCTGGTCTAATACTGTCTGGATCTAGTTGTCTAGCTAACTTATGTACTCAAGAGTTTTACCATATTTTTAGTGGTTTTCCATTAATGATGCGGTTACGTTTTTTAACATCAGACTCCCACCCTTAATCAGATTCACATATTATTTAATTTTTTTCTGGTTGCATTATGTCATTTATTGAGGACTTCTTATATCTTTACTAAGTAAGCTAGTGTCACTGAGACCAATCCTAATCAAATCAACACTTAAAATTGCTAGCAAGAAATGTAATTAATTCTCTTATACTTTCAGGAACATCTTGATGATCGACATGTATATACAAAACAAGATGTAATCTCGCTGGTCATGGAATATCGTAACAGGTTTAAAGAAGAACTAGAGCAAATCAGTATAGTTCAAAGTGTTGGTAACAGGCAACAGTCAAAGCAACACGTAGCCCGTGAGGCTGCCATTAAAATGACAATGGAGGAAGAAACAAATCAGTTTGAGGGTTCTGGCATTGAAGTACCTGATCTCATCAACAAAAAACACTTAGAGGAATTTAAAAAGTGGAATGGAGAGCTCAAGTATATACAGAACTTAAAACTTCGAAAAATTTCAAGCATTGATGTCAAGAGATTAAATGAAAAAGGTTCAGATGAATTAAGCAATGAGACCAACATTGACAGTGATGTATGACATTGATAAATTAAATGTTTATCACACACCTTCTTTTGTGTTATAGAAACCACATTTAGCAGCGTAGGATCTCATGTATAGAGATGGCCAACTTTGACTTTCATTACACTTAATTACTGGTATAACTATGATAAAAAGTATACACACATTTAATAAGGATAACTTCTTTTCTCTTAATTAAAAAAATCGATCCATTTTGCAGATGTAGTAGAATTCATGTTTCTTGATCTCTAGATATGAAGGGATGGTGTGGTCAGCAGTGAGTCAAGTACCCACCAGAGCTGAGTGGTATACGAAGTCAAACAAACTTGATTTACTTAAAAGTTAGCAGTTGAGGTTTATCACACATAAAAGCTTAGCTTTTTTTTTAAATATAACAAAAAGGTACTTATAATTACATGGGTTCTCAAATTAAATCAGTTAAAAAGTAATTGTATTAGTTCGTAGAGTGAAAAATTAATGAACTGCTTCATATTTAATATTATAACTTTAAGAGAAGCTTCTGTTGAGGTTGAATAGTTTGGCCTTTTCATTCAATCAAGGCTGTCAAAGCACATGGTTAAAATTTTCAAGTCAGCTGAAAAAGTTGACGTGTATGTTGTACAGAGTGAACGAGGTTAACAAGGGAAGGGACTGGTTGAGCAACAGCAGGTGTTGTGAGCTGGAGAAAGGAGTTGCGAAGCTGTGAACATGGTGGGAGGTGAAGGTAGTGAAAGGTAACTTGGTTGTGATGAGGAACAGATAGTTCATCTTTAACCTCAAATGATTAATGTTGGTGTGTACCAACGTGGCTGGTACCAAGAGTGCCCTCATTATTTCATCTTTCAAAAAATTAGATTTTATTTTAATTATATTACTACAACTGAAAATGGCATGTCAGGATCCAGCTTTTTGTGCTGTGCAGAAATTTTGGTTTTACATACTTTGGTAACCTAAGAATTTAAATTAATGCCCTCCCAGCAGTGGTAACTAAGTTAAACTTTAAACTATGTTGATCATATTAATTCTCTAATGAAATTTTACTTTATAAAATAACAACTATGCTCAAAGTTCTAGTATGATTTTATTTACAGATTGAAGTACAATTTGTGAAAACTACAGCAAAATGTTTGAATGAGTTATGATAAAGATGACTGAAATGAAAACATAAATTTATCTTTTTGACATTATTCAGCTTCTTGGTCTTCAATTTTTGGTGCTAGGTAGAATCGAAGATATCCAAGTTCAGATATTTTGTACTCAACAACTGCAGAAATAAAGAAACAAGCATAAATCACTAACATCTCATAGAATCAAAAATTTATTATCTTACAGCGCAAAATATTGACAATTTTTCTTTAACTTAAATGTTCATTAATCCAAGCAACACCTACGGTGGTAGTTTTTCTTAGATATATAAGGCAAAACTAAACTAAGAAAATCTCTCACCAAGCGGTACATCCTGAGACATTGAAAGAGATACTTGTCCAGACAGAGGAGTGGCTTTAGTAAAAAAGTTTAGGTAGCGCAGAGCAAAGGTCAAACAAACAGCCTCGTTCATGTCAACTATCACAGCCTCTTCCTCCTTGTCAGTGCTAGCATTTTGACAAAGTTTAATGTTTCCTGGAAAGATTAAAATCTTCACTTTACAAATGCTTTAATAAATTTAAAAAAAAAAAAAGCAAATTTCTGTTAAAGCTGGGTGCTGGGTGAAAAGTTTTAACCCTATACAGACCTATGTGCTAACTGTTGCTAGAGAATGTGGTATTTTGAAGATACTTTGTTTTCTCGTTTTTCTATCACTAATGGTTCTTTTTCTACAATCCTCGAAATTACTGGCAATATAATTCGTGAAATTAAATCTAATTAAAATGCCTCTGCTGTTGAATCAGGCTAATAAATAATGTAACAACTGAAGAGGAAAGTAGCTCCGGTGACTATGTTGAATTTTCTTTATTTAAGAGGTTTTTTTTAGAATATTAGAAGCAGTGTTTTATGTAAGATTTTCTGGGATTAGTGTTATCTTTATTACTTATTAGTTAATGATTAAGCTATCTGACCTCATGCATAATAAACTTGGACCAGTTTAGCATATATTTTTTCATTTTTTTTAAACGCGTGGTTATTTTTTCTAAAATAACTTTTAAAAGGGCCATGATTGAAAAAAATCTGTTGTCTTTTCACCATGCCATAGGTGAAGTTAAATAGTTTTGATGCTCTGGCCAGTGAAAGGTTAAAATAATCCAAGTTACAACAGTGTATAACTTTTTTTTTCTTGTCCTACTTTGTTTCCGCATTCTTAGAATCAGTACTATGCATAACAATCAAAGCCCTTATTATGTGATTGATTAGAAAACCAGTTTGAAGCACCTAGATACAGCAACACCAAAGTTAGCCATGCTCTGTGTGTTATGGAAGAGTGGCCTGAAAGGCAATTATAAAATGTAAAAGATAATACCAGGGATGTGACCAGACCAGGAAAAAAAATTAGGAAATTTTCTTCGGATAATAACTCAATGTTTTATCTACTTTTTATCGCAGTTAAGCAGCTTCAAACCGCAGCTTCATACTGTTACTGTACTAATTAATTGTTTAATGAAGTTAATATTTTAAATACAAGAAGTTTATGTTACTCTAAAATAACATTGAAAGTCTTGTCTTATTGCAATTTAATGTTTACCTTATAAACAACTTTAAAAAAATTACTATGTAACAAAACTAGCAAATTAAGTTTTATATTACCATTAAGCTAATTTAAATTGCACTAATCTAGTGTAGATGTACTCCTGTTTTCAATTTTAAATAGGGGGCCTAATGCCTTATATTCTTTTAAAGATTGGATTGGTAAAAATATTTGTCTTCAACTGTAAAGAGCCTAGATTAAGATTAGTTATAATTTGAAAGTTTCAGGTTCATGTGATGGAAAAATGACTGGACCAGGTTAGCTAAAATTAGAAAGGGTCTGATGTGTGAACCAAAGTTAATCATTTTGATAGCCAAGCCACATCGATATTTGTTTTTTTGGAATAGCTGTAAACTGTTAGGGGTCATCCACGTTTTTTTAACGATATTTACCTCCCCTCTCTCCTACAAAAGCCAGACCCCATATAATGACGTCACACCTCAGCCAACAAATGACCCCCCCCCCTCGAATTGAATTTTTTCCTAAAATATTGACTGAGGTCGACCAACATAGGGTATTTTATTCAATTTCTATTACAATGTTTTACAAGTTTTCTAAAACGCGTAATAGCGGCTAAAATGCAGTTGCTTCTAACATTAATTTTTTAAAATACAAAAAAATGACGTTACACTATCTTACGAGTGTGACGTTATTTATGGAAGACCCCTTATTAAAAATTAAAAAAAAAAAAAAACAGTCTGTACGTATTTTTTCTTCCACAAACAAGACACGGTCGTAGTCACGTTGAGTTTAGTATTTTTTTTTTTAAATCTGTAGGCCAACGAAGCATACATATTGACTGTGACGTCATTTTTTCCCCCCACAAGCAGTACTGAACACGTACTTGGGGTAAAGGTGAGGTCACAAGAGCCACCGTTGCTACGAGGTGGGGTGGGTTAGTCTTGTCCTCATAGTCACCTTTTGCAAGGATTTCAATATTAATTTGAGATTGCGAAATAAAATAGAATCAGAGAGAAACTGTAGATTTAGGTGGGTTAAAATACCGATTGATAAATTAGGCTATATCGATAGCTAGATTACCAGGCTTAAGAGATGTAAGTTGCATTTAAATAACTGAATTGTTTTAGGTTACCTTTTCCCGTGTTTTTAATAAATAGTTAACTGAAAATATCAGCGGAAAATTAGGGCTAAAACAAATTGTGCTTTGAAAAAGTCCGCCGAAATTCCGAATCTTAATCTACATTTAATCTTGACCTAGCACCGTCAGTCCTACCGCAATCGACAATAAATGCGCATATTCGAGTGTCCGTTTGACCTAAGAACAGTAGTTGTCGATTTAAATACGAATAAGTGGAACGAGCATGTCGGCCCTTTCCGTAAAAGACATTTCCGTTTTTTTTCCTAATTTTTAAAACTTCGTAAAAAATCGACAAAAATTGAAAGTCGGCGGAAAAATTCGGCAAAAATTAAATCAGCGGAGGAAAATCACATCTGAAACGGAAAAATCGGATTTCCGCTAAAATTCGGAAAAGTCACATCCCTGTAATACAAAACAAAAATTTTTTAAACAACTTACCAGTTCCAAGTTCACCACTAGCAGAAAATTTGACGCCTTCTTTGGTGCAAGCAATAACTACAGAGTCGCCCAACTGGCTGAGATCACGACAAATGCGTTGAAATTCACCACTTGGCATTTTCACAACACAGCTGTATTCCGTGTCCTGCATAATGTCAAGTTTCAATTAGCAAAACATCCCAAATTGTCAAGAACTCTGTATTTTATGTAATTTAGTATGTTGTAAAAATGTTAGGAGTTGTTTACTTTTTTTAAAGCAAGAAAAAAAATGACATTTTCAAACTGAAAATTCAAAGAAAAGTTTGACTTACAGGGATTCCTAAGTGTTCTGTGTCAAGGTCAATTAGCTTCATTTCATAGTCAGACACCTTTTCTTGATCTGCAATGGTTGTTGAAGATAAGATTCAGCAAACATTGTTAGTCTGCTACATAATACATATAAGCCATAGGCACACACAGCATCTGATAGGGGCATAAACAAAACCAATTTTTAAAGATGAAAAAGAATTACTTGGGGACTCAAAAACCAGGGAAACTGTATCGGCTTCATCTGCAGCTTTGATTGTTATACTGTCATCATTGCCAGCACATTTCATTATTTTGGACATACTGTTTTCAAGAAAAATATTGGAATACAAGTAATTAATAATTCTTTCAATAATTAAGTACCAATACTACATTTAACGGCTACATCTGAGGTAAAACAATAACTTTATTACTTCACATGCAAAAAAAAGGTGAGCAAACATTTTTTTAAAAAATTTTTGATACCATTGGGATAAAAATGTGTGGATCATTTGAGGTAATGAAGAGGCTATTGTTCCTCAAGGTAAAAACAACATTGTTGACAAAATGCCATGACGGATTATTAGGCCTAAGCAAGTCTAATTTTTAGTGAAATACACTTAGACCTACTTAGTATAGCCTACAACATTAATAATTAGGCAAATGTATTTACAAAGCAAATTATTTGCAAAATGCAAGATGTGATACTTAAAGCATACAAATGTTATCACAGCTGCAGGTACATGGCAAGACAAAATTCATGATTATACTAATATACTTGTCTTGGTTTCATTTATTACATAAAATATGCTTGATTTTCTCAAATCTTGATACACCATTTTGCATCCACTGCTGCATCAACACCAGGACAGGTTGTTTGCTGAAATTTTCCTGAACTGTTGGTGTGTTAGGCGTTAGGTTGATAACCCTTGTGTGTTAGGTTGATAATGCTTATGGCAATCATTTAACAAAATATGTCTACAAGTAAATCTAGACTATATCCAAAATTTCAATAGTAAGGCTCAGACAAGTGGTGCAGTATTTCTTCAAAGAAGTAGATCTAGAATCTAGATCCTTGGAAGTTTATTTTTTTTGACAAATATTTTTATTTAGGCTTCTTTTGAGTTATCCCCTGCTATTAATTTTGCGGTCTCCCAAGTGCCCAAGACATTCCAGTTGGCTTCAGTTCTTCAAGATGACTCCTCCAGGTCTGTCTTGGGTGCCCTCTCTTCCGCTTTCCCTGGGGGTTCCACTCAAGCACTTGGCGTGTCACATTTGGGTGAGCCTTTCACAGCATGTGTCCCACTCAGCGCCACCCTCCTTATTTGCACTGTCTCAGGCTCCTGTCTTGCTTTTCTACATAATTTTATGTTCGGCACTTTGTCCTGCCACCTCAATTTCAAAATCTGTCGAAGGCACCTGTTCATGAAGGTCTGTATCTTTGCTGTGTTTGCTTTGGAGACTCCATGTTTCCGCTCCTTATAGGAAAACTGCCTTGACATTTGAGCTAAGTATTCTAATTTTGGTTTGCTTTGAAATGGCAGAATTTTTCCATATGGGTCACAGAACTGAGAAAGCGGAGCAGCTTTATTAATTCTAGCATGTATGTCCTCTGTTCCTCCTGATTTGCTGATCTTGCTGCCAAGGTAGACAAACTCTTCCACATCATTTACATATCTTATCTGTTGTCACTAATTAATTAGGCCTTAAAACAAGTTTGTTAAATGTTAGTAAGCAGTTTTTTCTCTAGATCTACTTTCTAGTGGTGTAGTACTCTCTGTAGTAATAGATCTAGTCTATATATAATATATTATATAGGCCTATGGCCTATAGTAGTATATACAATAGTGTTACTATGTTACTGTTAAGTTAAAGTGTTAATAAATAAAGCGTTAAGAGTTACGTGTAGGGTAGTTGGTACTGGTAGTAATTATACTTTTTATAGTTTTATGAATTTAGTTTAGTTAGTCACTCGTGACTATGGTAATTGATACTTACTTTATACTTTATACTATAAAAAATATAATACTACACTTAATAGACTAGAATTAGGTAGATCTAATTATTTACCTTGGTAAGTGGATTCCCATCGATAGATTTCTATCACATCTGTAAGTTTCAAAACCGTCTGATTTCATACTGAGAGCAACCAAACTGACATGGGAGCTGTCCATGGCTTGCAGTGTTATTCCAGTACTCGAGCAATCGAAAATCGCTTCATTTAAAAGATCTTTGATTGCTTCTAAGATCTTTTTCCACATTGATCCCTGAACTAGGCGTGCTTCAAACATGATTATTTAGTACCTGGCGGGTCTATAAATGTATCTTTAATAAAAATGGATATTGTAAGTGTATATAGAATAGTACAGACGGCCTTTATGAGAGCGTAAGCATCAGAAAAGGCGCGCCAGGGATAAGGAAATTTTCCTGACAACAATTTTGCGGGAATTTTTCATCAAGCTAGAAGTTTTATTGGCTAAATCTAACCCGGAAATATTTGTTTGGCGGTTCCTCTATTAACCGCTGGAAACTGAAGAGTCTGATTCTCCTAAATTACTTTTAGCTGTCTCTCAGCTGACACTACATCGTTACGTAGGTTGTCAAAATGATTGTGGGGAAAAAAGTCACAGGAACTGGAAAAAGTCACAAGTGTATTTGCATGGAATTTGTTAATACCTCTTTGTATTAAATTGGCATAAACTGCAAATCAACTTAAGATTAATTAAATGTAATGTAAACATTTTAAATAATATATGCATAGGTTGTATATGTATAGTAATATGTATAACACACGTTAAAATTAAAATATTTATTATGAAGTATGTAGGTTTTAATTCCGTTTTACATATAATATGTATTAATAGAATTTAATAGAATGTAACAGCATTCTCGTTTTTCATCATGTTTTTTTTTTTTATTTAACTTAGATTGAAATGTCATAAAGAAATAGTTAATGTGACTTGATGTCCTCAACTCATCGCAACAATAGTTCATCCACCTGTACTTCCCGCATTTACCACGCTCATTACATAACAATGCATACAGTGTTTCTTCCAGACTTTTTTCTCCGGGGGTGCACTAGAAATTTTCGGGGGGGGGGGGGGGGGGCGGACAATGTTAAAAGTATATATTTTCTATATAAATTATATACATTTCATTTCGTTCGGGGGGGGGGGGGCGGTAGAATTTTTTCGGGGGAGGGGGGTCTTAGCCCCCTCCCCCCGAAGAAATGCCTGGAAGAAACTATGAAAGCATAGGATTATAACAGAAAGCCGACACAGTACAAAGGCTGTTTGGCGGCAAAACGTCAATACACAATTTGGACGGACAAGGCCGATTGAGTACAAGCCGACCAAGGAAAGGCATACAGCAAAAAACATTTGCAAAACACAATAATGTGCCCAAGTTTCATTTAAAATTAAATTTTCTACTGCGCCTCCGCGGTAGTGTTATCGGGGGGGGGGGGGGCTACCGAGAGTGCCCCTCTACCTTTCTGATACATGGGCGGTCTCAAAATGTGTTCTACCTCATTATTTCGGTGAGTGATTAACGTATAATACTAATAGTTTCGCTGTCTGTGTATCTATCTGTCTATCTATCTATCTATGTATCTGACAAGAACGCTCTAGAGAAAACACAAGCAAATTAAAAACATGCATAGTAATTCGAAAAACGAAGTATGACGTCGTCACATTTAGCATAGAGTAGAAAATAATATCAAGCCGGAGAGTGCACACAGTAATATGACGTCATTGATTCTCCAGTAAACATTGAATAAAAAGGCAATTTTGTCTAATCTAAGTGGTTTGCGTGAAGAGTTTCTTTCATACAATTCTTCGGGTAGTGGCGAAGCCCCACCCCCGCGTAAGAACGTCTGAGCCCTCCCCCCCCCCCCCCCCCCCTCCCCAACTCAAAAGAAATTTCCTCATCGATACTCTATAATAAAATTACCGTCTAATTAATGTGTCTAATCTAAAAAGTGGTTTTCTTGCAATTTCTTTAATGCAATTCTTCGCGTAGTGGCTAAGCGCGACACCAGTATTTCTTTCAGACTTTTTCCTCTCCGGAGGAGGGAACTTTTTCTAATCTAAAAAGCGTTTAGCGTACAGTTTTTTTTTCAAGCATCTCTTCCGGTAGGGGCGAAGCCCCGCCCAGATTCTTCCTTTAGTTTGTATGATCTACAAATGCTACCAGTGTTTCTTTCAGACTTTTTCCTCCCCGGAGAGGGGTGGGGTTACTTAATTTTCGGGGGCGGGGGTAGAATTTTCTGGGAGGGTGCGTACACTGGAAAAAGTATATAATTATATTTCGTTGAATGGGACAGTAGTCATGTTTTAGAGGTTGTGTGGGGGGGGGGGGGAGTAGAGTTGCCTGAAAGAAACTCTAAATGCGACTTTTGTCATGAATGAGATTAGGTGCATGGTTTAGGGATATGCCTATGACTATATTTTGTATAAATTAAAGTACCGAGAAAATAGACAGCACTATCAACCTAGCGCCCGTTGTACCCTTCCTCAACGGGCCATTTTTCTCGTACTCAAGGTTTCTATGCGGTAGTGTGGGTAAACCCATATCCTGATATTTATGATCCCATGCAGTGCAGGCATTGTTTTACATTTAAATAACTCAATCTTAGAAAACAAGGTCACGCGTCTAAGAACATAGGACTGGTAACTCATTGATGAAACCCTTCTTACATATTTCGCCAGACTTTCTTCTATCCCCGCGGCAACGCGCGGAGACGGGTACGATAGTCTTACAGTATTGTAACAGATCGCGGCAGCGCGCAGGAAGGGTTCTCAAGTATGTTATGTTTGACAATTTAAAATAATATTTATCTGGACTTGTGTACACTGCATTCTTTTTTCATATAAGGCAGTGTCAAGCCTACCAGATTTGCAAAGCAAAACCAATTTTATTTTGTTCAAATGCTTTTAGTTTGATCGCTATTTTTTGTGTGTGAACTCAAATGGTTTTAAAATGTTTGATTTATATCTATTCACAAAAAGCTCAATATTTGTTTTAAGTAAGGTTAGACCTATTCTACTTGTTAGATTGGGGTCCGATCGCATTTTAATGATTTTATATATCTACTAATATACCGCAACATCTAGCTTTTTTTGAGTTATTTGATCCTTCGACATTTTGATCTGGTAACTCTCACAGGTGTAAAAATAAATAAACAAGAAAACAGAATCTAGAATCTAGATCTAGATTTTGATTCTGGATATTGAAATCCAGAGTATTCTAGAGTTTATAGTCTATAGGCCTAATATTCTAGACTGGATCTAGTCTACTAGACCAGAAACCAAGGTTGTTAAAAATATTGCTAAATGACGAAATTAACACATGGAATAACTCTAAGACTTAAGACATGACACTAGTAGACAACCAAGGCGTCCAACAAGGAGACTCCTACTCCTACACTAGTCCTACACTAGTACACTCCTACACTTACAACACTACACTGACACTCCACTCCTAGTCCTAGTCTAACTACTTAGAACTACTAAGTAACTAGATTACTAGATCTTCTTCTTCTCTAGTTACTCTAACTCTAGATCTAGTACTTAGAATACTTAGATCTAGAGATCTAGACTCTATTATTTAGTCTGACTAGTTTTTTTTAGTACTACTAGACTCTAGTAGTAGTACTAGTCAGTTAGTCAGACTAGTTTAGTAATGACTAGATCTAGATTCTAGTACTAGTACACTTACTAATCACAAATCAGATTATTAGACAGGTAATCTATCATTTTAGGTACGTAAAATCGCCCGCGACTAGATTCTAGTAATGTGAAAAACAGGTGACTCCCTTAAATTTTAATAATTATTTCACGTTTTGAGGAGGATTTATGTTTAGAAAAATAGAAAAATGTCTCCCTGTTTTATTTATGTACCTGGGATAATATTTAGAATCAACCCTTTGAATCCCAGTCAGAAACCCCTCCCCCCCCCCCCCCATTGTGTTTTTATTGTTTTCTGTGTATTTGAGACCAAATTATAAAGTTTTTAAAAATATTTGCATTATCTCCCTGCTGGACCATGAGATATCTATATCTATTAATCTAACATTCAATCTATGCTCAGCCGGGATATTATAGCAGTAATCTGTGTCACCTACAAATGGATTAAAAGTTTTATGGTGATCACCTATGTTTGTAAGAATTTGATAAATTTTTGGGGAGTGCATGACATCGCAAAGCCCAAATCAATCACATATATCCTGAAGTTAACTGTTAAACAATGATATTTGAGATAAATATTTACAATTTAAAAAATACAGTCAAGTCCCTTGAGAATTTTATATGTGCATGTTTTTTGTCTGTTTTCAAATGAACTGTTTACAGATTATTTTACACATTTCAATAATTATTCCACTTTTCATATTGTTTACAGATTATTTTACACATTTCAATAATTATTCCACTTTTCATATTTTTTAGGATTCAGAATGCTTACAATAAAGCATTTTTCTAAGGCTCAAGGCTCTTTATTGATTCATGTGTGCAACATAAATAAAAAAGCCTGTGCTCCTGCATATTTCTCACACTTGACAAGGAATGCAGTGGCCTTGAGCAATAAGTTAAGAAAAGAAAACCCCACTTATGTAAGCTGCATGCTGAAAAGCACTCAGCCCAAGTACAGGTTGCGTTACGCCAATTTTGGACATAAAGAGAGGGAGCTCTCTTGGCCTAACAAAGTGGTTTATATAGTTTTAATGGCTGGCATGGTCTTCACACTAGTTTTAGGCCTACTGTAAGTTAACTCACTGCTTTCTTATACAATAAAGTATGAAAAATATGATCATTTGTTTTTAAATCAGGTTTAAGGCAGATAAAATTGAACGAAATATTTAGATTACATTTTTTTAGCAGTTTTGGGTAAGTGAAAACAGTAAAACTGTAATGTTAATTTAGCTTTTTCTTTTGTTTGATCAGTTTTGGGTTAGTGAAAAGAGTAAAACTATTGTTAATTTAGCTTTTTCTTTTGTTTGATCAGTTTTGGGTTAGTGAAAAGAGTAAAACTAATGTTAATTCAGCTTTTTCTTTTGTTTGATCAGTTTTGGGTTAGTGAAAAGAGTAAAACTAATGTTAATTCAGCTTTTTCTTTTGTTTGATCAGTTTTGGGTTAGTGAAAAGAGTAAAACTAATGTTAATTCAGCTTTTTCTTTTGTTTGATCAGTTTTGGGTTAGTGAAAAGAGTAAAACTAATGTTAATTCAGCTTTTTCTTTTGTTTGATCAGTTTTGGGTTAGTGAAAAGAGTAAAACTAATGTTAATTCAGCTTTTTCTTTTGTTTGATCAGTTTTGGGTTAGTGAAAAGAGTAAAACTAATGTTAATTCAGCTTTTTCTTTTGTTTGATCAGTTTTGGGTTAGTGAAAAGAGTAAAACTAATGTTAATTCAGCTTTTTCTCTTGTTTGATCAGACCCTCAGACAAAGGTTTTCATAAAAGCACTAGTGTGAAGGCAGAATCTGTCACTCATACAACACATGAAGACTCTGAAGAGGAGTCTGGAGATGATGAGAAGAAAAAAAAGAAGAAAGTGGGGTTTCGAGATAGACGGGTGCGAACACTTGATTTATTCGTGTTTTATAATGTTAAAATATTAAAATGATAGCTTAAAGTTGTTTTTTTTAAAAACTTTTTTAGTTAAACACCTCTTACTCATTTGAATAAATTTTGTACAGATCATTGGATATGAAGATCGTATCCGAGCCTACTCCACACCTGATAAAATCTTTCGCTACTTTGCCACTTTAAAAGTAAACCAGGATGGGGACTGGGAGGTGTACATGACTCCAGAAGATTTTGTGCGTTCAATCACACCAGGCGTGAAGCAGCCTGAAGGTTAGTCCAGCTCTAGCTAACAATCAGTGCCATCTTAATGTGTTTCCACATGGAATCTGTGTTTCTGTCATAGAAAACAAACATCCCCAATGTTTAAACTTACACCAGTTTTAGTTTATATAAAGTAAAAAGGTTTTAAAAAGTTGATCATGTATTTCAGGTCTGGGACTTGATAGCTTTAAGAAATTTGATCCAACTGTAAGTATCTCCTCCCAATTGCTTTTGTCTGTCCATACAAAATTGTCATTTGATAAATATGTTAAACTACGCTACAGTTGAAGGTTAATAATTTTTTTAAAATGTGCATTAGCTTTTTAACAAATTTTTAAAGAGTGCTGAATACCATCAGCCACATTAGTGTTAGTTGTTAGTGACCAGATAAAGTTGTTAGTGGCCAGCTAAAGTTGTTAGTGGCCAGATAAAGTTGTTAGTGGCCAGCTAAAGTTGTTAGTGGCCAGATAAAGTTGTTAGTGGCCAGCTAAAGTTGTTAGTGGCCAGCTAAAGTTGTTAGTGGCCAGCTAAAGTTGTTAGTGGCCAGCTAAAGTTGTTAGTGGCCAGCTAAAGTTGTTAGTGGCCAGCTAAAGTTGTTAGTGGCCAGCTAAAGTTGTTAGTGGCCAGCTAAAGTTGTTAGTGGCCAGCTAAAGTTGTTAGTGGCCAGCTAAAGTTGTTAGTGGCCAGATAAAGTTGTTAGTGGCCAGCTAAAGTTGTTAGTGGCCAGCTAAAGTTGTTAGTGGCCAGCTAAAGTTGTTAGTGGCCAGCTAAAGTTGTTAGTGGCCAGCTAAAGTTGTTAGTGGCCAGCTAAAGTTGTTAGTGGCTGCTACAGCTAAAGTTGTTAGTGGCCAGCTAAAGTTGTTAGTGGCCAGATAAAGTTGTTAGTGGCCAGATAAAGTTGTTAGTGGCCAGCTAAAGTTGTTAGTGGCCAGCTAAAGTTGTTTGTTAGTGGCCAGCTAAAGTTGTTAGTGGCCAGCTAAAGTTGTTAGTGGCCAGCTAAAGTTGTTAGTGGCCAGCTAAAGTTGTTAGTGGCCAGCTAAAGTTGTTAGTGGCCAGATAAAGTTGTTAGTGGCCAGATAAAGTTGTTAGTGGCCAGCTAAAGTTGTTAGTGGCCAGCTAAAGTTGTTAGTGGCCAGCTAAAGTTGTTAGTGGCCAGCTAAAGTTGTTAGTGGCCAGCTAAAGTTGTTAGTGGTCAGCTAAAGTTGTTAGTGGCCAGCTAAAGTTGTTAGTGGCTGCTACAGCTAAAGTTGTTAGTGGCCAGCTAAAGTTGTTAGTGGCCAGCTAAAGTTGTTTGTTAGTGTCCAGCTAAAGTTGTTAGTGGCCAGCTAAAGTTGTTAGTGGCCAGCTAAAGTTGTTAGTGGCCAGCTAAAGTTGTTAGTGGCCAGCTAAAGTTGTTAGTGGCCAGCTAAAGTTGTTAGTGGCCAGCTAAAGTTGTTAGTGGCCAGATAAAGTTGTTAGTGGCCAGATAAAGTTGTTAGTGGCCAGATAAAGTTGTTAGTGGCCAGCTAAAGTTGTTAGTGGCCAGATAAAGTTGTTAGTGGCCAGCTAAAGTTGTTAGTGGCCAGCTAAAGTTGTTAGTGGCCAGCTAAAGTTGTTAGTGGCCAGCTAAAGTTGTTAGTGGCCAGCTAAAGTTGTTAGTGGCCAGATAAAGTTGTTAGTGGCCAGCTAAAGTTGTTAGTGGCCAGCTAAAGTTGTTAGTGGCCAGCTAAAGTTGTTAGTGGCCAGCTAAAGTTGTTAGTGGCCAGCTAAAGTTGTTAGTGGCCAGATAAAGTTGTTAGTGGCCAGCTAAAGTTGTTAGTGGCCAGCTAAAGTTGTTAGTGGCCAGCTAAAGTTGTTTGTTAGTGTCCAGCTAAAGTTGTTAGTGGCCAGCTAAAGTTGTTAGTGGCCAGCTAAAGTTGTTAGTGGCCAGCTAAAGTTGTTAGTGGCCAGCTAAAGTTGTTAGTGGCCAGATAAAGTTGTTAGTGGCCAGATAAAGTTGTTAGTGGCCAGATAAAGTTGTTAGTGGCCAGCTAAAGTTGTTAGTGGCCAGATAAAGTTGTTAGTGGCCAGCTAAAGTTGTTAGTGGCCAGCTAAAGTTGTTAGTGGCCAGCTAAAGTTGTTAGTGGCCAGCTAAAGTTGTTAGTGGCCAGCTAAAGTTGTTAGTGGCCAGATAAAGTTGTTAGTGGCCAGCTAAAGTTGTTAGTGGCCAGATAAAGTTGTTAGTGGCCAGCTAAAGTTGTTAGTGGCCAGCTAAAGTTGTTAGTGGCCAGCTAAAGTTGTTAGTGGCCAGATAAAGTTGTTAGTGGCCAGCTAAAGTTGTTAGTGGCCAGCTAAAGTTGTTAGTGGCCAGCTAAAGTTGTTAGTGGCCAGCTAAAGTTGTTAGTGGCCAGATAAAGTTGTTAGTGGCCAGCTAAAGTTGTTAGTGGCCAGCTAAAGTTGTTAATGGCCAGATAAAGTTGTTAGTGGCCAGCTAAAGTTGTTTGTTAGTGGCCAGCTAAAGTTGTTAGTGGCCAGATAAAGTTGTTAGTGGCCAGCTAAAGTTGTTAGTGGCCAGCTAAAGTTGTTAGTGGCCAGCTAAAGTTGTTAGTGGCCAGCTAAAGTTGTTAGTGGCCAGCTAAAGTTGTTAGTGGCCAGGCCAGCTAAAGTTGTTAGTGGCCAGCTAAAGTTGTTAGTGGCCAGCTAAAGTTGTTAGTGGCCAGCTAAAGTTGTTAGTGGCCAGCTAAAGTTGTTAGTGGCCAGCTAAAGTTGTTAGTGGCCAGCTAAAGTTGTTAGTGGCCAGCTAAAGTTGTTAGTGGCCAGCTAAAGTTGTTAGTGGCCAGCTAAAGTTGTTAGTGGCCAGCTAAAGTTGTTAGTGGCCAGCTAAAGTTGTTAGTGGCCAGCTAAAGTTGTTAGTGGCCAGCTAAAGTTGTTAGTGGCCAGCTAAAGTTGTTAGTGGCCAGATAAAGTTGTTAGTGGCCAGCTAAAGTTGTTAGTGGCCAGCTAAAGTTGTTAATGGCCAGATAAAGTTGTTAGTGGCCAGCTAAAGTTGTTAGTGGCCAGCTAAAGTTGTTAGTGGCCAGATAAAGTTGTTAGTGGCCAGCTAAAGTTGTTAGTGGCCAGCTAAAGTTGTTAGTGGCCAGCTAATGTTGTTAGTGGCCAGCTAAAGTTGTTAGTGGCCAGGCCAGCTAAAGTTGTTAGTGGCCAGCTAAAGTTGTTAGTGGCCAGCTAAAGTTGTTAGTGGCCAGCTAAAGTTGTTAGTGGCCAGCTAAAGTTGTTAGTGGCCAGCTAAAGTTGTTAGTGGCCAGCTAAAGTTGTTAGTGGCCAGCTAAAGTTGTTAGTGGCCAGCTAAAGTTGTTAGTGGCCAGCTAAAGTTGTTAGTGGCCAGCTAAAGTTGTTAGTGGCCAGCTAAAGTTGTTAGTGGCCAGCTAAAGTTGTTAGTGGCCAGCTAAAGTTGTTAGTGGCCAGCTAAAGTTGTTAGTGGCCAGCTAAAGTTGTTAGTGGCCAGCTAAAGTTGTTAGTGGCCAGCTAAAGTTGTTAGTGGCCAGCTAAAGTTGTTAGTGGCCAGCTAAAGTTGTTAGTGGCCAGCTAAAGTTGTTAGTGGCCAGATAAAGTTGTTAGTGGCCAGCTAAAGTTGTTAGTGGCCAGCTAAAGTTGTTAGTGGCCAGCTAAAGTTGTTAGTGGCCAGCTAAAGTTGTTAGTGGCCAGCTAAAGTTGTTAGTGGCCAGCTAAAGTTGTTAGTGGCCAGATAAAGTTGTTAGTGGCTGCTACAGCTAAAGTTGTTAGTGGCCAGCTAAAGTTGTTAGTGGCCAGATAAAGTTGTTAGTGGCCAGCTAAAGTTGTTAGTGGCCAGCTAAAGTTGTTAGTGGCCAGCTAAAGTTGTTTGTTAGTGGCCAGCTAAAGTTGTTAGTGGCCAGCTAAAGTTGTTAGTGGCCAGCTAAAGTTGTTAGTGGCCAGCTAAAGTTGTTAGTGGCCAGCTAAAGTTGTTAGTGGCCAGCTAAAGTTGTTAGTGGCCAGCTAAAGTTGTTAGTGGCCAGCTAAAGTTGTTAGTGGCCAGCTAAAGTTGTTAGTGGCCAGCTAAAGTTGTTAGTGGCCAGATAAAGTTGTTAGTGGCCAGCTAAAGTTGTTAGTGGCCAGCTAAAGTTGTTAATGGCCAGATAAAGTTGTTAGTGGCCAGCTAAAGTTGTTAGTGGCCAGATAAAGTTGTTAGTGGCCAGCTAAAGTTGTTAGTGGCCAGATAAAGTTGTTAGTGGCCAGCTAATGTTGTTAGTGGCCAGATAAAGTTGTTAGTGGCCAGCTAAAGTTGTTAGTGGCCAGGCCAGCTAAAGTTGTTAGTGGCCAGGCCAGCTAAAGTTGTTAGTGGCCAGCTAAAGTTGTTAGTGGCCAGATAAAGGTGTTAGTGGCCAGCTAAAGTTGTTAGAAGCTGTTACTGCTAAATTTGTTAAAAGCTGTTACAACTAAATTTGTTAGAAGCTGTTACTGCTAAATTTGTTAGAAGCTGTTACAGCTAAAGTTGTTAGTGGCTGCTACAGCTAAATTTGTTAGAAGCTGTTACTGCTAAAGTTGTTAGGGAAAACTGTTAGAGTGCAGCAAAAGAAGGCAAGCTGTTGCAGTGAGAACCATTTTTTTTAACATGAATGAGTTGGCCAGTTCAGGTCTCTCCACAGTTGGGCCCCCACACAATCAAACACGATTAGAAACAAATACAAACAGATTAGTTCATTGAAGCTGTTCTAAAGCTGAAAATTTATTTGCCTCTAAATAGTTGTTAAATTCTAACTTAAATTATTTTGTTGCTTTATTTTGTTTGTTGCCTTTCTAAACTTAAAAGTTTTCAATGAGGAGAAATGTTGTATGTGGTGGTAAAAACTGTTTTAGAAAATATCTTTTGTCATATCATGTTGTCAACTGACAGACAGCGCAGCCAACATGAGATATAGCCGCCCACTTAGCTTGTGTGACTGAAAACATGCACTACTCACCATAGAAGACAGTGTGCCTCTAACAAAAGCAATTTATAGTCTTGTGTTTGTCTTTTGGTAGTTGGCTCACATTTAGTCTAGTAGTAGACATGTGTTTGATGCTTATTAAAATAGATGTAGTTTTGGTTGCAGTGAAAAGAATTTGTGTGTGAATATATACATACATATATAAATATATATATATATATATACATATATACATACATATATATATATATATATATATATATATATATATATATATATATATATATATATATATATATATATATATAATATATTTAAACAATCACACATGTATATACATGCGAAAATGTGCATTTATTTTAAAAACAAAATTTGTTATTCTTTGATATGTGATACCAAGGTCTAGTGATGTTTGTTGTGACAAGTTTACACAATTTGTTGCTTTACTACACAAGTGATGATGTGCGTCTAGTGAAGTCAGTTATTGTGTCAGTCGTAACACTGTTTACAAATGCATCAAAACTAATTTTTTTTAATGCACTTTAACTTTTCTACGCAACACTCTTCTTTTATTAAAACTCTTGTTTCGGATGTCGGTTACCTCTGTTGATAATTTAAAAATCTCTCCTGCAAATCACCATGTCTGTGTCCTGTTTGACTGATCACATCGTGTTAAACCTTCTGAGCTGGTCTACATGTTTAGCTGTATAAAAAGTTTCAATCATCTGTTTGTAGTGATGTGTACTACTGAGTGTGTACATGTTCTGGCAGTACCACCCCATAGTTGAGTGTACACAAACTTGTCCCACCCCCCTTATATATTTAATCACAGGCTATCTTTGTCACAAGACGACTGAACACCACCCCAGCTGTCAAATATTTATCTCACTAGAAATTATGTGTCATCTTTTAGACCTGTAGTGTGTCCTCATGTTTTAGACCTGGCATAATTTTCTTATGTCTTACACCTTCTGCGTCCTCATGTTTTAGACCTCTGTGTTTTAGACATGTAGTGTGTCCTTATGCTTTAGACATGTAGTGTGTCTTTGTGCTTTAGACCTTCTGTGTGTCCTCATGTTTTAGACCTTCTGTGTCCTCATGTTTTAGACGTTTAGTGTGTCCTCATGTTTTAGATCTGCTGTGTGTCCTCATGTTTTAGACCTTCTGTGTCCTCATGTTTTAGATCTGCTGTGTGTCCTCATGTTTTAGACCTTCTGTGTCCTCATGTTTTAGACCTTCTGTGTCCTCATGTTTTAGATCTGCAGTGTGCCCTCATGTTTTAGATCTGCTGTGTGTCCTCATGTTTTAGACCTTCTGTGTCCTCATGTTTTAGACCTTCTGTGTCCTCATGTTTTAGACGTGCAGTGTGTCCTCATGTTTTAGACCTTCTGTGTCCTCATGTTTTAGACAATCTGTGTCCTCATGTTTTAGACCTTCTGTGTCCTCATGTTTTAGACAATCTGTGTCCTCATGTTTTAGACCTTCTGTGTCCTCATGTTTTAGACGTGCAGTGTGTCCTCATGTTTTAGACCTTCTGTGTCCTCATGTTTTAGATCTTCTGTGTCCTTATGTTTTAGACCTTCTGTGTGTCCTGTTTAGACCTTCTGTGTCCTCATGTTTTAGACAATCTGTGTCCTCATGTTTTAGACCTTCTGTGTCCTCATGTTTTAGACAATCTGTGTCCTCATGTTTTAGACCTTCTGTGTCCTCATGTTTTAGACGTGCAGTGTGTCCTCATGTTTTAGACCTTCTGTGTCCTCATGTTTTAGACAATCTGTATCCTCATGTTTTAGACGTGTAGTGTGTCCTCATGTTTTAGACGTGTAGTGTGTCCTCATGTTTTAGACCTGTGCCCTCATGTTTTAGATCTGCAGTGTGTCCTCATGTTTTAGACCTTCTGTGTCCTCAGGTTTTAGACCTTCTGTGTCCTCATGTTTTAGACCTTCTGTGTCCTCATGTTTTAGACAATCTGTGTCCTCATGTTTTAGACCTTCTGTGTCCTCATGTTTTAGACGTGCAGTGTGTCCTCATGTTTTAGACCTTCTGTGTCCTCATGTTTTAGACAATCTGTATCCTCATGTTTTAGACGTGTAGTGTGTCCTCATGTTTTAGACGTGTAGTGTGTCCTCATGTTTTAGACCTGTGCCCTCATGTTTTAGATCTGCAGTGTGTCCTCATGTTTTAGACCTTCTGTGTCCTCATGTTTTAGACGTGTAGTGTGTCCTCATGATTTAGACCTTCTGTGTCCTCATGTTTTAGATCTGCAGTGTGTCCTCATGTTTAGACGTGTAGTGTGTCCTCATGTTTTAGACCGTGTTTGGTTTGACTTTGAAATTTTATTTTCCACTCTGAACATGTTGACAAAAAAAATAGAAGGAAAAACTAGCAGACCTGGTGAGTCTTGTCAATCTTCATGTTTTATGGCTATTTATAGTCCATTCTAATCATAATCCAAACTATACAACAGCAAGCAAGGAAATTTGCTTGTCTTTTTATAACCCAAGCTTTTTTTTAACTCAACCTGTATACCTGAGATGTTGTTCTTTCTTTTGTTCTCAGCTTCTCACATTCAAACCTTTCCCCAGCCTCACCCTATTTGGTGTGAGCATGCTCTTTTATTCTCTGTGTTTAAGTGAGATCTAAGTAAGATAAGTCTTGTCCACATCCCGTATTGGGAGGCAATTGAACACATTGTCCAGTTATGAATAAGTAATAACAAGTGGGCATAGCTGAGTACATTTTTAGGACAATGGTAAGATAAGGGCTGTCCCAACATGGGCTAATCATCACTTAAATTAACTGACTTTATATTCATAGTTTAAAATGTTCCATAGATTAGTAGATATTCATAGAGAATTATTTTAAGATCAAATAACTAGTGTTTCTTTTAGGCATCTCTCCAAGGGTGTGTTGCCAGAGATTTGAACTGCTGCCCTTGAGAAAAATGTCTGAAATAAACCCTGCAATATTACTTTGTTTTTAAAATCCAGAAATCTACCTCTCCTAACCTTTTAACTTCTACTTATGGAAGGCGTTCAGTGGGGGACTAGTCAGCTGGTATTTATAGAGTTATCAAACCTTCTCACTTGATAGACTCAAGTGGTCAAGTAACAACAATTTTATTATTGTGTTGAAACAAACCTTCAAAATATTGCAAAATAAACTCTTGAGGTTGTACATACCTAGGGTCAGATTTAATTTTTTCTATTGCAATGTTAGTGTTAAAAATAAAGAATAGGTGTTGGATACAAATGATAAACATGCTTATTTCTTCATTTATTTGAAAAATCAGTTGATCGTGTAGTAGCTAGTGAATAAATGTGGTTGAGCTGTACAGCATTCAATGTTTCAAGCCTGTTTTTTTAGCTGTTTTTCTTGTATGATGAGATGCTGGTCAGCAGGATAGTTGGGTAGCTGTCCTAGCGCACCTAGAGTAGAATGTGACCTGTGTTGTCATGCACTATGTCTATAGCACATCTCATAGCTGCCAACACTTTCCTACCATTACCGCTTGTACTGATTGTTGTATTTTCTTAGGAGTCAGGTTTCTTCATTGTATTTTCATTGTATAACATAGTCGAACATGATTATCATACATTGCTTTTTTTCATCCATTTGTCAGTATTGTAAATTATTAAATTCATTTTTGTTTTCACTGCATTTTTAAGTAGATGAACAGAAAAAATAAGATTGTGTTTAAATATTTATTTCAGAAATTACTTTTGTCAGTTAAGACTGTCCAGCTGTCTGTCCTAATTTATCAGTTTAGGATGCCCAGCTGTCTGTCCTAATTTATCAGTTTAGGATGCCCAGCTGTCGGTCCTAATTTATCAGTTAAGACTGTCCAGCTGTCTGTCCTAATTTATCAGTTAAGACTGTCCAGCTGTCTGTCCTAATTTATCAACTGATACACAATTTTGATGTGAAGAAGAAAATTGAGGATTTTGTTTGTTAATAACTTGATCAATGAAGTGTTGTATATGAAATGATAATCAAAATGAGTCAGTATTTGACTTTAAGCGGGTGTAGATTAAACCTTCCACAAACACCTTTATAGCTCCAACAGCTCTCTCTATATGGATGTATTTTACAAATAATTTTATATTTACATATTTATTTTCTTACAAGTTTTTATTTTATTTTTTTAATTGAGCATAGTACAGACATATTGAGTATTGTGCTGAAGGGTTTACAGGTTTCTTTACTATATTTTATATTCATGTATACATACTTTGTTTATAAACTTACTGTTAGCAGGCTATCAATATATTCAGAATTGTTTTTACTTTTTAAAAATCTACACTTAGTGATTTAGACAAAGCCTTGTTGACTGCATTAAGTTTGACAATGTAAATTGATGAGTTTAGTTTGACAATATAATTGGATGAGTTTGGTTTGACAGTGTAATTGGATGATGTCTTGTTGAGGCTTTCCTTGACATAGTGCTCATCTACCCCATAGCTGATCATACTGCTCATCCATAGCTTCCAGAATTGAAAATATGTTTATTTCCTAGCAGTTTTCTAACAGAAATTGTGTAGCCAATCAGGAACATACTTTTGAAATTGTCTCGTCAATCAGGAATATACTTTAGAAATTGTCTGGCTAATCAGGAACACATGTTTGAGATTGTCTGGCCAATCAGGAATAACTTATTTTAACCCAGCATGAACTAATATAAAAGTTTTTTTGCTTGCTAAAACAGTTCTCCCCCCCCCCCCCACCCCAGTGGGTTTGATCTGGAGTGTTTACCACTAAACTAGGCAGATATTTAATGCCTTTTTGAGTCTAGTGTGTTGTTTTTATAAACCTGCTTGGTAAAATATAACAAAATATTTTGTAAGCCAGAACAAAGTATTGGATAAGCTGTAATCAAATAGTGTTATCATATTAATCACCCTTCATAAAAAAGTGCTCAGTTTAGCAGGCTAGAAAAGATGTTGAGCTAGAAGAAATTAGCTTGCTTGTTGTTATTCAAAACAATCAAAACCCACTAGAAAAAAAAATTCAACTAATATAATAAAAAGTTTGAAATAACCACATTTTTTTTTCCAACTTTATTTTTTTTTCTATTTGAATTTTTTTCTATGGTTAAAAAGTATGTAACATGTTAGAAATTGTAGTCCTCTAGCCAGAACATTTTTATATTTTAGAATAGTAAACAATTTTTTTTTACTTTTCTACTAAATTTACTGTGGGGTTTGTATACCTATTCTTCTGTAAAATAGTGGGCTTGGTAAAGAAGTATTAAAAATTAGCCTTTAAATCTCTTATAAAATACTTTACCATAGAGCTTTAATCGGCTTAGACATACATCAAACAAAATTTATTTTCCTAAAGTTTTATATCCATTTCATTACAAGAAAAATTTTTGGCTTAGGTATTTCAATGTTTAGTAGTTTATATTCATCTTTCACATTTGTTTAGCGCCAGGATAGAGAAATGGTTGGCATGCTTGAGAAAGACAGCATTTTCTACAAGCTTGGACAGTCTGGACTCATCTCATTTTCTGATTACATTTTCTTGCTTACTGTTCTCTCTAGTAAGTTTTCACAATCACTCAAATGGTTTCATTCGTGTACAAACTAGTTTTAGTTTTTTAACCTCTAGTTTTTAAACTCTGTTCTCATCTGTGTAATACTGTCTAGTTTTTGAACTGCTAGTTTTGAAATTTCTTCTCAGCTCCTCCCAGGAACTTTGAGATTGGATTTCGAATGTTTGATTTTAATGGTGATGGTGAAGTCGACCGTGAAGAATTCAGCAAGGTAATAAAAAGACTTAAATCTTTCAATATTAGCCTATTATTTGACATTCAGTTCAAGATTTTCAGGATTTATGCATTTTCTAATGCAGGTTCAAGAAATAATTAGGAACCAAACTTCAATAGGGATGAGACATCGCAACAATGCTAACAGTGGGAGTGTTGACCACGGCATGAGCTCAGCACTCACCTCCTACTTTTTCGGAGTGGATGGCTCAAAAAAACTGACAGTTTCAGAGTTCTTAGAATTCCAGAGGCAGCTCCACAGAGAAATTAATAAGATTGAGGTATATGTCAGTGTTGTTGATTACTAATGTGATAAGATTGAGGCCTATGTCAGTGTTGTTGATTATTAATGTGATAAGATTGAGGCCTATGTCAGCGTTGTTGATTGCTGATGTGCCTACACATTTTTTTTTGTTAAGGGTTTATTACTTGTTTGAACAACCAAATCATTTTGTAAACAGTGTCACCTCACCTGAATATGAAAGGCTTTGATATAACTGCTTTCCTTTTTCAAGCAGTTCTTGCTATTTTAAACCCATTCCCTTCCTGTTATTTTTGCTTCTAGACATTTTTCTATTCCCCCATCATAATCCATATTCTTGCAATTAGTTTGACAGGCATGCAGAAGATGATCTTCTCTCAGAGCGAGACTTTGGCAGTGTATTGCTGACCTATGCTGGCTTGCCTGACAGCAAAAAATCTAGAATGCTCAAGAGGGTTCGCAGGAAGTATAAAGAGGCACCTAAGGTAAGTTATGGGTGTATAAAATAGGAAGTATAAAGAGGCACCTAAGGTAAGTTATGGGTGTATAAAATAGGAAGTATAAAGAGGCACCTAAGGTAAGTTATGGGTGTATAAAATAGGAAGTATAAAGAGGCACCTAAGGTAAGTTATGGGTGTATAAAATAGGAAGTATAAAGAGGCACCTAAGGTAAGTTATGGGTGTATAAAATAGGAAGTATAAAGAGGCACCTAAGGTAAGTTATGGGTGTATAAAATAGGAAGTATAAAGAGGCACCTAAGGTAAGTTATGGGTGTATAAAATAGGAAGTATAAAGAGGCACCTAAGGTAAGTTATGGGTGTATAAAATAGGAAGTATAAAGAGGCACCTAAGGTAAGTTATGGGTGTATAAAATAGGAAGTATAAAGAGGCACCTAAGGTAAGTTATGGGTGTATAAAATAGGAAGTATAAAGAGGCACCTAAGGTAAGTTATGGGTGTATAAAATAGGAAATAGGAAGTATAAAGAGGTACCAAAGGTAAGTGAACTAAGTTATGGGTGTGTAAAATAGGAAGTATAAAGAGGCACCTAAGGTAAGTTGACTAAGTTATGAGTGTGTAAAAAAGTTAACAATCTTGACCCTTTTACCAAGATTTTTAGTGTGATTAAGATATTGTAAAGTAAAAAGTGTACAATTCTATTAATATATTTTCAGGGAATTACTTTTGAGGAATACTTGGCTTTCTGGAAGTTTCTCAAAAGCATCAATGATGTGGATACAGCCCTCAGCTTTTACCATTTAGCAGGAGTTTCTATTGACCAGGGTTAGCTGTCATCAACATTTTTAAAACTTATTTACCACAAATTTGACCCATGGATTAAAAATAATTAGAAACAAATGTCTCATAGTTTTTCTGGAGTAGGCTTTATTAGCATTATAGATAAGGAGGCATTAATGATTCAGTCCTGATTTATTTTTTAGAAACATTCAAGCATGTTGCAAAAACTGTGGCACTAGTAGAACTCTCTGATCATGTGATAGATGTTGTGTTCACCCTGTTTGATGAAAACAGTAAGTCCTGGTTGGCTGCCCTCATATTTATACTCTCATTACATTTTCACTTCTTTAGTTCACTTGAATCAGCATTTACTCTTGGGGGAAGTAGTGTAGTTAGATAATTTCCTGTTTGCTAATGGTGCAAAACCTAGCAGCATGTAAACAACCTTTTTAGTTAATTATTTTGCATGGCCATACATGTATGTAGATTTGACACATGGATAATTTCCACACTTAAGCAGATGAGCTTTTTTTCTCACATAGTCATATATTGTAAAAATCAGTACTGATATTTCTTCTTTGAAAGATGATGGGGAGCTGAGCAATAGAGAATTCGTATCTGTGATGAAAAGACGTGTGATGCGAGGCTTGGATCAACCAAAGGACACAGGCTTTGTGAAACTGATCAATGCTGTGGTCAAGTGTGCCACCTCTACCCACATCTACAGTGATTAGCTCCAACAGGCTCATTTTCAGTATCCAAAATATATTCCATTTGTCCTGACCTAGTGATACAACCTTTTTGTGTGTATATAGCTAAAGTATATCGCTTTATTTATCCATATGTAAATATATTCAGCCAACTGAAATTTTCTGAGTAGAAAATGTTTTTTATGCTCCGTCTAGTAGTTAGTCTTATGTTATTGAAAGAAATCTATGGTCAATCATTAACCCATAAGTCCTATGCACCGAAAAAGAACTGATCTATACTATTTTTCTTTCAATTTTACTTCTTGCTTTTTAAAATAAAATAATTTTATGATAAAAGATCTGCATATATTTTGTGTTATTTTTCAATGCATGTGGATTTTTAAAAAAAATAAGCAATTTTCCCTTTGCTTGGTCAGACTGCAAGTATGTTCACCTTCAGGACTGACAGGTCCTTGATTGTAGTTCAGATTTTTAAAAGGTAGAAAGATCAAGTTTCTGTGTACCTTCCTGCACTGATTTATATTTAACATTTCTGCTTAACTGATCAAAATAAAATTGACTCTTACCAATACTTTTGTTTTTATTAAAAGTTTATTCCATGAAGTATATACAAATGGTAAAAAAGATGCATATACACATTTCTGTGGATGAGCGCTCAATGTGGTGATCTTTAAAAACTATACAGACTTGCTGTACCTAACTCAGTACCGCTGCTGGTATGACATTATGTCTCAGACACAAAATGTGGAATTCATCAGAAGTTTTCAAGAATGATACCAAGGAAGTGAACAACATTCTCCATTCAATCTCCACAGATAGACAGACATGTTTCCAATAGGTGATCAAAATGCAGTGTAGTTGTTTCCCATCATTCCACCACTGCCACCTCCCATCATCCCATCTCCATAACCTCCACCTCCCATTTCATAGTTGTTCATTCCTCCTATTGGAAAGTTAAAAGTTTTTTTTTTAAAAACAATAAAACATCACAAGCAATGTAATCAGTAATCAAGAAGTACATGATTATAAATTAAAAAATGAAAACACTGTGAATTGTACTACTACCTCCAGTTCCGAAACCAGATCCTCCTTGATTTCCAAAACCAGATCCTCCTTGATTGCCCCCATAATTTGACTGATTTCCTAGTCCGCTGCCATAGTTGCCACTATTTCCAGCAAACCCTGACCCTAATCCATGGCCAAAACCTGAACCACTCATGTCATCATTGTAGCCGTTTCCAGATCCCATGTTTCCACCACCAAAGCCCCCAGCCATATTGTTGCCATAACCACCACCACCTCCAGAACTACGAATATTCTGTTCAGAGTTCAGGAACAACTCTATGTATCTGTGTTCTAAAATGAAAAGAAAAAACAATTGCAGAATTAAAGATGTGTGAATCTGGTTTCCGTAAATGCAGAAACCAATATTTTTAAAAAAACATTTGACTGGTTAAATGGAAAATACTTACGCATATTAGATTTGTGTTTTTTCATGGCCTCTACAGCCTCTTGGTGTGTGGCAAAATCCACATTTGCCTCCCCAGTAGGTCTTCCATTATCTCCAAACTCAAACTCACAACGTACAGGTTGGATTGGTGAAAAAAACTGAAAAGACAAATTACTTATTGAAATAAAAACAAATTAAATATTCAGTTTCTAGTTAACTGCTTTCTTAGCAAATATCTAGTAGCCAATAAATGGAGTTATAATTACATCAAAAACATCCTGCTCCAAAGCTTGAAAAGGGAGGCCTCTCATGTGAACGGAGTGTCCTGTTTTGCTGACATAGCAAGCTCCTGGTTGCATTCCACGGCGTTCTGCCATTCCCATATCCATGCCTCTACCACCTCCGCCTCCTCCTCCCCCTCTAATGGGTCCTAAACCTCCACGACGATTACGCATGCCGAACCCCATACCACCATTAAAGCCAAAATCATCATAGTCATCCTCAAAAAATCCTGATGAAAAACAATTATACAATGATATGGTCATGTGGATCTGCGAAGATTAAGTTATATCATTGTCAACAAAAAAAAGCACTTACCACCAGCAGCACGTCTGTTTCGCATTCCAAATCCCATGCCCCCTCCAAAATTAAAATCATCATAGTCATCTTCAAAGAAACCTTAAATGTAAAATGTTTACAAAGTTAAAACGTGGGTAACAAAAGTTAATTAGTTACTTCTATTTGTATTTTCTGTTCACCTGGAATTACACCAGATTTAAAGACAGCAATGTGGTAGGCTGGATTTATTGTACAAAACTTTCACCCACATTACAACTTACATAAACAACACGTGACAGGTTTGACCATTATTTCCTGTTGCACCCTCAATCACAAACATACCTTACTCATGAAAAAATATTTTTCAGTGAAATATTTTAACCTACAATGCTAAAATTTTTTAAAAGCAGATTTTATTTCCTTTTCTGGTTTGCCGAGTTCTGTAGATGAGCTAGGAATTATTTTAATAATTTTTTTTTATATATATCATTCCATGTTTAGGGGATATGCGCAGAAAAAAATTAACAAAATCTTGATTTTTCATCATACTGTGTTTCTTGCACTTTTGGATTCTTTGTCCATTTTTGTTTTTAGCAAATCACTTTAATGAGAAATTTTTTTTTGTCAATGTGTTTAAAACACAATTTCAATGACCCCAATATTTAAACTTTTTTTTTTTTACAATCTTACACTATCTTACATTATCTTATTGTATTTGGCGTTATTGGAAAGCTCGATGTCTAAGCTTTACAGATTACTCAAAAAATGTATTTTTGTGATCTGCTTTTCGCGTTTTTTCTTATTTTGCAGTTTTTAGCACTAAAATGCCTACTTCTTTTTTATTAATAAAAAATACCCACCATATTTTCAGTATTTGTTCTTCATATAATAATAATAATAAAACTTTTGTTCATGAGAGAACTGTAATGGCATTTATAGAAAAAGTTTATGCTGTGGTGCCACTCATTTTTTAAGCGAATACTGAAAATCAATCCCCAAATTTTTTCAACCTAGAAACCAAAATTTGAAAATTGTAAAACCCTGTAACTGAATGATGCAGGGAATTTTAAAATAGACAATTATTTTATTACTGTTTTTAGACATTTGGTTCATATTATGTTTAAATTATTATATTATACAGAGTCATTTAGTGGCAATCTTCAAACAAAAATTAATATTTAAAGTATTGAGCAAATAATAAAATTTGTTTAAAATATTTTTAGACCCATCTCTACCCCCTAATGTGCTATTCTACAGCCCCACCCCCTCCCCAATGTACATTTAACCACAATATCTTGTTTAGAAATTAGTCTAGTAGGCCTGACTATAAAAGGTGGTACCAATGTACACAATGGGTTCATATAACATTTTGAAAATGAAATTCCTGACATTAGTTGAAAAATTCCAGACTTTACAGATGTGTTAGTGACTGATTTATAGAGTGATGAAACATATGTACCCTCATTATAAGTACAGTATAATTACATTTGTTTTAGGCAACTGAGCTAATGTTTATATGGAATTTTCTCTAGCCAAATATTAAAATAATTGATTAACATGAGGAAACCAATGTTTCCAACACTCAACTTATTTGTTCACGATCTAATTGCATAGTTTTCAATTAAATTATTTTCATAAGTCTTATCAATATGGCATAATAGTGAGAGTTAAATACTTTAAAAAAATAATAATAAGTATTTCACTAATTTAGGTCTGCTGTTGTTGAATAGCCCACACTTATTTACCCTTGGTCCTGGATCTAGTAAATAGTGTTTTGGAAACAATAGGCTACTTGTTAAGGGCTACTTAGGTAATGCAGCAGAGTCCACCATGAAGTGCCTCAGTAACATTTCTAATAATTCATAAATTATCATTACAATATATTCTGAAAGCTAACTTTAATAGCATTAATATCTACCTTAATGTTGAGTCTATTTAACTAAGTGAATCTTTTATCTTTAAAGCCAAAACAACTGTTTACTCTAAAAAGTATAAAATTTGTTACAAACTGTTAGACTTCTGGCAGGGTTTTTTTTGGCAAAAGATCTCAAGCATTGTTGTACTATATTTAGTAAGCATAAATAGCTTATTTAGCTGATAACGATGCCATAAAAAAACACAATAGGTTAGGCAGTAAAGGCTGTCACATTAGCAGTGACATAATTAAAGACAACTACCTAAAGACATATTTAGGTTTTCCTCTAATACTTTTAAACTGGAAAGCCAGCATTCTTTCTTACTTTATAAATCATTTGTAAATTATTGATTAAATGGAATATTTTAAAAATGCTTTTACTTTATAGTCATGGGCCCAGACATGCCTACCCTGTCAGCCAAAAGTAGGAATAGTCATGCCTTAAAAGAGGAATTTGAAAACATAGGAAAGGACGCTACTTTCTAAGTAATGCTTAATGTCAGCTTACATTTTTTTTAAAAGTTAACCAGTAGCCTAAGACCCCCCCCCAAAAAAAAAAAACATAGCTTTCACATAACATTATTGATTTGTTTATTATATGCCTTGCTATGTTCTAGGCTATAAGAATAACAAATACTGAAATCTTCATATGTAATATAAAATATAAGTCAAGAGCTAAGACCTAGATCTAACTCGTTTAAGTCCTATTTACTTAGAAGTTACTTCTTAATAAGTTCTTCACAATAGTAGTAGAAGTAGTTCTAGATCTAAAAAATTAGCGTGTTAGTCATGATATTATTGTATTTTTTGCCCTACATATTATTTAAGGTATAAGTTAAATCTACACTTAAATTGCAAATACTAAAAAGAATGTTTAGAAGCTAGATTGTCCACATTATTTATTAGTAGATCTAGTATTAGATGATACTTGTAAATATTGTAAGTAAACGGAAACGTGTGCCAAAGGGAGATAATCGCTTTTCACTGCCTTTTTTACTTTCTCGTATATACAAAGTAAAGAGAAAGTCTTGTAATCGTGCAAAAAAAAATAATCTCGCTGTTTTACACCTCACTGATATGGAAAAACAATTTTGCAATCTTGTCCGTATGTCTGTCTGTGTGTGTGTAAACATGATAACTTGAGTACCGTTACAGCTAGATTGATGAAATTTCATATATAAGTATTTTATCAAAATCGTAGATCCGTATCAACTTTTGAGCGATTTCCAATAACCGGAAGTGGTACTTTTTTCACTTTGAATTTTTCAAAAGCCTATAACTTGAGTACTATTAGATAAATGAAATTTCACATGTAAGTAAAAGATCTAATCCTCTACCTTCTATCAAATTTTGAGTAATTTCCGTTGACCGGAAGTAGTAATTTACGCTATTTCCGATTTCTCAAAAAAAAAAAAAAAACACTTGTAAATTTATAAAGTACTAATAATATTCCGAACTATTATGAACATTTTGTTTTGGCGTTTGCTTGGTGCGCAATTCTTTTTTCTATGAGATTCTATTCTATTTTAAAAAGTTTAAGTATTTAAAATGGATTAAAAATCATAACTATATCCCGAGTTCTATAGTTAAAAAAACTATAAATATGACACACAAAAAACCTTCACTAGTAGTTAAGTAAATTTTTAAAAATGAAAATGCTAAAAATTAAAGCCAGATTAATTTGAAAATTAACCACCATGATAGAACAATGTGAAAAATAAAAATCTTCAAAATCTTGTAACCAGTGAAAATCCCACTACTGGGAAATAAATGAACTGTACATAATTCAGGTGCATCTTGTCCACTTACCCTTTAAATTTCTGCCTCTCCCTCTTCCATAGGACATTCCCATCATGCCCATGCCCATTCCGAATCTGTCTCCCCTGTCATAAGGTCCTGGTCTCATTGGCATGCCTCCAGCCATTAGAGGGCGAATTCCTCGAATCATTCCACCAGCAGCATTGGCTTCTGACATGCTACTTTTGAAGATCTCGATGTATCTGATTTGAGACATTAGATAACATGATGAAACCTCATTCAAAAAATGTATTCAAACCATTCCTGCAATGGTTAAACTAAATGAAAGCCTTTTAAAAAAGCTATTTACAAAACAGCAACATGATTGCCGTAAAAGGATTCTTTTATATAAGTGATATATCTACACTATGGATTGTCTTTGCAAAATTATAAAATGCAAACAATTTTCCTGTACATAAATGTTTATCAATAACTGTTTAGTTAAACTTGCAAAATAAGAAATAAAACAGGCATCACAAAACATCTAAGTCAAGGGTTCAACCTGGTAACGCACTGAAAACACTGGAGACCCTAAACGAGGATGGTTACTGCAAAACCAAGTATGTTTACTTCAAATATTTAATGATAATCAATTTTGTAAATTATGGTATAGAATACATGTACTATTTAACAGTGGCGAAAAAAAAAATTCAGTTTTCAGTATTTGATGTTAAAGATGCCAACTGGTAACAGTTTACAAAATTATACAATGGAAGAGTTGATGAGCAGAGTCCCCTACCTTTAGAGACCAAAAGTTGTTGAATGTTGAATCAAAATTTAACCAACCAATTGCAAGATGCCTTTAAAAACCCCACCTGTGACCTATCCTTTCTTTGTGTTTTTCCAAAGCCCTCTCTGCTATTGACGATGATGCAAATTGTACAAATGCCTCCCCTGTGCTCCTCCCCTGACGATCTTCAGGGAGCATAATTCCATTTGGAACTATCTCCAACCCTATAACCCCCACCCAACCATTGGGCAAAGAGAGAAGGAAGTAATAAAAATATAAAGTTTGAAATTAGAATATTTTGAACATTCATTAAGTCCAGCTCATGTTAAGTTTCATTGCTACCTAAACAAGATAAATAAAATAAATATAGCAAAGTTAGCAATAAATTTTGAAATTAGGCTTACTTTTTAACAACTATTCAAGTTTAAGAAGCTACAAAGTATATAAATGAGTTTACTTTTGTATACAATACAAGCACTACATATTCAGTACAAAACATTACCAGTAAAAAATTGAGCAATTTCCTCCTTGGAGCAACCAAAGGGTAAGCCCCTAAGTTTGACAACAGCATCTGACATCCCTTGATTTTGTGAGACTCCAGCCCCTGCTCGTTTGATCATCCACTCCATTTCTGATCTGTCTACTCTGAAAACTGATATTCAATATGAATTATCTTTCTGCATGATATATTACTATATAGTGGTATAAGATAAACATTAGAAAATAGAGGCAAATATTAAGAAAAATTAAAATTGTTATCACAATTAAAAAGATAGAACAGATTTAAATGTTATATAACCTTCAATATATCTGTTTCCAATATGCTCATTATTTTGAGCCAGAGCATTTGTAACATCATCTTCTGAAGCAAGTTCAACAAAAGCCTCTCCACTTGGACGTCCTTCTCTTGAATAAGTAAAGTGAACACCTTTGTCCCCACCAACAATTTCACATTCTGAAATGAAATTATAATACACTTAGTGACTGAAAAAACACTGGATCAAAGAAAGATACTAGTTTCAAAACAGAAATCATTCATTTATTAAATAAAATACCTCAGTAGTAGCTATTTTAATAAGTCAATTAATGTAACGAAAAATGTGAGTACACAATAAACTATTTTTAAAAAAAAGTAATTGGTTATTTACCTCTTAAAAAATGAACAACTTCTTCTGCTTTTGTGGACCATGGAAGGCCCCTGAGTCTCACTACATAACCTTGGTCTTTAGACATTGCAACTAGGAAGAATAAAGTTTAGCAATCAATGTAGTTTTTAAGTAAACATTAACACCAAATCAATAGACATTTATTTTTTTCAATTGTTAAAAAGTTATATAGGCCTAGATTACTCTTTATGTTCCATTTTTGAGGATGTTTGGATAAAGCAACACAACAGTGAGTGTGGTTAAATACTAGACAAATACTAGATAAAGAGATAGTGATTAGACCCATGCTCAGCCCAACTCTGTGTTTTTAAAAGACAAAAACATAAAAAAGCTCTATATCTAGAAATTGAAAAACTTCTTACATAGTTTTATAGTTGCACTGACAAAATCTGACCGTGAATCATAATTCTTTCATTATGTGTCGGGTGAAAAACCACTTGATTACTACTGATTTGAGTGTTGAGTATTAGTTATTATTACGAAGTGACTACTCGGAAAAAAAATTTCGGCAGAAAATAAGTAACTCAATAGTTGTGCATATGCGCAGTGACCTTAATAGCTGCGCTAAGCTAGGATTCTACAGTTTGTTCCCGGGGACAAACACTTTTGATTTGCACTCCCCCCCCCCCCCTTCAAGATTTCCATTTGCACGCCCCTCCCCCCCCTCAAGATTTCGATTTGTGCCCCCCTCAAACTTTCAATTAGCACCCCCCTCAACCTTTCAATTTATTATTCCAACCCATTTTGGCGCCCCCTAGAGTCAGCGCCCAGGGACATGTCCCCCCGGCTCCCCTCTGGTCAATATAACCCTGTCCATAACCCTGGTCCTACCATACACCTAACCCTAATTATATAGTAGATTCAAAATATAGAATTATAGATACTAGATCTAGTTAAATCTAGACCAGTATTAGAAACTGACTGGTGTCAGATAATGAATAATGGAATCTTTAAAAACTTAAAAGTAATAAAAAGGCACCAGTGTCACATTCTCTAGAAGTTTTTATTTTCAAACATTTTAATTTTGGTAAAAGATTTCTCATAGATCATGATCTAGATCTAGACTCGATCTAGCTAGACGACATGGCAGTGTGAGTGTAAGCTAGGCAGTGTCACGGTGTGTGTTGTTACTTGTTTGTTATTTGTTAGTGAAGTGATGAAGTGTTTCTCACAGTTTCACACAGTTCATTTTCTCAGTCATTTCATTGTGTGGTTCGGCTGACAAGTTGAAGATACAAACAAGTCACAAGTAAAGCTACATTCACAAAATATAAGTGTGTTGAATACAGTAGATAACTTTGCTATGTGATTTAATATTATTTACCTTTACGTAAACGTATTTGTCGCTGTCCAGATAAAAGCCAACCACACGCTTGTCTTCAATATGGCCGCCACAAGTCAAAATCGATGTACAAGATCTATTTATTCGTGACCGCTCAAAATAGTGCCCCTTTTTTAGATTACACTTGGGCACTTTATGTATAAACTATTATAAAAACCCTTAAATTAAATAATAACTAGCTTTTTTAAAGAACTAAAATGAAAAATACAAATATATTATCTATAATATTAACAACAAATGCGTTGGTCGTGCTAAAAATATGTTCACAAGGCCTACATTTTGCAAACAATGCTTCTAATATCAATAGCAGCGCAGAAGAGAAAGTACGCTTTAGCATATTCTTCATTTAAATATTACGAGCCGGCCCGCGGCATAACATACGCCGCTATTTAGTTGTTTCTAATTTTCAATAATTCATAATTTGTGAATTCGACAGTACCAACGCTGACACTGAAAATATTTCTTTAAAACACTATAAGTAGCTCGTTAAGGACCATAACCCCCCCCCCCCTTCCTTCCCTCCCCCCCCTCCTCCTCCCCCCCCCCCACTCCTCCTCCCCCCCCCCCCCACCCTACGTTTAAAATCGTTGGCTCTGCTTGTAAACATTTAGAGTGAACACAGCTCACTAAAACCATGTAGGGGTGGGGAGGTAGGGAGAGCGTTTGCAGCTTGTTTTCTAACGGCTCGAAGAAGAGAATTATATATATAGAAGATAAAAGCTTATAATTATAAGGTTTTAATACTTGAGTTTTTGTCTACTTTTAATAATTTTCATTTGTTATGTTGTAAGATAAGTCAATCAGTGGCATAGCTAGGAATTTGATATATGTTTATCTCAAAGTTCAATATATATATTGACCTATATACACATAGGGAACGGTGGGAGTTACAGTCACATGGGCAAGTTGATACAAATGGCCTACCCCCATATTTTGATCACACGGATGCTAGGATCCTTATATGAAAGTAAACTTTTAATGGTAAAATGAAGTGACTAACACATTTTGGGCTTCACCAACTTTAAAGCAAGTCGAATTAGAATTTTTAAATTGGGTTTTGGAATTTTGGTGAGTAAACATACATATATATATATATATATATATATATATATATATATATATATATATATATATATATATATATATTAAAATACTTTTCTCCTTTCGTCCTGTATAACTATAAAGCTTTACCTTTTCTTAACACATTCAGGATTCAACATAACATACCGGTATTTAACAACATGTTTCTGATGAGAATCGATCACTGGGCTATAGGCCAATATTGGCGTGTATACAGGGCCGGCGCTACCTGTAAGGCGAACTAGGAGTTTGCCTAGGGCGTTGTCCGTAGGGGGGGGGGGGGGCGCCAAAATGGGTTGGAAAAACAAATTGAAAGTTTGAGGGGGGTGCAAATCTAAAGTTTGAGATGGGGGGGGGGGAGGGTCGCTACGCCTCTGATAATACGGGGGCACGAAGAAAATTGCCGGGGGCGCTTTTAATAAGTTTTGCCTAGGGCGCTAAATAACCTAGCGCCGGCACTGCGTGTATATATGTATATATATATATATAGGCCTATTAGTGAATTAGTTAAGATGTGTCAACTGTGCTTAGTGAGGCGAGGAGACAAGACGTATCTTAAGAATAAATACTTGGTAGTTTAGCATGAAAATTGGACGAACTATTAGGCCAAGCTAGATCTTTAATTAGAAAATCTTTAAGAGATATAGCCAAGCCAATATTATAACTTTAAGTGTACTTAATGATATTTTCACATTATTTGCATATTTTAGCTATTATTGTTTATGAACCACTAATTGATGTTTATATATATATATATATATATATATATATAGACTAAAAGGGAATTGCCTGAAGTTTCTATAAAAGGATTATTAGAATTTTAGGAGATCGGGGGAAGTTTTAATCCAGAATTGAGAATTATTTGGAGTAGGTTAGCACAAACCCAGGGGAAATTTTCACAGGTATAAGCACTTGAATTCGTTTTTGTGTTTCGGTTGTGTTTATAATAAAATACGCTCAACTGGAGGTGAACGTGAAGCGACGAATAAAATACGTTAAAATGGGGTTTTACCGTACACATCTTTTGTTAAGGTTAGGCACAGAGCTAATATATTCATTACACTGATGAGTTTTATGAGCACAGCTGAAGTTGGTAAAGAAAGGAATTCAACTGAAGTAATCATCTTTTTTGTGTGTACTACAACACAGTAGCTATATAATATATAGTATAACATGAATAAGTGTTAATAGAACTGGCATCCTTATCTATTAATAAGTTGAAGTCAATCTAGCCACAGACGTAAGATACATTTATATTAAGGTGATGTAAATCGTAGTGGCCCTCAAAGTTTCTTCTAACCACAACTCAATGAAAAAGTTATGTGAAAATAACTAGTTAAAAAAAAAATGTAAACAATGCTTTACATTTCATCATTTGTCAAAAGAAAAATGAAACAGGATACTGAGAATCATCAAAGATAAGGTCGTGGAAAAATTTAATGAGTGTTTATTGTCATATGTACAAAAATGATTTTACAATACCAACATCATAAATGACAACAATTTGGTGAAGTGTTAAAACAATTCATAGACCACAATCATGACAAAAACATAAAATAACACTAGTCATTCTTTCCTGCCCCCACCCCTCAACAGTATCTACATAGAAAAATGGTTAGAGATTATAGGCAGATACACTGTATCATAGTCATTAAAATTTGTTAAAGACTTCTCTTGCTTTTACTTATAGAAAGTAATGAGATTCCTATTTGAATGTATAGGGCAATCTAAGCATACAACTACCATTAAAAAGCTTGTTGGAATAGGTTTAAAAAACTATTAGCAAGAAATTAAAAACTCATCAAGAAACATGGTTTGTTATTACAGGTTAGAGCAATGGATATTTTCAAATCTTTTTCATGACTAAAAATAAAGTAAGCAACATGATATACTGAACTGAAGGAAAACTACAAATATAAAAATTAGTTTTTATAAAAATGATCTCTACAACATAGCCCACTGTTTTAAAATGCTGTATAATTGTTGCCCATCATTCTACCTCCGCCTCCAGTGCTCATTCCATCGCCATAACCTCCAGCCATGTCATAATTGCTCATTGATCCTGTAAAACAAAATGACAAAGTAAAAAAAACCTTTTTACATTTCTTTAAAAAGTAACACAAGAAAATGACTGCTAAATATTATGTAGCTATAATAATAACTAGTTAAAAACTATTGAAATACGAAGACTGTCTTTAAATATCCTACTTGATAAATACTAATACCTCCACTTCCGAAGCTGCCACCTCCAAATCCATTTCCATTTCCAAAGCCACCACCACTTTGGTTGCTGAATCCACCCTGGTTTCCACCAAATGAAGATTGCCCTCCACTATAACCTCCATTAAAACTAGAGTTTGAGTTTCCATTTGCACCAAAGCCAATGTCATCATTGTAGCCATTCCCTGATCCCAAGTTTCCTGCTGCAAACCCACTGCCCAAGCCATTACCATAGCCTCCATTGCCTCCACTTCGCATGTTCGGCTCAGAATTTAAAAACAGTTCAATATAGCGATGCTCTGAGGGATAAAAATAAACAATGTTAAAACAGAATAGACTGATTTTTACTAAACACTACCTCAGGATTATGATCAGACCAACAATTTAAGGAGTCATTTCTATTTAAAACAGATATAACTACATTATATATGTAGGTAATAAATCCTATTGCAGGGATGTGACCAGACCATAAAAAAAAGAAAAACTTTTTTCGGACAAAAACAAATGTTTTATTGCAGTTAAAGCAGCCTTGCGCCGTTAGTAAACTTATTGTTTAACATAGCTAACATTTTAAATAAAAGAAGTTTATGTTACTCTAAAATAACAATGAAAGTCTTGTCTAATTCCAATTGAATGTTTCCCTTATAAACAATTTTTACAAAAATTAAATTTTACAGTTTAACAACAGTCGCAATTAAGTTTTATTTTAACTTTAAGCTCATTTAAACTAATGATCTAGTTGACCTCTTGTTTTTAAATTATTCCCTATAATATCAGTTATATTCTTTTAAAGATGGGCATGGTAAAAATGTAAATTTTTATTAATGAGCCTAGATTTAGATTAATTGTAATTTAAAAGTATTAGTTCATAAAAAAGGAAAATGAAATTGACCAGATAAGCTGAAATTAGACAGGGTCTAATATTTATTTTAAAAAGTGTGGTGGAATTAATACTTGTAATAAAACAAATATAAAAAAACCTTTATAGCAACAAGCTTTTAAATGCATTGAAAAAAAAACAAAAAAAAAACTAGTTTGCTTTCTTTCATAAAAGCTTTTGTCGCTAATATAGATAAAAGATCTCATGAGCTACTAGATGTAGATGTTGACGAGTTAAAATATCCATAGATAAATTAGGCTATAGCTTAACTACCATGCAAGAGAGATTAGCAGTAAAGAAACCAGGCATGGAAGATATTTCATCGGAAGAGCGACATTACTTTAAATAACTTTGTTCTGTGTTTTTGATAAATATTAAACTGAAAATATAAGCGGAAAATTTGGATCAAAAAATTTGAAAGTCTAAAGAAGTTTTGAACAATGACCTATATTTAATCTTAATCTAGCACAGTCAGACCTAGCGCAATCATCCAATTGAAAAAGGAAATGACGATTGCCCCTTTAACTTAAGTAATGTATTACTCGATTTTAATAGGATTAGGAATATGTGGAATGCGCGTGTGGGCTGTTTCCGCAGAAGTGATTTCAGTTTTTTTCTTCTGAGAAATTGAAATCAGCGGAGGAAAACTGCAGCTGAAACAGGAAAAAATCGATAAAGTCATATCCCTGCTAACGATAGCAGTTATATTAGATTGGAGTTAAGCCCGGAATTTCTGTGTGTGGTAGAGACCGGTTCGCCTTATATGTAAAGTATGTTTATTTACACGTAATGGTGTAAGACTCGTTGGTATTGAAAATTTGAATATACTGTCGGAGGCGGGAAATACGTTTTATGTAAGTTGGTTTCTCGTTGTTCTATAATTAGTGGTTCATTTTCTACAATTTTTCTAAACTTGGAGTTTTTTTCTCAAAATTACAAGCAATATAATTAAAATGCCTCTGCCATTGAATTGGGCTTTATTTATAATAAAGAAAGTAGCTCCAGTAACTACGGTGAATTTTTTTATCATTTAAAATAAATTTTTATAGAAATAGTAGAAGTAATGTTATGTTTAACTTTTTCTGGTATTAGTGCCATATTTATTAATAAATTATTAAGCTATTTAACCTCTTGCATAATAAACTTGCACCAGTTTTGTTTTTATTGATTTTTATTTTAAACGCAAGTGGTTGTTTTTAAAAAAGGGCAGCGAATGAAAAAAGCGTAGAAGTAGAATAGAAATGATGCCCAGGCCGATAAATGGTTAATGTTTCTCATGACAAATATTTACTGTATTTTTAAAGAAAATACGGGTAGGTTTTTAAAAAACATTTTCAAAACAATGAGACTGCACACTGAATAAAATTATTGTGGTTATATTTGCTTTTATGTTTACACTAAATTAGCCAACTACTTAAAACAGCGGTTACATTTTGAAGTGATATGTATAACTAAATTTTACTTACGCATATTAGATTTGTGTTTTTTCATGGCCTCTACAGCCTCTTGGTGTGTGGCAAAATCCACATTTGCCTCCCCAGTAGGTCTTCCATTATCTCCAAACTCAAACTCACAACGTACAGGTTGGATTGGTGAAAAAAACTGAAATCATAATTATTTTTTTTTGGTTAAAAACAAAAAACTTGAGCAAGAAGCTAGGCAGAGGCCTAAATATTTTAAAACGACTTACATCAAAAACATCTTGTTCCAGAGCCTGAAAAGGCAGACCCCTCATATGTACAGAATGACCAGTTTTACTGATGTAACAGGACCCAGGCTGCATACTACGACGCTCCATAAAATCCATGTTCATTTGTCTGTTATTCCTCATCATAGCCATTCCCCCACGACGATTACGCATACCAAATCCCATTCCACCTCCAAATCCATAATCATCAAAATCATCATCATAAAGACCTAAAAATAAAAAAAAGGACCTACTGCTTTACCTAAACAACACTTTTATTAGAATAGATGCAACATTAACCGTGAGCGTGCAAACAAATACATTAGGAAAGTGAACACATACCTTTCAAATTGCGATTCCTTCCTCGTCCATATCCCATGCCACCCATTCCCATGCCACCCATACCAAATCTGTCTCCCCTATCATATGGCCCAGGCCGAGCTGGCATACCACCAGCCATAAGTGGACGAATACCAGCACGCACGCCACCTGCTGCATTAGCCTCAGACATGCTGCTTTTAAAAATTTCAATGTACCTAAAAAATAGAAATTACCAGAGTGTTAAACACCACTACAGAATATCTTTAATGTGGGAAAAAATATTTTCGCTTCCACATCTGGTAAATAATCTAATTTTAAGCCTACTAATAAAAAAGTAAAGTGAAATGTAAATGGTGGTCCAGTTAAACAAGTCAGCTTCTCAAAACACATGCCCACATCATTTAGTCCAGTAAGGAGATAGAGGAGCAAAAAAGTGAGAAACTCCATCCTTATAACAATGGTAGTTAAAACATATCCATTTCTTGCATTATTTTGCAGTACTAGTACTAAACAAAATTATAGAAAATTTAGCTGCTGCATTTTTACATACAATAAAAATGGTAGGAGAATGTTGTGATAGGATATTAAAGCCTACATAAATTAATACTTTTTAAAGAAGTGTATCAGATATTAAGGCTTAAACCTAGATCTTTTTCTTGCTCTACTCATCTAGGCATCCAATAACACCAACCCAAAATACCACCAAGAAAATAATACAGCTGCCCACAGCAGGAAACTAGATGACTTGTAGTGTCTTTCAGCAGTCTTATTTAACACAAGTTATTGCCCAAATAATGTATCCACATAGGATAACAGAAACCCCACTTGACTTATCCATCAGTAGCTAAAAATTGAATAAATGCCATTGTTTTACCTGATACATTCCTATCCAGCAAAAACCAAACAAGATCCAAACACACACCATTTTCTGTATGTTATAGTAACCATGAGATTTGAAATTTCCATGTGAAACATTTGTATATAGGCATAAAACATGCCTGACTGACAGACCATTTTAAGATGCCTTTAAAAACCCCACCTGTGACCTATCCTTTCTTTGTGTTTTTCCAAAGCCCTCTCTGCTATTGACGATGATGCAAATTGTACAAATGCCTCCCCTGTGCTCCTCCCCTGACGATCTTCAGGGAGCATAATTCCATTTGGAACTATCTCCAACCCTATAACCCCCACCCAACCATTGGGCAAAGAGAGAAGGAATCAGTAAGAAAAATTTCAAATTATTACATTTAATACAAAAGAATACCCTGACAATATCTAATTGTAAATTTACAAAATCCTTAACTTAGAACATGAGTCACGTTATAACCAATATAAGTTGAAAAAAATGTGTTATCTTTGGACAAGAAACATCATTATAAAACTAGATTCTTTACAAGCCAAGACTACTTAACAATAATTTTATAAAATAAACAGATATGTAAACATTCCCAGCATAGAAAGTATTTAAAATAATGTGGACAAACTTGTCACCTGTAAAAAATTGTGCTATTTCCTCTTTTGAGCAACCAAATGGCAAACCACGAAGTTTAACAACAGCTTCAGCCATTCCTCCTGCAACACTGGCACCAGCTCTTTTAATCATCCATTCCATTTCAGATCTATCTACCCTGAAAACTGGAGGGAAAGGTTTCTTGGTATTAGTGATTCTATTAATAATTGACAACAGTTAACAATGTAAAGCAAAGAACTGTAGGATGGAAAAAACAAGACATAAAAAAACCAACCCTCGATGTATCTGTTACCAATATGTTCATTGTTTTGTGCAAGGGCATTTCTTACATCATCTTCTGATTCGAGTTCAACAAAAGCTTCACCACTAGGCCTGCCTTCTCTTGAATATGTAAAATGGATTCCTTCTTCACCCCCAGCTATGGTACATTCTAGAAAAGTAAAAATAAAGTTGCAACAATCAACAGACATCAATCAAGACAAACTGCTCATCTTGTTAGAAAATAAAGTGTTTAACTATCCTTATTTTAATCATCCTCCACTTTTTTTTTTACCAGCTTAGTAGCATGTCATAGGTGGAATCCACACATTTGACGAAACAGTAAAAAAGTGCAAAATAGGTCCATTACTGCACGTTAAAAAAATTACCACAAATGCATTTTAAAAAAAAACAACCCTGTTGCAACACAAAATTATAAAAAATGCTGAAAACTAGAAACTACATTTTCAAGGACACCCTTTCCCTGATTATGATACTGCATCACATGCCCTTTGACAAAATGTATTATTGTGATGTTACTTCTGAGAACAATATGTTGGCTAAAAAACATTCCAAAAAAGTATCAATCCTAGTAGAGCAACTTTTTTTGCTGGGTAGGCGATAAATAATTCTGAGGAAAGAGAAATAATCCCTTCAGAAAACAGTCACAAGCCCAAAACTATTACAAGATCGTCACTTGACTGATAATTATAGGCTAAAATTTCAAGTAGGCCTATTTGATTTTCTAAAACAAATAAAAAAACCTTTTTAATAACAGGCTTTTAATTTTAAAATCACAGAAAATAAAACAATAAAAACTTGCTTCCTGTAATAAAAGCTTTGGTCTTTAAAATATGTAAGAGATCTCATTAAAAATGTTTTTGTATATTTGTTTTATCTCACACTTTTTAGTCATTTGTTTAATAACAAGTTGACACAACAAAAAGTTGTGTTAATGCCGGCCAGTAGCTTGTGATCTCTAAATTTTAGTTATCCACCCTTAAGAAATCAGTCAACTGTAAACTAAACAGTTCACATTTGACAGCCCCTCATCAAGCGACCGCTAGTATTTGGTCTTATTATCTCTAATTTTATTATTAAAGTAACTTTAATGACTAATCTAATGCATTGCCATAGAAGAAGTGGGTTAATATTGAGTTACAAGATTTGTGGAGCCAAAACCATTTTTAGTAAACGTAATAAAAGCTTGTAATAAGATACTTTCATCACAGTCAGTTTTACCAGGGGTGGTGATTTTTATTGGCCATAACCCATTATATTAGTTTGATGTGCTACATCGTTAACTGGGTAGATGAACCATATAACAAAGTGGGTAAGTTCACCCACAGGGTATGTGATGGTTAAACTCCTGAACTTTTCCATAACAAATCATTCCATTTCAAACTAAAAAAGGAGCAAAGTCAGCACTATTGTACACAGCAAAATACCAATAATTATAAAGTACAGGTAGAAAATTTTTATTTTTACTTAACCCACTGTAAAAAGCTCAGCTTAAAACAGAACTGCTAGTTCCATCACTTGTTGCCCATTTGCTTAAATAATGTGCTTAATTACTGTTAACCAGAGTGGTAATGCTGTCAGAGAACAGTAGGGGAAAAAGTCATTACCAACAAAATATAGTTACCTCTTAGGAAGTGCAAAATTTCATCTGGTTTAGTTGACCAAGGTAGACCACGAAGCCTTACAACACAACCCTCAGACATGTTGAGATGCTGAAAAAATATTACAAAGTTCAGATTGAGCTTTATTTCAATTCTTTTCTCTTCTGTTGGCAACTACAACCTCTAAGACCAAGAAAAGTTATGAACTCAAGTTGCACACAGATTTTTCAATACTTTTTAAAATAAATAAATATTTAACCATAAATCAGAGAAACTAAGAAACTTTGCAATCTTAAAAATTCATTTTTGGTATGACTAAAATGATAAACCTGAGCACTCACATGTTAAAGAATGTCAGCTATCATTTCATGCAAAATACAACCGGTAATAATTATAACATCTTACAATAACAAAGCAGTAATTGTGACTGGTGATGAGGTATAGATTGTTATATTTTTTAAATAAGAAAATGTATTATGGATTATTTTAGGTTCATATCTGTTACATAGATCATCTATTATGCACTCCAACTAAATCTAAAATAATTAATCAGGACTTACAGCCTAATAATAATTTTTTAAGTTAGGGCCTAATATTAATCATGCATCAGTTTAGATAGTGGTTCACACTACTATTCATCTTTCAATTACCATTTTAAAATTCACACAGAACACATGTCAGGTGAAATAGAGTAATAGACATAGTATGTCCTTTTTATTCATGTTTCCAACTGATTTCCCAAGTTGTTTATTCTTTTAGCAAGAATCTTAGGGACAAATATCCCCAGAACCATATCACAAAATGAAATTTTTTTAAAGAAAGTAGCCCTTTCATGAATAACGACAAAAAATAAAATTTAGAAAATACAATGAATGCCAAAAGTATAAAGGCACCTAATGGGTTCGAACTCGCAACGTCTGGCACGATAATTACAGTTTTATAGACTGAGGCAATCTATTGGCTGGGCATCAGCCACATGATCCACCAATCAGATTGCTTCTTAATAATTTAGTTCATTCTAGAACTTCAGTTGGTCGCTTCCATTAAAAGTTTGCCTTATTTTTTTTATTTTATTTTTTATCAATTTTTTTTTTAGTGCCTTGAGTCATATAGTAAATTTTCATGTAGCCAACAGTTCATCAAATAATACTATAGGTCTAATTATTAGCTTAGAAATTCTAATGTTTAACTAACAATCAGTAAATTAGTGCAGATTATCGAATACATGTTTGTATGTATTTAGATTATTAGCATTACAGAGAAAAATAACATGTTTTATAATATTTACTGTATGGTAGTCTTATTATTTCATGAGCATAAATTATGCAAATCAGGAAGCTGACTACTATGTGTTGAAATTGTTATTTGATTTCTAAAAATCATATTAGCTTGTTCAATTTCCTGAAAGATTAAAAATATTTTAATGCATGTAAAATAAACAGTTTAGGCCTACTTGTTTGAACTTTAATGTAATACAACTGCAAAGCTTGTAAGTAGACTACGTCTACGACTTAATACATTTAATGTATCAAAACAGTCACAACTGGAAATAGTCTTAATTTTGCTATTCCCAGTCGACTGGGAATAGACACTAGGCTTCAAAAATCAATTTCAATTCTCTGGATTTGCAACTTTTATAACATTTCTTATTAGGCCTTAATTTTTTTTAAATTTCTGAATTATTTTCAGGCTGAAGATAATTTTTTACAGCCGTTTTGATGGCAAAAATCTAAACAAAGAATAGGTTTATCTTTGTCAACAATAATGATCGAACCCAACTTGTCAAACTCGACGACCCCCATTAATTAATTCAAGTATTATATCAAATTTGTAGTTCTGTATCAACTTTTCAGCAATTTACGGTGGCTGGATGAGGAACTTAATCTACTTTTGGTTTTTCAAAAGCCTATAACTTGAGTACTGTTTCAGATAGATTTAACAAAATTTCACATGTAGGTAAAACATCTAATTACTCTGCCTTCTGTCAAATTTTGAGTAATATCTGTTAACAGGAAGTGGTACTTTACACTATTTCTGATTTTTCAAAAAAGATATATGAATTTATAAAGTACTAATATTCCACACTATTAAACATATATTGTTTGCTGTTCACTTGGTGCACAATTTCTTTTTTTTTACAAGATTCTAATCTATTTTTAAAAGTTTAAGTAGGCTATGTAAAAACTGATTAAAAAGCATGCCTATGCCAAGCATGTCTCAAGTTGCCATCCCAGCAGTAGTGGTATATAAGAATATACGTGAAAGTTAAGGGGAGATCACCCCTGCTTTATTTAAGAAGAGGTAATCTAACGTTTTAGGTGCGTAAAATCGGTGGAGGCTAGTAATGTTCGAAAAAATTGCCTCATTTTTAAGGCTTTAATAGAAGTAGGCCTATATTGTGATTGCGAGCAAGATTTGCTATATAAACAGCAGCCATCTGTAAAATAGAGTGCCTTCCCCTGAATCTCCTACCATAAGTTAAAAAAAAAAAACTTAAACAAGATGGCTGCTAAAGTAAACGAGCTTGGTTGCATGTGATGAAATCATCGCTAGTCTTTATTTATTAGGCTACTGGAAATTTTTTAATACAATTGTTTAATAACAGTACATAAATGAATCTTTAAATTTTTTTTTGTAAATCTTAAAACATAAAATGTGAAATAATTACTAAAATTTAATGAGTCACTTTTTTTCACATTACTAGTCTTGGCTGATTTTACGTACCTAAAACGATAGATTACCTTAAAAGATCGGTGTCCGATAATAGACTCTTCCCTAAAATAGGTGTGTTGGGTTGTTAGTAGTATTGTAATCTCGACTAATTTTATGGTTAGAACTTGGGGTTAGGCTATGGAAGGACCAGGGTTGGGGTTAGGGTAGCACTGGCATTAGCCAGCCATGTGTGTATTTAATTAATAGCTTTTCTTACTAAATCTAGAATTTACCCAAATTTCAAATTAAACATGACTACTGAATGATAGACATCCATATTTAATCCATTAGGGACTAATTTTGAAGTTTTTAGTTCGTTTTAAACTAAATTACTTAATTTAATATTTATTGACACTCACTGCCATGGACAACACATCTCTCCATGACAACTTTTCTTACCCCTGAAGGCACTTGAAGCTAAAGAGAACCACAAATGCGGTTAGACTTTTTAAGTGGCCATGTACCCAGAGTTCCCCACTAGGGATCATCAAATAGCGGTCACGTGGTCAAAAAAAAAAAAAAAAATTTGGTTGTCATTTTTTGGCCACTCTTATAAAAAAAAGGGTTGACTATATTTGATTTATTTTTTCATAAACAACTAATAATGCTTTAGTATGGAAATCAATTTTGTAATATGGAAATCGATATTTAAAAAGTTCTAGTATTTTTGATGAAACCAACTTTTAAATTTAGCCTTCATTCTCCAACGCAAATTTTAAAATGCTTTTCTGGCATATATAGCCCTGCCACCTATAGCTTGTTGTTATAACGTGAAAGTCCCGCCATTTTGCGCGTGGTAAACATTTTAAAAACTAATTAGTAGAAGGTCTCTGGAATTTGGCCGAAAAATCGTCGGAAGTCAAGCGTCCGGTCCGGGCGCCATATTTATTGTTGTTAGCAACCGGCCACGCCTCCGGGTTAGCGAGAAATACTATTAATTAACTACCAGTAGGCCTAACCTAACATTATCGGACACCAATATAAAAATTTGGCCAATGCTAGCCAGAAAAAGATACGCATGCGCAATGGAGAGAAACTACGACTTGTCTTAGCTGCGATGTTTTCGACAGGTCCCTCCCCCATTAATTCATGATAAATAGGCCTAATAAAAATAATAGGTAGACTCTAGGCCAATCAATAGAATAGACAGATCTAGATTTTGACTTTTAAGAAGAGAGAATGATAATCTAATTTCTAGATTCTAGAAAATCTAGATTCTAGATCTCTACTCAATTCAGTCAATTGAATTGCTCAATTGCAGTATCAAAGTATTTTCAATATATTTTTCTCGTTATTTTTGTGGTTTAGCTAGATTCCAGACCTAGATTGATCCATCTGAAAATTTAAAATCATTGGCCAAAATTTGGGGTGTTTCTGACAAACAAATCTAGATTTTTAGATTCTAAGACCGCGCGTTTTAAAGATTGACAATCTTGAATAAAGAGTACAAGGCACAAGGCTCGTTCATGAATAAGTAGGTCAGTCGTCAAATGGATTTCTGGTCCTAAAATAAGAAACTACAGGCATTTAGTTTAATATACATTTCAGTTATTATTGTACTATACTAAATATAACGTCGAATGTAACTAACCGGTAAGCTTCGTAGACGATTTTTCTATAAATTTTGATAAAGTGACTACAACAAATTTCTTCTGAAGTACAACGATGAAGCACAGCCTAGTTTTTTTTGTTACACCGGTTGCCAGATTTTTGTTTTTTTGCAGTTCCTAGATCTAGAAAATCTAAATCTAGATTCACTATTCGCAAGTTTAACTAGGCCTAAAATATAATTCAGTTGCTAAAAACTATGGTCTAACCAGACTAGATCTAGATCTACAGTAAATACAGAGATAAAAGACTGGTTGTTAGATCTATATACGGTACAAATATGATATAGAGATATTTAAATGATGTACTTGTAATTGCATCGAATGTGCTAATTTTACACGATTTTTTGTTTGTTATGGGATGATGCACATGTTGCACAGGCATACAAAGATATATTAATTATATTTTGCTATACCAGTGGGAATAGTAAAGACATTCTTATCTTAGTAAAATTTCCGCTATTTATAATAGTTGGATAAATAGTCTACGTGATTTTTCAAATATTGTATGTCACAAAAATTTGACATTTTTACCAATCACTCTAATTTTTAAATAACATTTCCATTGAGTTTGGCCATATATATATATATATATATATATATATATATATATATATATATATATATATATATATATATATATATATAAAGAGAGAGAGAAAGAGAAAAAAAATGAGAAAGTCCACAAAGAGAGTAACGTCAAAGAAAGACAACCACCCCTAATATCAATATGATTTGCCATTTCTAAGACACTCCTCTACCACAAACAACCGCATACACAACTTATTACTACAAAATAGCTTTTTAAAATACATAAATCACTCCAATTTAAAGATAATCATTTGTTATATCTACTTTCAAAATATAAATAACTGAACAGCTTTTTTTATAAAATAAAGTTTGCTCTTAAAATAAGCCAATATGGCCTAGTTTAACTAGAAAAAAAAATAGGCCTATTAGGCCTAGCCTAATAAAAATGAGATAATTGAATTGCCAGGTTTTTTAAAGAGTTGAGACTTTAAAAAAAACTGACATACATCACAAGTAGGTCTAACTTAGAAGTGGCACTTAAGAATTCAAAGACAAACTAGGTTTAAATGGGCATATAATTTATATAACTTATTAAATGGAAGTGTGGTAGTTACACAAGGACAAATAAGTGTCTTCTTTATGATGAAAACCCCCAATTTAGAACAAAAATATTATTATTAATTCATTATAAGTTATCGGTCATTTATTTTCTTTATCTTGCTTTTATTTCTATCTAAATAGGCCTACGTTTAAATAATGTAATCTATAGCATAGACTAGATATAGATCTATATTGTTAGTAAAATCGGACTAAAGTTAGGTTAAAGTGTTTTATTTTTCTCTATCTTTACTAGTATTACGTCTAGTTAGGTATATTTTCTATCTAAAATGGAAAATTTAATCCATATAGATGTATAGATAATAGTCTACTATTTGCATAAAGTTTAAAAAAAAAGCTAGGCCTAATTCTAGATATCTAGACTAGCCTAGATCTGTATCATCGCCTACACAAAGAAAAAAAAAATAAATTAAAGAAACGGAAACTGTTGGGAACACATCCGGTGCGAACTATAAACAAACGCCATTGTTGTTTTTATCGAAAATACCTCATATTTCAATCGGTTAACATCTAGGTCTAGATCTAGTCCTATACATAAATGGTTTCGTGAAATAAAAAAAACCTGAATGGAAAATTAACCAATTAACTCATTATCATTGAATTTACTTATACATCATTACATATATTATTTTACCAGGATGAGCTTCCTATTGTAAGTTGTACTAATTTACGACAATTTTGGGTCCTAAAATTTTAGGCTAACTTTTTACTCATTTTTTTTTAAAATTATACTCGTATACTGCCTAAACTCAGACACTGTCCTTAGACCCAGCAACTAACGTACATTTTTTAAAATAGTTGACAGTCATCCAATTATATCTGTGTTTGGCTGTTAACTTACTTGTAAACTAGTAAAGATCTATTCGACGGTAAAACTCCATTTTAGCGTATTTTATTCTCCGCTTCTTGTTTACCTCCAGTTGAGCGTATTTTATTATAACAACCAAAACATTAGGAAAACACGATTTATTATTTGTATTGTATTTTTTTTAACAAATGAATAAAAAAACAAAGAGACTGACTTTGTTTAAGATTTTGATAATTTACTTTGTTAAAATAAAAGTTGAGAAAAATCCAAATTTATACCTAATATTTAATGTGCAATGTTCGTGTGTCAGAATTTTCATTGCAATGGGTGAAATACATAAACGTAACTCACAATTGCAAAGGCGGTTAAGTTTGTATTGTTACAAGTATCTCCCAGGCATGATACTATAAATAAACATTAATGAACTTACAATGACCCCAAAACTGAGGCCAACACAATTTCAAACAGCTATTGCCCGAGCTATGACGTATGCTGCGCATGCTGATAATTAAAGTCAATGTGAACTCACAGTGAACCCGTGACAGTGTAAGGATTTTTCTCCCGCTGACGAGCACACAATATTTAATTGGAACAGTTCTAATGCTTTTTAAAGTGTTTTTTTTTACCTTTTCTAATAAAAATTGCATTCATAAAAAAAATAAGTAGATCTATGTTTTCCTAACGTTTTTGTATGTTTCGGTTGTGTTTACAATAAAATACGCTCAACTGGAGGTGAACGTCAAGCGGGGAATAAAATACGCTAAAATGGAGTTTTACCCTATTCGACTACAGAGTCTACACTACAGGGTTCGATTAAGACGATTAAGTCTGGAATTTAGAAAAGTGAATTGCAGACTTAAAAAGTCTGGAAAATAGTTTCAAAATAAATAGGGCTTAGATCTAGAGTAAAGTTCCGCAAATCGATCAGACATGCGCGAAATTCCAAAGTCATGATTTTCATCAGGTGCACTAGACTTTGACTATGTTGATATCATATGTTGTAACCGTTTCACACAGAAATAAGCCGAAAGTACTGTGTTACTCAGCTGCCTTTCTACTCTAATAGTTAATAAATATTTATGAGTAATTTTGTATTCCCATGCACAGACTTTGAGGTATTTATGTTTTAGTGATGGCCCTCTTTGTGATATTCCCCCCCTTCCCTTTTTTTGCTTGCGGCTGCCTGCCCCTGCTAGCCTAACGACCGTATTTTATGTTTTTGATCCAATTTCACTAATTAAAATAAATATTTTACACTTTAAAACGTGTTGTTGATTGTAATATTTATTAATAGATTGCAAAACCAAATAAAAATGACTTTAGGCCTAATTAAATTTATTAACTTCACATCAAGGATAACCCACTCAATGCTCAAGGGACACAACATAATATACATAATACGAGACATAACATAACATTTGCTTAGACATGTTTGTATGTAGAGACACAAGCTAGATGTAGAAGAAGTAGATGATCGAAAATAATTTAAAACAACAGACAAATTTAGATAATACATAGGAATCTAGGCTTAGATTTAAATATAGAGGGTCTAGTCTAGTTCAAGTAGTTGGTGAGGGTAAAACACCTTAATCGTTACCCCAGCTGAGGCCACCCCAATTTCTCCCCTCAGATTGCTTTAATAGCCTTAACTATAGTATTTATAAGGCCCAGCACTTATGTAGAAGCTATTTATAGTTAACCTATTATAATAAGCTTTGATTAGTTGGTTTTATTTGCCTCATCCCTGGGACCTAGTGCTTTTCATAGGGGAACCAGAATCGCCGACGATGTCATGCCTCAAAACTGAAAAACTTTAAAAACCTGTCTTCCAGAAAGAAAAAACAAAAGAACTTGACCTGGATATATTTAGAAATGGACATGCGGACAGCAGATATCGGTAGTTTCATAGAAAACATCCAAACAATGATTATACTAAGCAATAAACAGGAGGATGGCCGTAGCGTGTGTTGAACAGCATGCAGAACTTAACTCTTGATCTAGTTTTTGCCTTTTGGGCTGGTTTTTTAAAAGTTTGGAATCTAGTTTTAGACCTAAACTTTTTTTTTTATTATTGCATTATTGACTTTGCGAATGTGGTACGAGTAGGCTTATTTAAAAGTATTATTAGAGCCATTCAATTTATGTGGGAGGCATGTGAGTGGTAGACTAGGACAAGTGTATTTTAATTCACCTTCTGTTAAACTGTTTTTTGAAATCTTTGCAATTGCTGACGATTAGGGCTAGACTAATCCGACCCTCCTTGTAACTATGAACGATCACTGATATATTAACTTCTGTAAACTCACCATAACCCAAATTATTACTTACTTGGTACTGCTTGGGGGGGGGGGGGGGGGGATAAAAAATCTAGCCACAGGTAGGCTGTTGGATTGTTGGACATTTCAGCGTTTCCAACGCGATCAGCCTGGTATTGTCAATGGGGACACGATTTGCTGGTATGTCATACTTAACTTGCAGCTCCCTTGCTGTATTTGCGTCATTTAAGCCATGTTTGAACTTCTTTTACTGAGCTATTTGTTAATTCTTTTTGCTTGTGTCATTGAATGGTACTTCTCAGCCATCGTTAGGATTGCCTTCTTGATCCTCAGTTTAAGAGGTTCAATGTTGTCTATAATCTTGCAGCTGCAGGTGATAATTGGTACGCCTTCAGTAATCAGATGCATCCCACTGTTCTTGACTATCCAATGCTTCAAGGGCTTTTTTCTATTAGCATGGGCCAAATTAGGCAGACCATATTCTACAGCCCCTCTTACATAAGCATTTCTCAGGGTTTTTGGATCTGCACTCTATCTGGTATTGGTTAGTAGTTTCAAAATATTAAATCTCTTGGGGCCCTTTTGTTGTGTTAAGGTCAGCTTCTGGTCACAGCCCCCCATCTGCTTCAGACAAGTCCATACAGGATAAAAACAACAACTAAATTGTTGGGTGGATCCTTATGTTAATCTATGTAATGTAGGCCAGAGTAACTACCTGTTTACTTGTAATATTTGAAAATATGTCCCATCAATTTGAACAAGTTTTCATATTTGAGCTTTACAAAGTGAAACCTACTCTCTTCACAGTGGAAGTCGAAGCAATAAAACATTTAAACCAAAGAAAAACATCCCTGAAGGCACACATCAGTATGATCTTATGAAACATGCTGCAGTCACACTAGGGAGCGGCAATTTGAGACAGGCAGTTCAGTTACCTGATGGGGAAGATTTGAATGAATGGGTAGCAGTCAACAGTAAGACTTGTTTCTTTTCTCAATGGGTGGGTGTGTCAACAGTAAGACTTGTTTCTTTTCTCAATGGGTGGGTGGGTGTGTCAACAGTAAGACTTGTTTCTTTTCTCAATGGGTGGGTGGGTGTGTCAACAGTAACACTTGTTTCTTTTCTCAATGGGTGGGTGGGTGTGTCAACAGTAAGACTTGTTTCTTTTCTCAATGGGTGGGTGGGTGTGTCAACAGTAACACTTGTTTCTTTTCTCAATGGGTGGGTGTGTCAACAGTAAGACTTGTTTCTTTTCTCAATGGGTGGGTGTGTCAACAGTAAGACTTGTTTCTTTTCTCAATGTATGGGTGTGTCAACAGTAAGACTTGTTTCTTTTCTCAATGTATGGGTGTGTCAACAGTAAGACTTGTTTCTTTTCTCAATGAATGGGTGGGTGTGTCCTAATGAATGAAATATATTATGTATATAAATGTTAAAAACAGTTTATTTAAAAGAAAATGTTGAACATGTTACTTTTCAGCTGTAGATTTTTTCAATCAGATCAACATGCTTTACGGCACTATCACAGAATTCTGCTTGGAGGAGACATGTCCAGTGATGTCAGCTGGCCCTAAGTATGAGTACCATTGGGCTGATGGTCAGACTATCAAGAAGCCAATTAAGTGCTCTGCCCCAAAATACATTGACTATCTAATGACATGGGTACAGGACCAGTTAGATGATGAAGCTTTGTTTCCATCCAAGATAGGTAATTGGGCTTTCAAATGCTACATAATTATTTAAGTACATAATATAAAGCTTAAAATATCATGTCTTAAAATGTTTTGTCAATAACAAATTTAAAAAATCTTAAAATGTTTTATCAATAACACTTTTTTCTTTTGTAGGTGTTCCTTTTCCAAAAAACTTTCTGTCCATTGCAAAAACAATATTGAAGCGACTTTTCCGAGTGTATGCCCACATTTATCATCAACACTTCAAGGAAGTGGTTCAGTTAAGTGAGGAGGCTCATCTGAACACAAGCTTCAAACATTTTATTTTCTTTGTCCAGGAGTTCAATCTAATTGATCGGAAAGAGTTAGCCCCACTCCAGGAGCTGATTGACAGATTAACCAGCAAAGATCGATAATATTTGATCATAAGCCTTTTCAAACATTCTTCTCTGACATATTTTTTAAGAAGATGCTCAATTTCATGAGCAAACAATTTTCTCTTTGTTTTGATAAGTTGATTTTGAAGTTAGATTCAGATTGTGTCAAATATTCTACTTTACCACAGATTTTAATTTTGACAACTTTTTGCTTATCATATCTGTTTATTAAAGTGTTTTATAAAATATTAATTTTCTATAATTAATCCATGCATACAATAGGCTTAGAATTCATATTAGAGCTGTTGCTTTATTTAGCAGTCCAATGAAATACAACCAGCTTACTTAAACATAGATGATTGCTTTTGTTTGTTCAAATCTCGACAATTTTGTGATAAAGTTGCGCACCGTGGGATAGATTTAAGTGACAGTCCTGTGTACATACAAATACTTTATTGCTTAGCTATCATGTATAACTATTGCATTTCAAATCTCTGTGGTATTTTTTCAGGTATTGCTTAGATTTTTCAAAAGATTTATTTTGTCTATTTTTTCTAGTGGTATTTCCAGGGGTAGGCAAGTGTTAGGTGGGGGCCTCATAAACAAGGGTGTGAAACTAACCATTGGTAGAGATCTCTGGATCCTCCCAAAATAAGATGATCCATACACAAATAATTTCTTCTCTAGTTTTCCTTTGAATACTCAGACTTTCTTCAACATTTTCTATCAACATTCCACAATCATGACTCTATGATGTCTCAACTGCTGTGCTTTATATAATATGTTATAAATACAACACGTACCACAACATGAATGTTCTGTAAACTATTGTATTGTATGAATAGACATTTTAATTGCGGTAACATCTAAAATTGCCTTTACTATATGGCACGCTGGGTTGTAAAAGATGTTTTGTTTGTCATAGAAATCTTGATATCATCCAGTTTTTTCCCCATAAAAATATCTTGACCTTGATATCATCAACCAGTACAATGTGCCCACTAATGTTCTCATCCATTTTCCCTGATTCCTTCTTGCACTTTTAAAGTTGTTAGATATTTTTATAGGGCAACGGTTAAATACAATTTGATGTTGATTAGTATAAGCTTTTCTCAGCATAAAAATTCACTGTTGGTTAATCATTCTTTGTAGATCCCTGCTGGAAAGTACTCACAATAGTGCTGGAAAAAATATTTGACAACCATGTTTGTAGTTACCTACACAAATATGGTCAGAAGCTATGAAGGTTGAGTTGCTTGATATAGGATTGTACAATTGTATCTTCATAGCTCAAGGAGCCCAGTAACTTTTGGCTTTTTGTTCATTAGTTTTTATTTCACAGTTTTTTTTAGATCTTGTATGTATTTTTTTAATGATAGTGATTTGTCATGTTCAACATAAAAAAATAACTTGAAATCTGTTTCTGTCTAAGGTGGACCTACAGCTGACTGAAAAAATTAAGTGGACCTACAACTGACAAAACAAATAAGGTGGACCTACAACTGACAAAAACATTAAGTGGACCTACAGCTGACAAAAACAATGTCATCATTTACACCTGACATTTTGAAAGATTTAGCTGCCCAGATATGATTGTAAAATATGGAAGTGTCCATGTGTTGTCTTTCAAGCTGTTGACATGATATCCAGCACAACTGTACGTCCATTAGCCTCAGTGTATCATTGACTTGTTATGTTCTTCCCCTTGAGATATCCAGCACAACTGTACGTCCATTAGCCCCAGCAGACTTGTGTCATTGACTTGTTATGTTCTTCCCCTTGAGATATCCAGCACAACTGTACGTCCATTAGTGTATCATTGACTTGTTATGTTCTTCCCCTTGAGATATCCAGCACAACTGTACGTCCATTAGTGTATCATTGACTTGTTATGTTCTTCCCCTTGAGATATCCAGCACAACTGTACGTCCATTAGTGTATCATTGACTTGTTATGTTCTTCCCCTTGAGATATCCAGCACAACTGTACGTCCATTAGCCCCAGCAGACTTGTGTCATTGACTTGTTGTTATGTTCTTCCCCTTGAGATATCCAGCACAACTGTACGTCCATTAGCCCCAGCAGACTTGTGTCATTGACTTGTTGTTATGTTCTTCCCCTTGAGATATCCAGCACAACTGTACATCCATTAGCCCCAGCAGACTTGTGCCATTGACTTGTTGTTATGTTCTTCCCCTTGAGAGTGAAGAGCTCCATTCCATCATGTTATAATGAAATGATGTTGACTTAAGAATAACAGTACATTCATTTTTCTTCTGGTCATGTATTTATTTGAACAAGCCAATGTTTGCACAAGACCATGGTGGGAATTATTTTAGTATTCTTCTCACTTCTAGCAGTAACTGCTACAGTCCACTTTTGGTGGTATGACACTTCTAGCAGTAACTGCTACAGTTCACCTTTGGTGGTAAGACAGTTCTAGCAGTAACTGCTACAGTCCACTTTTGGTGGTATGACAGTTCTAGCAGTAACTGCTACAGTTCACCTTTGGTGCTATGACAGTTCTAGCAGTAGTTGCTACAATCCAGTAAGCTCCTGTGGGAAAGTTATCCATGTAGAAACAAATATTGTAGGTCCTTTGCTCCCTTTCTTTATATGCATAATTTGGCTTGGTAGTTTGATGTCAAATAATTGAGTGTCATTTGGCTTGGTAGTTTGATGTCAAATAATTGAGTGTCATTTGGCTTGGTAGTTTGATGTCAAATAATTGAGTGTAAAGACGCCTAAGATGTCGAGGTTAATTAGCAAACTTTAGACAACAGTAAGGCTTGAAGTGACACTGTATTTGAAATAGAGCACTGCTAGGTTTTTTCCCATTGTCATTCTGCATATGTTGCAGATATATATATTGACAGCTGATTTAGCATGTATTGCAACACATTAACTTTTTAAGTTTAGCTGCTATAGAAATTTTTAAAAAATTATGTGTGCCGTTTCATCGAAAGTTAAAGATTTGCTGTTGTACCTTATTAAAAGCGAGGGATTTGACGTTGTACCTTATTGAAATGGTCATGTAAATAAATGGTCTGTACATACTTGTGGTATAGTAGGGATTGATCCTTGTTTTTAGTCTAGTCATAACGTGCTGATGCAACAAGTAAATCTGGATGTTTGACCAGTCCTGCACCATCCAGCTACACTTTGACTGGCAGCTTTCAGTAATAACCCAAAAGTTTTTCTTGACACTTTTAGTGCATAGTTTGCTAAATAAAGGCTAGGTCAGACCAACATAACTTGTTTTACATTTGTAACTTTTATTGACCCCTGTACAGATCTTGCATGTTCAATTATTTTTTAACACGTTTTTATTAACTCAGCTTCGCGTGTGTTTGTTGTTAAAATTGACATCGAAAATTAGCCCACTTCTGATTGTTCTATAGATCTGAAATTTGGCATGCAGGCTACTTTCGCCTAACAATTTCAGATGCAATCATAAAAACTAGCAATTAGAGACCGTAATTAGCTTAATTTAATTACGCCCTAAGGACCATAAAATTGAGGACATGATTTCTAAAGATACCGACAAGACTGAAGGCCTATTGACACAGTTACTTCGGCCCCAATCGATGTGAGCGCGCTGGCCGTGATCGTATAGTGGTTAGTACTTCGCGTTGTGGCCGCGACAACCCAGGTTCGAATCCTGGTCGCTCAAGATTTTTAGTCCGTGTATTTATAAACACTTAGTCAAGTCATACTTAATCAAGTCATTAGATAAAGTAGAAAATAAACTATATAAAAAACTTTTTTAAAAACCACGTTTTTCATGTGTAGCAACGGACTAAAAAGGAGAAAATAAAATACTTAAAAAAAACTTTTTAAAAAAACACGTTTTTCTTGTGGACTAAAAAGTAGAAAATAAATTTTTCTTTTGTGCTTCCTCGAGCTGTGCAGATTCTTGTGATGACTGACAAAAAACGTGGGTCGGGCAGATGGGTCGGGAAATTTGATGGTGAACGTACCCACGTTTTTTGTCAGTCATCACAAGAATCTGCACAGCTCGGGGAAGCACAAAAGAAAAATTTATTTTCTACTTTTTAGTCCACAAGAAAAACGTGTTTTTTTAAAAAGTTTTTTTTAAGTATTTTATTTACAATACATTTAGAATAAAAAACTCTTTGTTGCTTATATTCATCCTCGTTGTGTTCCTTTATGCATTTTATTTTTAAAATAATTTTAAGCCACAATACATACTACTTTCTATACAACATATATCTGTATAACACACTAAGCAAGTGGGAAAAATGATACTAAAAAAATACAATTATGAAGTTTATTTCTCAAACTTGAAGCATCCAAGGTGAACGTGTCATCTCCCTGTGACCATCTTGTGATCATCTCCTCTTAAAAATTAAATTGTGGCTGTGAGCTCTCTGAAAATAAAATAATTCATGATTGAATTTTTTGAGGAAGGGGGTCTTATTCTTTGTGTTGATGTGGGGTTGGGCTAAAATTCTGCTCAAATGTTTGACCAATAAGTCTGCTAAAATGTTTGACCAATAAGTCTGCTAAAATGTTTGACCAATAGGGGCGGTGTGGTCTAGTCGGTAAAGCTCATGGTTGCTAAACCGAAAAGTCTCGAGTTTGAACCCTCGGGCAGATGAGGCTCGTTAGCTGGGGACAGCCACTCTTCTAGGAGAGACAACTCCAAAATTAAACAACTGCTGCCTTGTAGATTGTTCTTGGTTGGACAAAGGCTATGGAAGCAAATCCAAAAAGAAAAGCAGGCTGAAATGAGTCAATGGCCTCAATGGCGCATAACCAGTTGACACGTAACGCTTAATTGTGTTGGAGGCGTGGTCGAGTCGGCAAAAAGCTCATGATTGATAAAATTCTAACTAAGTCTCGAGTTCAAACCCACTGGCAGATAAATCTCGATCCCCTTCAACACTAATTATTAAGAACGAAGAAGAAGAAAGAAGTTTGACCAGTTATACACCTTAGCCAGACTAGTGGCAATAGTGACACACCACCATGCTTGTCATGACACTGACACCACCTTGCCAGTGGTGACACTACCATGCCTGTCATAACACTGACACTACCATGCCTGTCATGATACTGACATCACCTCCCCAATATCCCAAAAATGTATTCACTGACATTTATTGTTAAGCCACTAAAGCTGGAGACACCTAAAAACTAAATGAACTAGACACACTCACCTCAAAACTAAATGAACTAGACACACACCCCAAAACTGTGATTACTGTGAATGAACTAGACACACTCACCTCAAAACTAAATGAACTAGACACACACCCCAAAACTGTGATTACTGTGAATGAACTAGACACACTCACCTCAAAACTGAATGAACTAGACACACTCACCTCAAAACTGTGAATGAACTAGACACACTCACCTCAAAACTGTGAATGAACTAGACACACTCACCTCAAAACTGTGAATGAACTAGACACACTCACCTCAAAACTAAATGAACTAGACACACTCACCTCAAAACTGTGAATGAACTAGACACACTCACCTCAAAACTGTGAATGAACTAGACACACTCACCTCAAAACTGTGAATGAACTAGACACACTCACCTCAAAACTCTGAATGAACTAGACACACTCACCTCAAAACTCTGAATGAACTAGACACACTCACCTCAAAACTGTGAATGAACTGGGAGAAGATCCCAAAGACCTCACTTGTCTTCACTGTGTTTGGATCTTCCCCAAAAAATGCCACAGTGTTTGACACCTCCCCTGTACATTTGCTATACAGTTTCTTCAGACCTTCTATCTCATTCTTGGCGTCTTTCAGAAAATCCTGTCTTAAGTTCAGGTTTACACAGAAGAAAGTTGCTCAACTAAGTGACCAAGTGTTGATGATCCAATGTTTCAAGATTTCTATGTACACATCAGGGAATGACTATGTACACAATCTAACTATAGAGGAATTTATCTCTATTTATTATCATCAGATGTGTAATTTCTATCTTTTCTGACTGAAAAGGATACACTCATGATAGTTTGAAAGCAATCACCAGGCTCTGAGGCAACATTTTGGTTACAGATGGTGTCTAGGAATATCGATGTATTCTAGGGCAAAAGTGACATTTTAAAATGATCTGGGTTAAACAGGGTTAAATAAGATGGCAAAAGATAAGAATAGAAGTCATGTATCACCAGTTGTTAGGTATGGTACTCTATTTGTGGTTACATCTATTTAAATAAAAACTGAACTCTTTTGTTTGTCTATATGTCTATCACTTTACCTGAAGTGCATTTTCTAGTTCAAAAATATCTTGTCCTAATTCATCAATAGAAACTACAGAATCAAAAAACATTTTAGGAAAAATTAAAACAAGGAAATGTTTTGATTCCAAGAAGAATACTTAAAGCATAAGATATACAACTACTTTAATTATACAAAGTTTTATTATACACACTTTAAACCTTTTTATTTTATTTGGTTATATCAAAAAGGTTAGGATTGTTTAAGTCAAACCTTTGGATGCTTTTTCAACAGTTTTCAGCTCATCAGATAGACTCAGGACCTCTGGGAACTTGTTGAATGCTGCATCAGCCAAAACATGAAGGAATGAAGAGCTCTTGTTTGAGGTTTTAGTGGTGTCTAGCTGTGGATGGTGGTACAATAGTTTTAGTGGTTTCTAGCTGTGGGTGGTGGTACAATAGTTTTAGTGGTGTCTAGCTGTGGGTGGTACAATAGTTTTAGTGGTGTCTAGCTGTGGTACAATAGTTTTAGTGGTGTCTAGCTGTGGGTGGTACAATAGTTTTAGTGGTGTCTAGCTGTGGGTGGTACAATAGTTTTAGTGGTGTCTAGCTGTGGTGGTGGTACAATAGTTTTAGTGGTGTCTAGCTGTGGGTGGTACAATAGTTTTAGTGGTGTCTTGCTGTGGGTGGTACAATAGTTTTAGTGGTGTCTAGCTGTGGGTGGTACAATAGTTTTAGTGGTGTCTAGCTGTGGGTGGTACAATAGTTTTAGTGGTGTCTTGCTGTGGGTGGTGGTACAATAGTTTTAGTGGTGTCTAGCTGTGGATGGTACAATAGTTTTAGTGGTGTCTAGCTGTGGTACAATAGTTTTAGTGGTGTCTTGCTGTGGGTGGTGGTACAATAGTTTTAGTGGTGTCTAGCTGTGGGTGGTGGTACAATAGTTTTAGTGGTGTCTAGCTGTGGGTGGTACAATAGTTTTAGTGGTGTCTAGCTGTGGTACAATAGTTTTAGTGGTGTCTAGCTGTGGTACAATAGTTTTAGTGGTGTCTAGCTGTGGGTGGTGGTACAATAGTTTTAGTGGTGTCTAGCTGTGGTACAATAGTTTTAGTGGTGTCTTGCTGTGGATGGTACAATAGTTTTAGTGGTGTCTAGCTGTGGGTGGTGGTACAATAGTTTTAGTGGTGTCTAGCTGTGGGTGGTACAATAGTTTTAGTGGTGTCTAGCTGTGGGTGGTGGTACAATAGTTTTAGTGGTGTCTAGCTGTGGGTGGTGGTACAATAGATTTAGTGGTGTCTAGCTGTGGGTGGTACAATAGCTTTAGTGGTGTCTAGCTGTGGGTGGTACAATAGTTTTAGTGGTGTCTAGCTGTGGTACAATAGTTTTAGTGGTGTCTAGCTGTGGGTGGTGGTACAATAGTTTTAGTGGTCTCTAGCTGTGGATGGTGGTACAATAGTTTTAGTGGTGTCTTGCTGTGGGTGGTACAATAGTTTTAGTGGTGTCTAGCTGTGGTACAATAGTTTTAGTGGTGTCTAGCTGTGGGTGGTGGTACAATAGTTTTAGTGGTCTCTAGCTGTGGATGGTGGTACAATAGTTTTAGTGGTGTCTAGCTGTGGGTGGTAATATAGTTTTAGTGGTGTCTTGCTGTGGGTGGTACAATAGTTTTAGTGGTGTCTAGCTGTGGGTGGTACAATAGTTTTAGTGGTGTCTAGCTGTGGGTGGTACAATAGTTTTAGTGGTGTCTAGCTGTGGGTGGTACAATAGTTTTAGTGGTGTCTAGCTGTGGGTGGTACAATAGTTTTAGTGGTGTCTAGCTGTGGGTGGTACAATAGTTTTAGTGGTGTCTAGCTGTGGGTGGTACAATAGTTTTAGTGGTGTCTAGCTGTGGGTGGTACAATAGTTTTAGTGGTGTCTAGCTGTGGGTGGTACAATAGTTTTAGTGGTGTCTAGCTGTGGGTGGTACAATAGTTTTAGTGGTGTCTAGCTGTGGGTGGTACAATAGTTTTAGTGGTGTCTAGCTGTGGGTGGTACAATAGTTTTAGTGGTGTCTTGCTGTGGGTGGTAGTTTTAGTGGTGTCTAGCTGTGGGTGGTACAATAGTTTTAGTGGTGTCTTGCTGTGGGTGGTGGTACAATACTTTTAGTGGTGTCTAGCTGTGGGTGGTACAATAGTTTTAGTGGTGTCTAGCTGTGGTACAATAGTTTTAGTGGTGTCTAGCTGTGGTACAATAGTTTTAGTGGTGTCTAGCTGTGGGTGGTGGTACAATAGTTTTAGTGGTGTCTAGCTGTGGGTGGTACAATAGTTTTAGTGGTGTCTAGCTGTGGTACAATAGTTTTAGTGGTGTCTAGCTGTGGGTGGTACAATAGTTTTAGTGGTGTCTAGCTGTGGTACAATAGTTTTAGTGGTGTCTAGCTGTGGGTGGTGGTACAATAGTTTTAGTGGTGTCTAGCTGTGGGTGGTACAATAGTTTTAGTGGTGTCTAGCTGTGGGTGGTGGTACAATAGTTTTAGTGGTGTCTAGCTGTGGGTGGTACAATAGTTTTAGTGGTGTCTAGCTGTGGGTGGTACAATAGTTTTAGTGGTGTCTTGCTGTGGGTGGTACAATAGTTTTAGTGGTGTCTAGCTGTGGATGGTACAATAGTTTTAGTGGTGTCTAGCTGTGGGTGGTACAATAGTTTTAGTGGTGTCTAGCTGTGGTACAATAGTTTTAGTGGTGTCTAGCTGTGGGTGGTGGTACAATAGTTTTAGTGGTGTCTAGCTGTGGATGGTACAATAGTTTTAGTGGTGTCTAGCTGTGGTACAATAGTTTTAGTGGTGTCTAGCTGTGGGTGGTACAATAGTTTTAGTTGTGTCTAGCTGTGGGTGGTACAATAGTTTTAGTGGTGTCTAGCTGTGGTACAATAGTTTTAGTGGTGTCTAGCTATGGGTGGTACAATAGTTTTAGTGGTGTCTAGCTGTGGGTGGTGGTACAATAGTTTTAGTGGTGTCTAGCTGTGAGTTGTAGTTTTAGTGGTGTCTAGCTGTGGTACAATAGTTTTAGTGGTGTCTAGCTGTGGGTGGTGGTACAATAGTTTTAGTGGTGTCTAGCTGTGGATGGTACAATAGTTTTAGTGGTGTCTAGCTGTGGTACAATAGTTTTAGTGGTTTCTAGCTGTGGGTGGTACAATAGTTTTAGTGGTGTCTAGCTGTGGGTGGTACAATAGTTTTAGTGGTGTCTAGCTGTGGGTGGTATAATAGTTTTAGTGGTGTCTAGCTGTGGTACAATAGTTTTAGTGGTGTCTAGCTGTGGGTGGTACAATAGTTTTAGTGGTGTCTAGCTGTGGGTGGTACAATAGTTTTAGTGGTGTCTTGCTGTGGGTGGTGGTACAATAGTTTTAGTGGTGTCTAGCTGTGGGTGGTACAATAGTTTAAGTGGTGTCTAGCTGTGGGTGGTACAATAGTTTTAGTGGTGTCTAGCTGTGGTACAATAGTTTTAGTGGTGTCTAGCTGTGGGTGGTACAATAGTTTTAGTGGTGTCTAGCTGTGGGTGGTACAATAGTTTTAGTGGTGTCTAGCTGTGGTACAATAGTTTTAGTGGTGTCTAGCTGTGGGTGGTAGTTTTAGTGGTGTCTAGCTGTGGGTGGTACAATAGTTTTAGTGGTGTCTAGCTGTGGGTGGTGGTACAATAGTTTTAGTGGTGTCTAGCTGTGGGTGGTACAATAGTTTTAGTGGTGTCTAGCTGTGGGTGGTGGTACAATAGTTTTAGTGGTGTCTAGCTGTGGGTGGTGGTACAATAGTTTTAGTGGTGTCTAGCTGTGGGTGGTACAATAGTTTTAGTGGTGTCTAGCTGTGGGTGGTGGTACAATAGTTTAAGTGGTGTCTAGCTGTGGGTGGTACAATAGTTTTAGTGGTGTCTAGCTGTGGGTGGTACAATAGTTTTAGTGGTGTCTAGCTGTGGGTGGTACAATAGTTTTAGTGGTGTCTAGCTGTAGGTGGTGGTACAATAGTTTTAGTGGTGTCTAGCTGTGGGTGGTACAATAGTTTTAGTGGTGTCTAGCTGTGGGTGGTACAATAGTTTTAGTGGTGTCTAGCTGTGGGGGTAGTTTAAGTGGTGTCTAGCTGTGGGTGGTGGTACAATAGTTTTAGTGGTGTCTTGCTGTGGGTGGTACAATAGTTTTAGTGGTGTCTAGCTGTGAGTGGTACAATAGTTTTAGTGGTGTCTAACTGTGGTACAATAGTGTTAGTGGTGTCTAGCTGTGGGTGGTGGTACAATAGTTTTAGTGGTGTCTAGCTGTGGGTGGTACAATAGTTTTAGTGGTGTCTAGCTGTGGGTGGTACAATAGTTTTAGTGGTGTCTAGCTGTGGGTGGTACAATAGTTTTAGTGGTGTCTAGCTGTGGGTGGTACAATAGTTTTAGTGGTGTCTTGCTGTGGGTGGTACAATAGTTTTAGTGGTGTCTGGCTGTGGGTGGTACAATAGTTTTAGTGGTGTCTTGCTGTGGGTGGTGGTACAATAGTTTTAGTGGTGTCTAGCTGTGGGTGGTAATATAGTTTTAGTGGTGTCTAGCTGTGGGTGGTACAATAGTTCTAGTGGTGTCTAGCTGTGGGTGGTGGTACAATAGTTTTAGTGGTGTCTAGCTGTGGGTGGTACAATAGTTTTAGTGGTGTCTAGCTGTGGTACAATAGTTTTAGTGGTGTCTAGCTGTGGGTGGTGGTACAATAGTTTTAGTGGTGTCTAGCTGTGGGTGGTGGTACAATAGTTTTAGTGGTGTCTAGCTGTGGGTGGTGGTACAATAGTTTTAGTGGTGTCTAGCTGTGGGTGGTACAATAGTTTTAGTGGTGTCTAGCTGTGGGTGGTACAATAGTTTTAGTGGTGTCTAGCTGTGGGTGGTACAATAGTTTTAGTGGTGTCTAGCTGTGGGTGGTACAATAGTTTTAGTGGTGTCTAGCTGTGGGTGGTACAATAGTTTTAGTGGTGTCTAGCTGTGGGTGGTACAATAGTTTTAGTGGTGTCTTGCTGTGGGTGGTGGTACAATAGTTTTAGTGGTGTCTAGCTGTGGGTGGTAATATAGTTTTAGTGGTGTCTAGCTGTGAGTGGTACAATAGTTTTAGTGGTGTCTAGCTGTGGGTGGTGGTACAATAGTTTTAGTGGTGTCTAGCTGTGGGTGGTAAAATAGTTTTAGTGGTGTCTAGCTGTGGGTGGTACAATAATTTAGTGGTGTCTAGCTGTGGTACAATAGTTTTAGTGGTGTCTAGCTGTGGTACAATAGTTTTAGTGGTGTCTAGCTGTGGGTGGTACAATAGTTTTAGTGGTGTCTAGCTGTGGGTGGTACAATAGTTATAGTGGTGTCTAGCTGTGGGTGGTACAATAGTTTTAGTGGTGTCTAGCTGTGGGTGGTACAATAGTTTTAGTGGTGTCTAGCTGTGGGTGGTACAATAGTTTTAGTGGTGTCTAGCTGTGGGTGGTGGTACAATAGTTTTAGTGGTGTCTAGCTGTGGTACAATAGTTTTAGTGGTGTCTAGCTGTGGATGGTACAATAGTTTTAGTGGTGTCTAGCTGTGGATGGTACAATAGTTTTAGTGGTGTCTAGCTGTGGGTGGTGGTACAATAGTTTTAGTGGTCTCTAGCTGTGGGTGGTACAATAGTTTTAGTGGTGTCTAGCTGTGGGTGGTATAATAATTTTAGAATACTTATTTTTAAAAATAATAAATGTAATAAGAAGGATCAGAAAGACATTCATTCAAAGATTTTGTCAGAACAAAGAGAACAGGAAAAGTCCAAAATAAATGGTCAAATAATGTATGTAAACACAAAACTGTGATAAGACAATTATGTATTCAACAAACCTACTCAACAAACCTACTCAACAAACCTGCTTTAAGAAAGTTATCCTAAAGCCAGCAGCTTGTCCAATTCTATTGTTTCCCTTGTTCATGTAGTTTCCCATGGCTAAAATAATCTGCAGATAGAGTGGTTAAATCAGTTGTCAACTGGAACAAAATATCTGTTGTATAGCTAGAATAATCTGCAGATAGAGCGGTTAAATCATTTGTCATCTGGATCAGTTGCATGAGATAATTGAATAGAGTTTGGATTTATTGTTGATGCTATCTTGGATAAATTGACCAATTTAAAAAAACAAATATTTACTTTACCTCAAGAAGGCGAGCAAGCTTTTTGCTGTTTTTCAGTTCAGATGAAGCTTTTAGTATATCTTGTAGGTGCTATGTAATTTTTTTTTTCAAAAATCCAAAGACAAAAAATAAATGAAATGTTTGATAAAAGTATATACATTTGCAGTCAAAAATTATAATGTAGCCTACAATGTTCTTTAAATGAAATTTATTATATTTTAAATCTCAACCCACCTCTTGTAGTTCCTGACATTTTTCTTTAAAATTAGCTTTAAATAACAAAGATTTTAGTCTCTCTTCATAGTTGCCAACCAAGCTCATCTGATTACAAACATTTGTTGATATTATATTTTTAACTGTTGTAAAGTCATAAAGAGAAGTTACACTGAGAGATTTAACAAAAACAAAAGGTTTATAAAGTGCATTGCCTCTGAAGAGCAATTTAACTAAAAAGTATGACTAAGTGTCACTTTTATTTTTCATACAGGATGTTATGGTACAAACCCACCTGGTATGCAAACTGATCTGGTTTAGTAAGACGAGATAAATCTCCACTAAACTGCTTGTACTGGCCAATCTAGGATAAACAGCATATAAACAAAAGGAATGTAAATAAATAAGCAGTTCTGAAAAAATAATAATCAAAGTTAAAAAATAATTTAACTAAACAAGGTGAAGGCCTAATTAATTTGATGATTGATTTGAGTTTAAAATGGCCATGATTATCTGTGATGATTACTTTCTGACATGGCTTATGGAGGTAGAGCTTACTCACTTCATATTCATTGGGAGCAAAGGCCAAAAGTTGTCTCAAGAGTTCAGGGGTCAGAACATTCTCATCTATCCTGTACAACGCCTTCTTGATGTCTGCAACAGACATCTTAAGGTGGCCCAGGAGAATAGCTTTGATAGAAAATATGGCAAGTTACCAAACAATATAGCAAGTTGAAATGTTGAAATTTGTAATTATTTAGCTTTAATTTAGGTTAATCATTTTTTATCTTGAGCATTGGCGATATATTATAATTTGATGGTTCTAACTAAGATACAAGGTACATTTCTGCTGAGATGCAAGGCATATTTTGAGAAACAATGCATAATGTGCTCAATGTTTGACTGGAACTCTTCATTGAATCCCATATAAAGGAAGATTACCAGATAGTGTGCTGTAATGAAACCTAAACAAAGCTATTTAGTTAAACAGCTGGTATTTAGTTTAAGTTAAACTGCTGGTATTTAGTTTAAGTTAAACTGCTGGTATTTAGTTTAAGTTAAACAGTGGTATTTAGTATTGGTTAAACTGCTGGTATTTAATTTAAGTTAAACTGCTGGTATTTAGTTTAAGTTCGTTTATGTTAACTGCTGAACTAATCCATCCCTAGAGGGTACCTATTAGTTGTCAGCCCTAGAAAACCTTATGATTTGACCATAAACAGGTTAAAGAACTGTCATGTGGAAAGGCTGAGACCTTAGGCCTTAGACAGATATTTTTAAATATTATATATACATTTGAATCCATCATACTAAATCTTCTGTAAAAAAGAAGAAAATACAATACTTTTTCTCCTTTTCTGACAAAAATATAAACATTAACTTACAAATGTTATAAGCTTTCTTTTGGTCCATAATCAAAATTTCTTTCCTCTTTTCAATATCTCCTAAAAGTTGAATTATTAGAAAGAATAATTTTAACAATATCATATTTTTTATTTTTTTCAAATATGTATTTATTATTAAATATTTGCTAACTTTGTTGTGAAAGTTTTATACTGAACTTTTTACTTACGTTGTTGTGAAGGTTTTATACTAAACTGAGTCTCCAGTTCCAAATAGCGAATAACTTCGCTCAGGTCATTCTCATTCAACTGTAACAGACATGTTAAATTTTCTTTACTGACATAATAATATTTGTCTTACTAATTTATAAAAAGTCTTAATTCATAAAAATACTGAGAATTTGTGTTATATATAGAGTGATATAGACCTGCCTATAACATATTAGAAAGACAAAAATGTGAAAAATAAATACTAAACTATTTTAAAAATACAAAGGTCAGTTTAAAATAAATAAAAAAATAATGAAATTAAGAGAATAAAATCATCTTTGCTCTCTTACCAAGGAATAATTTTAAACTAATTTATTTTTTTGGCACAAATCTCAGCAAAATGTTGTGACTTTCGGAACACACAAGTGAAAAGTGATCTAATGACAAGCCTGTGACTTAGATAGGTGTTCATTGTAACCTTCTCCCATATAGTATTGTGTACACTTTTGTTGTCCAGCTTCTCCCAGTTGATTCTCTTTACACTCATTCGGTTGGTGTTTTCTGTAGAGGAAATCAAGCAGAGTTCATTCCCTTCTTGATTGCCTTTTACAACACTACTTCTTTTCCTAAATAAAATAATTATCAGAACATACACCAACCTTCAAAAAAATTTGGCTTTAAGGGTGGCGGTGGTGGTGGGGGAGGGAGTTTTTCAACCAGGGGCTCTGTTGCTTGATTAGCTCCCTCTCTCTTTAACTTTTGGTCATTCTGATTTTTTTCCGTATTTTTCCAACTTTGGTTTCCAATTCTAACAGTTTTGAGGCCAAATGTAACTCTGTTTGGTGAAGATTGAGATGGAGGTGTGTCAGGTCCTGCTGATGGAGAGGTGTTTGTCGTTGTTAGACCAGCTGGCATCTGGGTAGGTGCAGTTTGTGACCCTAAGGGTGGGGTGGTGTCTGATGTTCTGGGAGGTGGGGTGGTGTCTGATGTTCTGGGAGGTGGGGTGGTGTCTGATGTTCTGGGAGGTGGGGTGAGTTTTTGATGTGTCTGAATTGGAAAAGTTTTTTGTGTCTGGGATGTTGGAACCCAGGAATTCCAGGATTGGGAGACCTGGGGTGGTGGCACCTGAGATGATTGGCTGATTGTTGATTCAACACTGTAAGTGGAGGCAATGTTTAATTAAACATTGATACAATCTTGTATTCATCATATTAAAATATAATAGCATTCAAAGTTTATATTAAAATGAGAATTTAATTAGATGGATAGCAAACTTTTAAAATAATATATTCTTATCAACAACTAAACACAATAGGTAGACTACTATTACTAATAAATTTCAGAAGCATATTAATCTCTTTTAATTTTTTTAAGTTGAAAAAGTATAACTCATCATTTTGATTTCAATATTTATACCCGTTAAAAATAATTAAATATTTGTGTTCCAAAAATATCCCAAAGCAAATAAATTTAGTTTAAAAAGAACAGTAAATGAAAATAGCTTACTCCTCCTCTTCACTAGATTCATCATATGAGTTGTTTATTCTGCTGTCCTGCAGAACCACATCTTTTACATAATTGGGAGCTTGCTCAACTGGATCCTTGGGAAAAAATTTAAGATGCTTTTTTTCTGAAGTGTCTTCATCTTGACCAACTGGAATGATTGTGACGTAACTCTTGACATCGTTAGATTCTGTTAGTCTGACATAGCCAGCTTGGTCGACACTTTCCCCTGAAACAAAGTTTATGGACCACATAGGTAAATTCAGGGATATCACATGGAACAATGCTGGGATATCTCATGAGTCAATTCTCGGATGTCAGATGGATCAAATCTGGGATCTTCTATATTATCATATTAGACTTGCCATGTTGTTTTTGCTATTGTCACAGTCTGTACTGGAAAATTATAAAAAATATTCTGTGAACTCAGCCTATGTGTTGGACAAATTTTGAAGGCATGTCTCAGAAATAAAAACAAAAAAATTATTTTTAATTCATTACACTACTAAATAGAAAATTTTAATGATATCACTTTCCATTGTAAACGGTTTTAGCCAGAACACAACTGAAAATGTGTACTAGAATTTCATGTATGTATAGATAACACATACTGTTAACAACTCAAATTTTAAAGAACAGTTATTTGCCACACTATACCTAAAGTGAGGAAATGCAGTTGTTAAAAATGCTGGATTAAATTTGTGTTTTATATTGAAAACCTTAAAAAAGTAAATTTGTTGCTTTTACTTTTTTTTTTAACCATCAATGCATCTCGAATCTCTTGAACTGCCTTTTTTGTTTCTCCCAGTTCTTTCATCAGGTGATCCTCATAACTTTTGCTTTCACCAGATGACTCCCCATTGTCCCAGCTCTCTGAACTTTTGGAACTCCTTGCTTGTTCATCATGAGAAAAACCCTTAAGAGTTTATAAAATGTAATCCAGTGTTGTACAATTTCAGTTAAACTTGAGCATTTAACAATTTTAAAAAGCTGTGAATAGAAGACTTGGATATAAATTATAGGCTACATACATGATAATTCTTTGTATTGTAGATTTTACCATGGCCTAAATAAGAAGAAAAACACCATATGAATACAAAATCAAATAGAACTTAAATGCAGATTATTATTTATGTTGAAAATGTTGCACTATTAATTTAAAGACCTCAACATAATAATAATGAACTACTTATCAAATCACACATTCCCCTGAAAATGATTGAAGTAACAAACCATAAAGAATGTCTTCCTCTGTATTAGTTGCAGTATCCACCTGGATGCTGTCCCCATCCTTTGACTCATCAGATGAACTGATATAAAACTTTCCACTTGTCTTTATTTCATCTGAAATTTCCTCTGTGAAATCTATATCTAGTCAAAAGGTAAAACTAAATTTAAAAAATACTGTAGGCCTAATTGTAAATGTTTTTAGCATTAATACAGAGATACAGTTGCCATTAGATTAACCAATAGGTAACACTTCATTTAAAAAAAAATCCTTTAAAAATCTTTTTACTATTGGCAGGGATGGTGTATTCAATTGTCCACAATAACAGTTATATCACTCGATAAATCAATAGGTAGTACTTAATGCACCAGCAGAGAATCTTAAGCAGTGTTAACAAAAACTGACAGATGTAGCTCAATAGTCCTTGAACAAGAAACAGGTTGTTATGTGTCCACAAAAGTAAAGTAACAAAATAATTATTTTTAAACTATCAATATTGTCATCTTTGCCACACAATATCAATAATATAAAGAAGCAAAGTAAAGTTGCACAAAAATTGTGTAATACAAAAGACTTTTTAAGAATCTAAAATTGTACTGTTCCTTCTTAAATATTTACTTAGATTATCTTAATGTAAAGGTTTTAATATTTTGGGATTTTTAGTAATTTTAGTTAAATTAAAAATCATAATTTTTTTTTTCAATTAGTTTTTTACAATTTTATTAGAATGACTAAAGGGAAACTACCCAAAAAGAACAATAGAAAATAAAAAATGCTAACCTTGTTTGCTGCCAGGTATATTAATTTGTTCAATTATTGCTGTCTTGTCATTTTGAGAAACAGCTGACAACACAGCTTTCCATAGAATCCTTTTGGATGGTGTATCCATAAAACTATTCATAGTTCTAATCAGATACTGAACATCACTAAAAAAATGATCAAACATTTACATATACATTTTGTTCATGAAATTTTATCAAGTATAAAAATCTCTTGCTTAAAATAATTTTTTAATAAAGTGTAGGAAAATCTTAATGGCAGAATTTTATCAAGTATAGGGAACATGAATGTAACAGGTAGATAACCTCACTTACTGATTTTGAAAATATTCCTTTAGGCACTTTCTAAATAGATCTCGCTCAGCAGACGTCAGTAGAAAATCTACTTGCTGTTGAAAGGATGATGGGAAATCTGGGATTTTTTCTTCCAGTTGCTGAGCCACCTCCCCTAATGAAGACATTTTATCTCAGGGTAATATTTTATTTTATCTCAGGGAAATATTTAAAAAACCATAGTATTGATTGTATTAGAAGCCATTCATTGAATGGTGGAAAGCTTTTGTTGTAGTTTTTATTTTTATTTTTGTAAAATATGAAATCATGAAAACTTCAACATAACAATTAAAATCTCAACAAAAATGTAGAGAGAAGAACTGAAAAAGTTAGATAAATAATCGTTAGTCCATAAAATGTAGAATGATTTTGTACCCATTCGAAAAGGCTGGAGAGAAACTCTATGGGAAACATAGTCTCTGTGACTGGGAGGTAACTGCAGGAACAAAAAGTGCCAGAGAATCTTTTTGGATGGGGTGTCCAGCAGGTTTGACAAAGTCTCATGAAGCTCCACAACTTCCCTTAAACCAACAGAAAATACAAAAAGTTTTATAAATCTCCATTCAACTACAACTGTAGTTCCATTAAAATACTAGATAGTATTTCTAGTTAAACAGAATTTTAAAAAAAATATCAGGTGACATTGAGAATTATTTTAGTAAATATTATAAATGGCTGAAATTATATTGTAGAAACTTTGAAAAATATTTAATCAACAAATTATTCTAGTTAATAGGCCTATATCATGTACAGTATAAGATGTAGCTATGTTTGGTACCTATTAATATTGTAGTTTTTTAATGCTCTTATCAAAACTTTTCTTTCTTTTGTTGTCAGCAGAAAATAGATCTGAAATAAAGCACATATGGTTCAACATCACATTTTCTAATACAGCAAAAAAATCTAGCAAAAAAAGTTTATGTTTGGAATGTAAAGACTATAAACATCGCTTATATTCTTATGAAGCAAGAAAATTGTCTAAACAATAAAAACACACAGGGTATAGAATCTATGTACAAGAAAATAAAATAGCCTGGACTTTTGGATGATGCAGTATTAACCTGCTGGGAGAAACTTTGTCCTTCATCATCTGTGACCAGAGGGTTAAACAGGACACTGTCCAGCGAGTCATGACTAGACGAGGAAGATGATGAGGACAGAGATCTCATGCTACCATCTGAAAGAAAAACAAATGCTTTTTTTTCAGTCAATGCAAATAACAAATATATCTGGAATGAAACAATCAAATATACGGATATCAAAACAAGCAAAACAAACAATAACAAAAAGTACCAGAATGACAATTTTTAAAACAGTAGAAATATTCAATGTGCACAATGAAAAAAACCAAACAAATAATTAACTTAAGAAATTCAAAACCTAAATATAATAAATATTGAAATCCTACAACAAACACTTATATAAACACAGATTTCAAGCTGAATAGAAAAAATTAAACTAACCCTATTATTTTTTGTATCCTTTTCAAATATTTTTACTATATATTTTTACAAATTCAAAATTGTGTCTGTGGCCTTATCTAACATTTGTATGGCCTTAACTAAACTTACACTTTGAACATCGAAGAATCTCCAGCGTAGGAGCTGACCCACTGTCACGCAACAACTGAACTATTTTATCGTGGTCAAATTTCCTGTTAATTAAGATTTTCTTTTTACATTGTAATTTTTAAACTTCAAACAAACATTCAGTCGACTATCTTAAGTATAAATACTCCAGAGAAGTTTTTTTTTTTCAACTAAAAATGTTGTGACCTGATGTCTATGTTATTCAGTTTGAGAAGAATGTCTCCATTTTTCAGTCCAGCTTGTTCTGCTGCTCCGCCAGTGTCAATGGACTCAATGTATGCAGGGTTGCTGGACTTGATTACGAATCCAAAACTTTCATCTTCTCGAACAATCTGAATAGTTCTGTACAGCACAAAGTTTGAAAAAGATCTATATACTAAATATGATAATCACAAGTAAATATATATAAATCTTAAGTTACCCATGAAACTATAAAATGTATATTTCCTGGGAAATTAAATTAACTATATGTTAACCACATTTGTTTTATAGAGTGAGTTGACAGAATGGAAGAGAGTAAGGCCAATGAAGCCATTGATAATCTGTTGATTCCTTCCAGCTAAAACTCTCCCACTTGCACAACAATTAAGAGATTAAGAGATTAATTAAGAGATTAATTAAGAGATTAATTAAGAGATTAATTAAGAGATTACTTTTTTTGCCCCAGTAGTTGCGTGTCAATAGACGGGATGGCCTCGATAGAGAAATGGCTGTCAAACGTCGTTGTTATGTCGTTGGCTGGATACATCAACGCATCAAACTCAGGCCGTTGGTTGGGAGGTATTAAATGCCTGAAAAAGAAATTTGAAAATTGTATTGGCACCAAGTGCCACTTGCAGGTGATGCCCTGTTTGCTCAGTGTCATGCTGGTCTACAAAAACCTGTTCTTAATTCTATTAAAAATAACTGTATTGTTTTGGTTTAAGCTTTATATGCAGACTGGCTAAATATATATATATATATATATATATATATATATATATATATATATATATATATATATATATATATATATATATATATATATATATATATTTATATACACTCATAAAATTCTAAGAGTGTGCGTTTGATCCAACTACAGGCACATTAAGAATAAAAATTTTGTGTATTGGTGACCTGATTTGTTTGAGTATATTTCTCTCTTCACTAGACCGCAGAACATGGTTCAGAAGCTGACAGAGAGTTGAAAGGTCACGATCCTCTGCATAGTGTTTCAGAGCAGCTACTATGGACATTTTACTCTCATAGTCATCTCCCAGTAGATGCTCCATCTGGTGAATGAAAAACTTGGAGCACTTTTACAATGTTTACTGAAATAATATTTGTAATTCTAAAATATTTTATTTTATTCATTTCTTTAATTCTATCAGAAACACAGCAAAAGATAGGGCCTATACATTTGTAAAATATGCAACTATTGGCATAAGACAATATAATTTATATGCACAAAACTAGAATCTAATATTTATTGCAGATCTAGAGAAATTCATACAATAGTGGATTTGTTTAGCTCAATGACAATGATGTTTAGCTCAATGATGTTAAGCTGAATGATGTTAAGCTCAATAATGTTTTGCTCAATGATGTTAAGCTCAAATATATTTAGCTCAATGTTTAGCTCAGTGATGCATGGCTTACCTTATTGTGTAAATCTTTAGCCTGGTAGAGTCTAATGTCTGGCTCATTGAGGTGAGAAATATTTTTATCCACGTGCACCAGATTGCTCATTTGAGACACAGGAATAACTAGGAGAGTCAGCTTTTCTGGACGTAGGGCTAGAAACGTTTGGATGGTCTCCATGGAAACAGGTGACCGGCTATTCACCTCCAGTATGATGTCCCCTGTTGATTGACAGGTAAATACAGGGGGGGTCATCCATAAATGACGTCACGCTTTTTTTGACGATTTTTACATCCCCCCCCTCACCTTCGTCACACGTCGTCACAAAAAGCCAGACCCCCCCCCCCCAAAATGACGTCACACCTAAACCTACAATCCCCCCCCCCCCTCAAAATTGCAGTTGAATTATTTTTAAAACATCGATATTTTTCTAAAATCTTGTCTAAACTATTAAAATTTATTAAAACAGTTATCTAAAACGCGAAATAACGTCTAAAATTCGTTTTCTGACATTGCTTTTTTATAATGCAAAAGTGTGACCTCGCAACATCTGAACCCCCCCCCCCTCCCCCTCATCACACATCGTCACAAAATTACGGACCCCCCCCCTCCCCCCTACGAGTGTGACGTCATTTATGGATGATCCCTGGGGTTAAACAGCTTTTAAACAAAAGATAATACCAAAATTATTTTGTAACACGTAGATGATGTTTTATCCACAGGAGTAGTGTCGTCTTCAGATGAACCACAGGAGTAGGCTCATCTCATTTACACTACTACAATGGTGCCATATACAAATACTATCTAGATCTAATAATTAGCTTAATATATATATACTTCATAAGACCAACTAAAAATATACAAAGATTGCAAGCTATTCAATACATAATCGTACATCTGTTGTAGGCTACATCATTCATAAGTCCAGTTATACACACCTGTCCTTAGCCCAGCTATACACACCTGTCCTAAGCTATACACACCTGCTCTTAGCCCAGCTATACACACCTGTCCTAAGCTATACACTCCTGTCCTTAGCCCAGCTATGCACACCTGTCCTAAGCTATACACACCTGTCCTTAGCCCAGCTATACACACCTGTCCTAAGCTATACACTCCTGTCCTTAGCCCAGCTATGCACACCTGTCCTAAGCTATACACACCTGCCCTTAGCCCAGCTATACACACCTGTCCTAAGCTATACACTCCTGTCCTTAGCCCAGCTATGCACACCTGTCCTAAGCTATACACACCTGTCCTTAGCCCAGCTATACACACCTGTCCTTAGCCCAGCTATACACACCTGTCCTTAGCCCAGCTATACACACCTGTCCTTAGCCCAGCTATACACACCTGTCATTAGCCCAGCTATACACACCTGTCCTTAGCCCAGCTATACACACCTGTCCTTAGCCCAGCTATACACACCTGTCATTAGCCCAGCTATACACACCTGTCCTTAGCCCAGCTATACACACCTGTCCTTAGCTATACACACCTGTCCTTAGCCCAGCTATACACACCTGTCCTTAGCCCAGCTATACACACCTGTCCTTAGCCCAGCTATACACACCTGTCCTTAGCTATACACACCTGTCCTAAGCTATACACACCTGTCCTTAGCCCAGCTATACACACCTGTCATTAGCCCAGCTATACACACCTGTCCTTAGCCCAGCTATACACACCTGTCCTTAGCTATACACACCTGTCCTTAGCCCAGCTATACACACCTGTCCTTAGCCCAGCTATACACACCTGTCCTTAGCCCAGCTATACACACCTGTCCTTAGCTATACACACCTGTCCTAAGCTATACACACCTGTCCTTAGCCCAGCTATACACACCTGTCCTTAGCTATACACACCTGTCCTTAGCCCAGCTATACACACCTGTCCTTAGCCCAGCTATACACACCTGACCTTAGACCAGCTATACACACCTGTCATTAGCCCAGCTATACACACCTGTCCTTAGCCCAGCTATACACACCTGTCCTTAGCCCAGCTATACACACCTGTCATTAGCCCAGCTATACACACCTGTCCTTAGCTATACACACCTGTCCTTAGCCCAGCTATACACACCTGTCCTTAGCCCAGCTATACACACCTGTCCTTAGCCCAGCTATACACACCTGTCATTAGCCCAGCTATACACACCTGTCCTTAGCTATACACACCTGTCCTTAGCCCAGCTATACACACCTGTCCTTAGCCCAGCTATACACACCTGTCCTTAGCCCAGCTATACACACCTGTCCTTAGCCCAGCTATACACACCTGTCATTAGCCCAGCTATACACACCTGTCCTTAGCCCAGCTATACACACCTGTCCTTAGCCCAGCTATACACACCTGTCCTTAGCCCAGCTATACACACCTGTCCTTAGCCCAGCTATACACACCTGTCCTTAGCCCAGCTATACACACCTGTCCTAAGCTATACACACCTGTCCTTAGCCCAGCTATACACACCTGTCCTTAGCCCAGCTATACACACCTGTCCTAAGCTATACACACCTATCCTTAGCCCAGCTATACACATCTGTCCTTAGCCCAGCTATACACACCTGCCCTTAGCCCAGCTATACACTCCTGTCCTTAGCCCAGCTATACACACCTGTCCTAAGCTATACACACCTGTCCTTAGCCCAGCTATACACACCTGTCCCTAGACCAGCTATACACACCTGTCCTTAGCCCAGCTATACACACCTGTCCTTAGCCCAGCTATACACACCTGTCCTTAGCTATACACACCTGTCCTTAGCCCAGCTATACACACCTGTCCTTAGCCCAGCTATACACACCTGTCCTTAGCTATACACACCTGTCCTTAGCCCAGCTATACACACCTGTCCTTAGCCCAGCTATACACACCTGTCCTTAGCCCAGCTATACACACCTGTCCTTAGCCCAGCTATACACACCTGTCCTTAGACCAGCTATACACACCTGTCCTTAGCTATACACACCTGTCCTAAGCTATACACACCTGTCCTTAGCCCAGCTATACACACCTGTCCTTAGCCCAGCTATACACACCTGTCCTTAGCTATACACACCTGTCCTTAGCCCAGCTATACACACCTGTCCTTAGCCCAGCTATACACACCTGTCCTTAGCCCAGCTATACACACCTGTCCTTAGCCCAGCTATACACACCTGTCCTTAGCCCAGCTATACACACCTGTCCTTAGCCCAGCTATACACACCTGTCCTTAGCCCAGCTATACACACCTGTCCTTAGCCCAGCTATACACACCTGTCCTTAGCCCAGCTATACACACCTGTCCTTAACCCAGCTATACACACCTGTCCTTAGCCCAGCTATACACACCTGTCCTTAGCCCAGCTATACACACCTGTCCTTAGCCCAGCTATACACACCTGTCCTTAGCCCAGCTATACACACCTGTCCTTAGCTATACACACCTGTCCTTAGCCCAGCTATACACACCTGTCCTAAGCTATACACACCTGTCCTTAGCCCAGCTATACACACCTGCCCTTAGCCCAGCTATACACACCTGTCCTTAGCTATACACACCTGTCCTTAGCCCAGCTATACACACCTGTCCTAAGCTATACACACCTGTCCTTAGCCCAGCTATACACACCTGTCCTTAGCCCAGCTATACACACCTGTCCTTAGCCCAGCTAAAAACGCAGGACTCCCAAACTCCACTGACTGTACGACGACCGGCCTGTCCCTGCCTACAGTGAACCCATAGCCCTTGTTGTGATCAGGGGAGACGATCGTGGTCTGTAAACACGAGACGACCTCTAGCTCCGGCGGCTGGCCAGAGATGGACTTGCTCAGCAGCTTGATCTCGTCTGCCGACATCTGGGTGACATCCTGACCCCCCACCTCTAGGATTTGATCCCCGGGCATGAGGCCAGATTTGTAGGCTAGACTACCCCTCTCCACCGAGACCACGTAGCTCGGGCCCTTTCCATAGATGTCGAAGCCGTAGGTCTGTGGCCATTTTTTAAACAAGTTTAGCGGCATCTTCACTTTACTGATGATGGATTTGCTCAATCTTAGCTTTAAATGTGCCAGTAAGGTCATTAACGAGCTCATTAATTAATCTGAAAAATGATTCACTTTCAGCTGGCATCTAAATAATTATCTGAGAATGTAAAGGAAAGAAAAATTTCAACAAAATTGTATCCCCCCCCCCCCCACCCCACCAATATACGTTTCTAACTGAAAATACTGATATGAATATGATTAAACAATGCGAAACCAATTTTCATTATTTTATAGGCTACATTTGAGTTAAAGCACTAACAGTGTCTGTTAGCAACACTTTTTAAAAGTAAATAAATTAAACGCAATATTAGAAAGAAGCAGAGGCGTAGCAGAGGCGTAGCTAGGGGAGGGCGGGGAGGGCGGCCGCCCCGGGCGCCGACCCTAGGGGGGCGCCAAAAGGGGTAGAAAAAAAAATTAAAAGCTCATTTTAAGCTGCAGTTTTTAATAATAAGCAGTCAAAGTAAAGAAATTTAATGGCTGAGAGCCTTTGCATACTGATTTAACTGTTTTTCACATTGATTGTGTAACTGTAAAACATATCCTTAAGAAACAGTGACCGGAAAAACCGCTTTCCAGCTTTCCTAGATAGGGGTTGGGGCGTTTTTTCGAAGACTAAAATCGGAAAAATTCACTCAGGATTAGGGAATAAATAACCGATATTACTCAGAAAAGAAACACATTGAACTAAAGCGTATTTTACGATTATGTTACATAAAAAAAAAGTTGACAAAATCCGGTCGTGAATTAAATGAGTAGGCTGTGTGTCTTGACCTACGCGGAAGCCCTGAGACTGAATTACCGAACCTCTTTTTCTCTTCCACTTTCCCCATGGACTTCACACAAGCACCTGCATAGTGCTGTTATTTTTTGTCTTCCTAATATTGTGTCCTAACCACCACCTTTTCATTCTCCGCTGTCTTTAACCTAGCTCCGAGCCATACAGTAAAAGATACATCATATTCAGCTATAGATCCTTATTAAAAATTTTTGACAATGCATTTGAATTCAACATCGACTTAGCTATTATCATTAAACCGGTTATTATTGCTGCTTCATCCAGTACAATTAGTTCAGAATTTGTTGTTGGCTGTGTGTGAGAAGGCAGCGCGCATCTGATAAATCCAAGACTTCGAGCTGTTGTGTCCGTTGGATTCCAGTTTGTTTCCTCTTGCTTGTTTCATTATACAATCAACCAGTCAATGAAATACCCAAATCGTATTCCAATGTGAACAATACTTTTTCTATTGTATGTTAATTGTGTGACCTTAATCTAACAAACTTATAATCCAAATATGTACTATATCATAACAGAGACTGTTCCAAAGATAAAACATAATAAACCGGTAGTGATCTCCCCTAAACTTTCTCGAATATTTTTATATAAAATAACAGGGGATGGGAACTCGGGCTATAGACATGATTTTTAATCCATTTTAAATACTTAAAGTTTTAAAAATAGAATAAAATCTCGTAGACAAATTAATTGCACACCAAGTGAACGCGAAATAAAAAAGCGCATAATAGTGCGCAATATTATTAGTACTTTTAAATTTACATTAGTTTTTTGAGAAATCGGAAGTAGCGTAAATTACTACTTCCTGTCAACGGAAATTACTCAAAATTTAACAGAAGGTAGAGAATTAGATCTTTTACTTACATGTGAAATTTCATTTATCTATCTGAAATAGTACTCAAGTTATAGGCTTTTAAAAAATTCAAAGTAGGAAAAGTACCACTTCCGGTTATCGGAAATCGCTCAAAGTTGATACTGATCTACGATTTTGATAAAATACTTATATATGAAATTTCATCAACCTAGCTGTAACGGTACTCAAGTTATCGTGTTTACACACAGACAGACACACACACAGACAGACACACACACACACAGACATACGGACAAGATTGCAAAATTATGTTTTTCCGTATCAGTGAGGTGTAAAACGTCGAGATTTATAAAAATCTCGATTTTTTTTTTGCACGATTACAATACTTTCTCTATACTACGTATATACGAGAAAGTAAAAAGACTGTCCTAAACAAATTAGCTTCGCTACAATTTTTTTTCTGACTTTACTAATCATCATTTGTAAAGGATAAAAATAATGTATCTTAAGGGGAATTTAATTGGCGTCGAGTACAGTTTTAGGGAACGAAAATCATACAGCGTAATTATTAATTTTTTTCCAGACTGCCGCACATACACATATATATGTAGGGCTTATGTGGGGTGGGCGCCAAACTGAAAGTTCGCCCCGGGCGCCGGGAGGGGTAGCTACGCCTCTGAGGCGTAGCGAGGGGGGCGGGTGTGACACCATTTAGGGGGGTGACACCAAGGCAAAAAATTGTAAAATATGTAGGGAAAAATTTGAGGGTGGGGGGTGCAAATCGAAAATTTGTTCCCGGTAAGAGTCGCTACGCCTCTGGGGGGGGGGGGGGGGGAGGGTGACACTATTTGGTGCCGCACCGGGTGACACCCGACTTCTCTACGCCACTGGAAAGAAGACAGAAGGTAATATCAATAATTACAATAATATATTTTTTTAATTGCATCTAGATCTAGAAGTCTACATTGATTTCTAAAAGAAGCATCTGGTATATCAAATAAGATATATATTTATCAACAACAACAATAAACAGTGCTTACAAATCTTTAAATATAGATCTATAAAAAATTGTTTTAAAAAGTATTCTTTTGGCCCGTCGATTCATGGGGCATGTGAAGTAGAGTTCACCTGCTTTGGTGACTTCGGCATATGAAGGGATAGTATGGCCAGCATAAGCCGCCATTACTTTCCCCATCGTGAGTCAGGTAGTTAAGAATGTAAGAGATTATAAGAAGTTAAGATTAAGAACGTCGGGCAAGATCCGAACTCGAGACCTTTGGGCGACTTACAACTCGACCACACCGTCCCACTAAAAGCTATATTAATATCACTTTTAGAATTATGCATTTGAGATTACAAGTATGGTCTATATAAAAACGCACATATATCTATATAACCAAAAATAAATAAATACATATACACACACAGACTACATAATATATACGCTGAATGCGTTTTCTAAATTCCCTAATACACCACTGCAAACTCAGAAATGTAGCACTAAAATTTCCTCCCACTTCGAGAGAAGGGAAGCTCCAGGTTGAATGAAATCTACACCGATACTCTTTGCTCTGAGAGCGAAATCACGATCAATGAACCTGCATTATAGATAGCAGGTCTTAGACCGTAGAAAAAGTCAATACTTTCTGATTAGCTTGCTTTCTTTACGTTATGTTTAGTGCTTTAAAGCTATAGGAAGCACAATTATATATATTAAGGAAGTCACAAGGTTGACACTGATAGGCTGAGTGTGTTGGTTGTCACAAGGTTGGCACTGATGAGCTGGTTGTCACAAGGTTAGCACTGATGAGCTGGTTGTCACAAGGTTGGCACTGATGGGCTGGTTGTCACAAGGTTGGCACTGATGGGCTGAGTGTGTTGGTTGTCACAAGGTTGGCACTGATGATGGGTTGGTTGTCACAAGGTTGGCACTGATGGGCTGAGTGTGTTGGTTGTCACAAGGTTGGCACTGATGATGGGTTGGTTGTCACAAGGTTGGCACTGATGGGTTGAGTGTGTTGGTTGTCACAAGGTTGGCACTGATGGGCTGGCTGTCACAAGGTTGGCACTGATGGGCTGAGTGGGTTGGTTGTCACAAGGTTGGCACTGATGGGTTGGTTGTCACAAGGTTGGCACTGATGGGCTGGTTGGCACAAGGTTGACAATGATGGGCTGGTGGGGTCGGGGAACATGAACGCTTGTAACATTCTAAGCTATTTTCATTTTCCCCATTCTATTTATCTTTTCAAAATTTGATATAGGCCTAATTACTAACTGAGTGCATTTTTAGGCATTTATAGGGCATAGGGTGCAAATACAATTATATTACAATATTTACAATGTGATTGTTATGTGAAGCAAAACCAAATGAATTTCTTTATTTATTTTAAAATTTCTTTACTTCTTGTTTTAACCCTTTCAGGACCAAGTGACACTGGTGTCCCAAATTTTCAAATTATCACCAAATGAAATTGGAATAACATAGAGTTGTTGAATTTGCTTTAAAAAATTTATTACATGATAGACTTAATATAAATAAAGTTGTTTTCAGTATATATGAGATAGTTTTGTTGTCATAATTATGGGAACTTTGCATTTTTAGACCACTCGCAAAGCTACAGTTTACATTTTTATATAAAAAATACTATCTGTAACAGAAAGAAATTACTTGCGGTTTTTCAAAGGTTTACTATTTAGGTATTATATTTACATTTGTTTTTCCTAATAGCTTTGCTTGTTTTTTTTTAAAAGTAATTTTTTTTGCTTGGGACATATATGTCCCTACGGTCCGGAAGGGAGCTAACTTTTTTTACAATGTTACTAAGCATGAGTTTTGGCATTAGAATACAAATACTTGCAAAGCTTTTATTTACTATAACTGAACAAAATGCTGTGCAAATACTGATTATTTACAATAATGACGGTGAAAACAACTTGTTTCTTTATGAAAAAGATGTGAATTTTCTGTAGAAATATGCCGACAAAGTAAGTGTAGAAGCTATAATCGAATGACTTGTTCAAGTCCCAGAGCAGATTGTCACTACTACGATAAGGCCTACACCTTATTCTAGTCATTCTGTTTTGCATACATTGCATACATCGTCAATGCCACATGCTATAGTGACTAATATTCCCTCAAATCTGCATGGTCCGCGCAGTATTTGTGAACATGCCGCGCTGTCATTTCGTAAAATAAATGTTACCTTGTATGAGATTTTTAGAACACCGCGCACAAAAATATACGATGTACACTAGAGTTTTCCCCTCAGACGGAGCGTTAATAGTTACAATTACCCCTCCGACATCCCCCCGCCCGATATTACCACCTCCGAGCAATTACCCCTCGTCCAGTTATGGATAAGTTAGGACTAGGGTTAGGTTAGGGTTAGGGCTTGTTTTAGGGTTAAATGTAGATTTACAGTTGGAGTTAGGGGTTTTGTTAGGGTTAGCTATAGGCTTGGAGTTTGGGGTTAAGATCAGGAGTCTTCAGCATCGGTGGGGGGGGGGGGGGGGGGAGTGGAATTTGACGGGGTGGTAATGTCCTAGACCCGAAGCTGACACATATCATTATCATCAATAGAACTAGACTTGCCCAAAACATGAACAACTTAACGTTTTTGTGATAATTGAAAATGGAGAATGGAGCAAGATATTATTTTCAACTAGAGGCTTCTGAAAACACAGTTTCCAAGAAACGTTATTGACCATAGTTATAGGAAATTGACAATAGATGTTGATTGAAATGAACATTCTAATGATTTTAGGCAATCAAATCCATGTTTCATACATTGATAATTTGTTGCCAAGATAATGATTTGGAGTCAAAAAGCCATTTATACCTATATTGGACAACAATTCAACTCTTGCTACAATGCAAAACCAAGCTTGAATATAGGCAAATGATAGCAAGAGCTCACATTTTGGGATTACATCAAAGAGATATCGCCTCAAGACCTGTTCGTAGAGGCAAGAATTTCACTTCAAGGCCACCAAAGGTTGATAAATCAAAGGAAGAAAAACGCAGGAGTTATGCACAATATGCAACAGAAAAGATTGAGAACAGAGCGGACAATATGTATTATATCTACCATGTTCGTGTATGTTATATAACATCACGTAACTGCTTCCATAAGCTCCATTCAAAGATGACAATACACTCATAAAGGACATAAATGTGTTCTCAATACTGATATTTTCAATTTCTAATGTACTACTAGTACTAGAACAACTAACACACGTTAGATCACATTTAGAATAAACATATTGACATAACTCATAACATAACCTATTTTCGATAATTTTCCTTTGAGGACCGTAGGGACACATATGTCCCATGCTGTATCTCAAAAACAATTTAAGATATCGGAAAACCATTAACATTTTTTAAATCTACGTGTCATTTTACTGCTAAATGTGTGCACAGATATTTGAAATTATGCCTGTAATCCTTGTGGTCCTGAAAGGGTTAAACGATTTATCTGGCTAACCAGGAACAGTGCATATCAAAAGACTTGGGTCATTAAAAAGTCAGATTTGTTGTTTCGTTACTAACTCTAAGGCTAACTAAATTTAATAAATCAATATATTTATTAGGCATAGGCCTATAGCTATAGATTAATATAGAATAGATCTATCTATTCTAGATAGTTTTATATCTAGATTCTACCTCTAGATCTAGCAGTCTAAGTAAAATCAGTGTTATAGTTGGTATTTTTATTATTCTTATATGCTAGTAGACTGTAGACACTGTAGTTGACTGTAGTAGTGTAGTAGTGTAGTTAAGTGTAGTACTGTAGTTCTAGAATTTGGTTAATGGTTAGCCTGAGTAAAATTATTATTATCACTCAAATCACTGTGCTGATGATTCTGATGAACGATGAGAATGAGATTGATTGAGACTATGAGTCAAGTGACTGAGTCACTGACAGTCTGGCACTGAAGACGGAGTCAGATGAGTCCAACTCATAGGAACCCAAACTCACAACTGGTGTAAAGTAAACAAACAAGCTTACTAAACTAATAAAACTAAAACGAGTTCAAGCATCAGACTCAGAGCAGTATTGAGAGTGATTGATAGAAATTAGAATTAGAATAGATGATAGAGATGATTTACTGAGATTCAGAAATCTCAGCTCAGTCAGTGAGTCTGATTAAATTCCATCAGAATTATTAAATTTATTTAGGCTATAGATCTAGGCCTAAATAATAAATAATAAATAAATTACTAAAATTAGTGAACTGAGAATCATTCACTGCAGCTGCACTAACATTCAATGCCCTTAGAATATATTAAGAAGTCACTTCAAATAGTCTATTCCTAAAAACTAAACTTTAATTAAACCTTATTTCAACCAAAATGGGTCATGATTTACCCTGGTCTAGGACTATACCTAACCCTTTCCCCATAGCCAATTCCTAACCAAAAGAATATGCTTATCCTTCACCCTACCCCAAAATATTTTCTATATATTACAAAATATTACAATTAATGTTAATGTTACCATTACTGATGGCTAATTCTCAGGTGGTAGGTAATGTCTGAGTCCAATTTTTTGGCTTGGGGGTAGGTCCTGGGAGGTTGCATAATTGACAGGTTAATTGATGAAGGGTAGTGATGGTGAAATGTCTAGGGGGGGGGGGTGATACATAACAGAAGGGGACTAATGTCATGCTTCTGCTTTAACCACCTCCTACCTCATTGTGTAATGTTAAAGTTAAAGGTAATATTTTGGATAGGATATATATAGTAAAGCCAGACCCATCAAGTTAAAATTACAAAATTTGAATCACCCATCTAATGTAAAAAAAAATATTAACAATTGGTAATTAATGATAATTTTGTTCTAAAATAAATAAAAATGTCACATTTTTAAACCCCTCCCTAGTCACACATCACTAAATTCTCAATTTTACTCTCTCACCTAGGAGTTTGGCATCAGTTATGGCAAGCCCTATTTCAATTAAGAAAACAAATTAAAACAAAATACAATGATTAAAGCCTTACAAATTGTTTTTTAGATAATGCTTGTTGTGATGGATCAGCTGACACAGATCAATTGACACTGTCACATACCATCTAACACTGACACTGTCACATACCATCTGACACTGTCACAGATCAGTTGACACTGACACATACCATCTATCACTGACACTGACACATACCATCTATCACTGACACTGTCACATACCATCGGACACTGTCACAGATCAGCTGACACTGTCACATACCAGCTGAAACAGAACAGCCCATTCTCTATGAAAAATCTTCCAGTGCTAGACCTGTATCAGTTTCCAGCTACAGAAAGATGAAGCATTAAAGCTAAAAGGTCAGTAGAAGTAAGCTTGTGTTTTGACAGAGCTACTACATCATCCTGTTTGAACTTAACATATAATCTCTATTTTTTCCCTCATAGAACAATGGATTTCCTTATATTTCTACTGGGTTATGTTGGTTTGTTTGTGGTCGTGGCAGTATTAGCTATCATCTCAAGCTCTTCTTCCTATCTGTCACAGCTCTCAGAGAAATTCAAATGTTTTTTCTTAAAAGTAAGTGGCTTTTTACAGCATTGTACTTCTATGTAGTAAAATATAAATATATATGATGTTGACTAAGGCAACAGTTTATGTTTACTTACCCAGCGTTTAGCATTTTCATTAGATTTTAAATTTTGTAAAGTTTTTAATTGTATTAATGACACCAACCAAGAAGAAGGTAGCAGTTGATTTAAAACAGATAATTAAACAGTAAATCTATTGTTAATGGCACCAGTTTTATAATCTGTACACAGGTGATCTATGCCGTGGTTCCTGGGTTTATTATTAGGCTTGTATCTTACTCTGTGGACTATGTGTTCAACACAAGGTAAAGTCTTCTGTCTACATGTCTTCTTTTTAAAACACAACTTTTTACTTGTAATTTAATCTGCTGATTGGGCAAACTGAACGGGGGGTGGGGGGGGGGGGGGCATGGATACTACTTGATTCAATGGTCAGACTGCACCAGTGGCTGTCATGTGATCCAGGGCACCCCAAGCTCCTACATGACTAATATATATATATATATATATATATATATATATATATATATATATATATATATATATATATATATATATATATATAAAAACACATGTAAATGAATACACACTGTATAAAGGGAAATTGTAATAAATTTTCTGCTCCCCAGAAATCATGTGATGCAGCTGGTGTTTGGCTTATTGGTACTGGGAGGTAACTTCATCCTGATATTGGATGTTCTCCCTTTACTGTACATTTTTGAGCCTGAGACCAATCACATCCTGCTGCCTCTGGTCCTCCTCTTCACCAATGCTGCAGCCTTCCACTTGAGCTGCACGGCTAACCCAGGCCACATAACACCAAGTAATGCTGCTATATATGCCTCCCTTTACAAGGCTGATGGTACCATGTACACCACTGGAGTGGAGTGCCAGACCTGTAGACTGGTCAAACCAGCCAGATCTAAACATTGTCGTAAGTTTGTCTAGTCAAACCAGCCAGATCTAAACATTGTCGTAAGTTTGTTATGCGACAGGTCTCTAAACATTGTCGTAAGTTTGTTATGCGACAGGTCTCTAAACATTGTCGTAAGTTTGTCTAGTCAAACCAGCCAGATCTAAACATTGTCGTAAGTTTGTTATGCGACAGGTCTCTAAACATTGTCGTAAGTTTGTCTAGTCAAACCAGCCAGGTCTAAATATTGTCGTAAGTTTGTCTTGTCAAACCAGCCAGGTCTAAACATTGTCGTAAGTTTGTCTTGTCAAACCAGCCAGGTCTAAACATTGTCGTAAGTTTGTCTTGTCAAACCAGCCAGGTCTAAACATTGTCATAAGTTTGTCTTGTCAAACCAGCCAGGTCTAAACATTGTCGTAAGTTTGTCTTGTCAAACCAGCCAGGTCTAAACATTGTCGTAAGTTTGTCTTGTCAAACCAGCCAGGTCTAAACATTGTCGTAAGTTTGTCTAGTCAAACCAGCCAGGTCTAAATATTGTCGTAAGTTTGTCTTGTCAAACCAGCCAGGTCTAAACATTGTCGTAAGTTTGTCTTGTCAAACCAGCCAGGTCTAAACATTGTCGTAAGTTTGTCTTGTCAAACCAGCCAGGTCTAAACATTGTCATAAGTTTGTCTAGTCAAACCAGCCAGGTCTAAACATTGTCGTAAGTTTGTCTAGTCAAACCAGCCAGGTCTAAACATTGTCGTAAGTTTGTCTAGTCAAACCAGCCAGGTCTAAACATTGTCGTAAGTTTGTCTAGTCAAACCAGCCAGGTCTAAACATTGTCGTAAGTTTGTCTTGTCAAACCAGCCAGGTCTAAACATTGTCGTAAGTTTGTCTTGTCAAACCAGCCAGGTCTAAACATTGTCATAAGTTTGTCTAGTCAAACCAGCCAGGTCTAAACATTGTCGTAAGTTTGTCTAGTCAAACCAGCCAGGTCTAAACATTGTCGTAAGTTTGTCTAGTCAAACCAGCCAGGTCTAAACATTGTCGTAAGTTTGTCTAGTCAAACCAGCCAGGTCTAAACATTGTCGTAAGTTTGTCATGTGCCAGGTCTAAACATTGTCGTAAGTTTGTCTACTCAGATTTGCTACATTACGCGTACACCAGCATTTACTTGACCATAAAAAAAAAATTCATGTCTGTTTGATGCTTGTCTGTTGCTCCTTCAATCCCAGCGGTAGGCTGAGTATATACTAAGATTAATCAAGTTGGAGCTAACATAAGTATTGTTTCCCCAAATCAATTTTGGGTAACATAAATATTGTTTCCCCAAATCAATTTGGAGGTAACATAAATAATGTTTCCCCAAATCAATTTGGAGGTAACATAAATATTGTTTCCCCAAATCAATTTGGAGGTAACATAAATATTGTTTCCCCAAATCAATTTGGAGGTAACATAAATATTGTTTCCCCAGGTGTCTGCAACAGGTGTGTTCATCGGTTTGACCACCACTGCATATGGACCAACAATTGTGTAGGTGCGGGCAACCTGCGCTACTTCATCTCCTTCCTGCTGAGCCTGCTGATGATGCTGGTCAACGGAGCGGTGATGAGCACGCGTGCTATGGTGCTGCTGGTCCAACATTTTAAGTTGATGGAGACTGGCTACGTGGACTCTTTCACTGGACAAATGCACCCGGTCACTCTGCCCATTCTCATACAGGTAAACACAAGTTAACACAAATGAATGGTTTAAATAGAATAATAAATGTAACCTAGTTAGTTGGAGTTATAACAAAACAGGTAACATTACCAAATATTTGAAGTATAACAATAAATATAACACAACCTAATGTTTGAAATTTAACAACTTTGAAAACACTACCAAACAAAAAGGTTCCAGCAAGTGATAGAAGTAATGTCCTGTTTTCTTCCCTCCCCCCTTAGCATCTGTTCATGCAGCACCCGCGCTGTATCTTCCTGATCACATCGCTGCTGATGCTGATGGTGCTGCTGGGCATGTTCACACTCTACCACCTCTACCTCCTGCTCAACAATCAGACCACCAATGAACGCTATAAAATGGCCTCACTACAAAGTAACACATCTCAACAGCCCCGCACACACCAAGTCAACAAAACAGCCGCCAGTCTGACAGCAGATCACAATTTTAATAATACTCTCACTAAAAATCAGGAGCTTGCCTCAGCTGGCTCATTTTATGACAAAGGGATTTGGTCTAATATTAAAGAGGTCTTCTTTCCATGGTCAGATTTGCAGATCAAGAAAAGAAATACAGCTAGTAACTTTGGGCACAACAAATCTAAGAGGAAAGTTTGTTGAAAATATTTGCTTGAGTACAATGTTTTTATGGTGGGCACATTTTGTTTCAATACTCACTTGTTGGTCTTAGGGTCATCTGTTGGTGTTAGGGTCATCTGTTGGTGTTAGAGTCACCTGTTGGTGTTAGGGTCATCTGTTGGTGTTAGGGTCATCTGTTGGTGTTAGGGTCATCTGTTGGTGTTAGGGTCAACTGTTGGTGTTAGGGTCATCTGTTGGTGTTAGGGTCATCTGTTGGTGTTAGGGTCAACTGTTGGTGTTAGGGTCACCTGTTGGTGTCCTGTTGGTGTTAGGGTCATCTGTTGGTGTTAGGGTCATCTGTTGGTGTTAGGGTCATCTGTTGGTGTTAGGGTCATCTGTTGGTGTTAGGGTCATCTGTTGGTGTTAGGGTCATCTGTTGGTGTTAGGGCCATCTGTTGGTGTTAGGGTCATCTGTTGGTGTTAGGGTCATCTGTTGGTGTTAGGGTCATCTGTTGGTGTTAGGGTTATCATTTGGTGTCCTGTTGGTGTTAGGGTCACCTGTTGGTGTCCTGTTGGTCTTAGGGTCATCTGTTGGTGTTAGGGTCATCTGTTGGTGTTAGGGTCATCTGTTGGTGTTAGGGTCACCTGTTGGTGTCCTGTTGGTGTTAGGGTCATCTGTTGGTGTTAGGGTTATCATTTGGTGTCCTGTTGGTGTTAGGGTCATCTGTTGGTGTTAGGGTCATCTGTTGGTGTTAGGGTCATCTGTTGGTGTTAGGGTCACCTGTTGGTGTCCTGTTGGTGTTAGAGTCATCTGTTGGTGTTAGGGTCATCTGTTGGTGTTAGGGTCATCTGTTGGTCTTAGGGTCATCTGTTGGTGTTAGGGTCATCTGTTGGTGTTAGGGTCATCTGTTGGTGTTAGGGTCATCTGTTGGTGTTAGGGTCATCTGTTGGTGTTAGGGTCATCTGTTGGTGTTAGGGTCACCTGTTGGTGTCCTGTTGGTGTTAGGGTCATCTGTTGGTGTTAGGGTCACCTGTTGGTGTCCTGTTGGTGTTAGGGTCATCTGTTGGTGTTAGGGTCAACTGTTTGTGTTAGGGTCATCTGTTGGTGTTAGGGTTATCATTTGGTATCCTGTTGGTGTTAGGGTCATCTGTTGGTGTTAGAGTCATCTGTCATCTGTTGGTGTTAGAGTCATCTGTTGGTGTTTGGGTCACCTGTTGGTGTTAGGATCATCTGTTGGTGTTAGGGTTATCTGTTGTTGTCCTGTTGGTGTTAGAGTCATCTGTTGGTGTTTGGGTCACCTGTTGGTGTTTGGGTCACCTGTTGGTGTTAGGGTCACCTGTTGTTGTCCTGTTGGTGTTAGAGTCATCTGTTGGTGTTTGGGTCACCTGTTGGTGTTAGGGCCATCTGTTGGTCTTAGGGTCATCTGTTGGTGTTAGGGTCATCTGTTGGTGTTAGGGTCATCTGTTGGTGTTAGGGTCATCTGTTGGTGTTAGGGTCATCTGTTGGTCTTAGGGTCATCTGTTGGTGTTAGGGTCATCTGTTGGTGTTAGGGGTCATCTGTTGGTGTTAGGGTCAACTGTTGGTGTTTGTTAGGGTCATCTGTTGGTGTTAGGGTTATCATTTGGTGTCCTGTTGGTGTTAGGGTCACCTGTTGGTGTCCTGTTGGTCTTAGGGTCATCTGTTGGTGTTAGGGTCATCTGTTGGTGTTAGGGTCATCTGTTGGTGTTAGGGTCATCTGTTGGTGTTAGGGTCATCTGTTGGTGTTAGGGTCATCTGTTGGTGTTAGGGTCACCTGTTGGTGTCCTGTTGGTGTTAGGGTCATCTGTTGGTGTTAGGGTCACCTGTTGGTGTCCTGTTGGTGTTAGGGTCATCTGTTGGTGTTAGGGTCAACTGTTTGTGTTAGGGTCATCTGTTGGTGTTAGGGTTATCATTTGGTATCCTGTTGGTGTTAGGGTCATCTGTTGGTGTTAGAGTCATCTGTCATCTGTTGGTGTTAGAGTCATCTGTTGGTGTTTGGGTCACCTGTTGGTGTTAGGATCATCTGTTGGTGTTAGGGTTATCTGTTGTTGTCCTGTTGGTGTTAGAGTCATCTGTTGGTGTTTGGGTCACCTGTTGGTGTTTGGGTCACCTGTTGGTGTTAGGGTCACCTGTTGTTGTCATGTTGGTGTTAGAGTCATCTGTTGGTGTTTGGGTCACCTGTTGGTGTTAGGGCCATCTGTTGGTCTTAGGGTCATCTGTTGGTGTTAGGGTCATCTGTTGGTGTTAGGGTCATCTGTTGGTGTTAGGGTCATCTGTTGGTGTTAGGGTCATCTGTTGGTCTTAGGGTCATCTGTTGGTGTTAGGGTCATCTGTTGGTGTTAGGGGTCATCTGTTGGTGTTAGGGTCAACTGTTGGTGTTTGTTAGGGTCATCTGTTGGTGTTAGGGTTATCATTTGGTGTCCTGTTGGTGTTAGGGTCACCTGTTGGTGTCCTGTTGGTCTTAGGGTCATCTGTTGGTGTTAGGGTCATCTGTTGGTGTTAGGGTCATCTCTTGGTGTTAGGGTCATCTGTTGGTGTTAGGGTCATCTGTTGGTGTTAGGGTCACCTGTTGGTGTCCTGTTGGTGTTAGGGTCATCTGTTGGTGTTAGGGTCACCTGTTGGTGTTAGGGTCATCTGTTGGTGTTAGGGTCATCTGTTGGTGTTAGGGTCACCTGTTGGTGTCCTGTTGGTGTTAGGGTCATCTGTTGGTGTTAGGGTCACCTGTTGGTGTTAGGGTCATCTGTTGGTGTTAGGGTCATCTGTTGGTGTTAGGGTCACCTGTTGGTGTCCTGTTGGTGTTAGGGTCATCTGTTGGTGTTAGGGTCACCTGTTGGTGTTAGGGTCATCTGTTGGTGTTAGGGTCACCTGTTGGTGTTAGGGTCATCTGTTGGTGTTAGGGTCAACTGTTTGTGTTAGGGTCATCTGTTGGTGTTAGGGTCACCTGTTGGTGTCCTGTTGGTGTTAGGGTCATCTGTTGGTGTTAGGGTCAACTGTTTGTGTTAGGGTCATCTGTTGGTGTTAGGGTTATCATTTGGTATCCTGTTGGTGTTAGGGTCATCTGTTGGTGTTAGAGTCATCTGTCATCTGTTGGTGTTAGAGTCATCTGTTGGTGTTTGGGTCACCTGTTGGTGTTAGGATCATCTGTTGGTGTTAGGGTTATCTGTTGTTGTCCTGTTGGTGTTAGAGTCATCTGTTGGTGTTTGGGTCACCTGTTGGTGTTTGGGTCACCTGTTGGTGTTAGGGTCACCTGTTGTTGTCCTGTTGGTGTTAGAGTCATCTGTTGGTGTTTGGGTCTCCTGTTGGTGTTAGGGTCATCTGTTGGTGTTAGGGTCATCTGTTGGTGTTAGGGTCATCTGTTGGTGTTTGGGTCACCTGTTGGTGTTAGGGTCACCTGTTGGTGTTAGGGTCACCTGTAGGTCTTTGGGTCACTTGCATTGGGTTACCATTGTTGTTTGACTGTATAATAATCATGTAGTTGATTTTTCATTCTGATAAATGGTTGAGCTGTTTATCATTTTTAGACTAGTATATAGTTCAACATTTTGTTCTCATTTACTGAACTCAACAACTGATCTCATTTTGCTGTACAGAATACCTCCTTGTGCTATACTTGTGTAACCTGTACTTGATATACACCTCATCAACCAGTACCTCATATACACATCATCAACCAGTACCTTATACACACATCATCAACCAGTACCTCACACACACATCATCAACCAGTACTGTCATACACAGATCAGCAACCAGTACTGTCATACACACATCATCAACCAGTACCCCATACACACATCATCAACCAGTACCCTCATATACACATCATCAACCAGTACCTCATATACACATCATCAACCAGTACCTCATATACACATCAGCAACCAGTACTGTCATACACACATCATCAACCAGTACTGTCATACACACATCATCAACCAGTACTGTCATACACACATCATCAACCAGTACCCTCATATACACATCATCAACCAGTACCTCATATACACATCAGCAACCAGTACTGTCATACACACATCAGCAACCAGTACTGTCATACACACATCATCAACCAGTACTGTCATACACACATCATCAACCAGTACTGTCATACACACATCATCAACCAGTACTGTCATACACACATCATCAACCAGTACTGTCATACACAGATCATCAACCAGTACCCTCATACACACATCATCAACCAGTACCTCATATACACATCATCAACCAGTACTGTCATACACACCTCATCAACCAGTACTGTCATACACACATCAACCTGTACCTCATATACACATCAGAGACCAGTACCTCATATACACATCAACCAGTACCTCCTATACACATCAGAGACCAGTACCTCATATACACATCAGCAACATATAAAAATGTGTAGCAATGTAAGCATCTTTAGATCTGTGGTTGCAACATTCTCCATGTATTTTCATGAATTTCATGTACTGGTTTACCAGAGAACTTTTTCTGTAGTTGTCTCCCTGCACACCCTCTGTTCTAAAGCAGGGGAAACAATTTTCTGTCACTCTGAGACTTCTTGCTGTGTTGTTCTGGTTGTGTTCCATTTGAAATAGAATGAATATCACCTTCTGTAAGATGTTTAAGCTGTGTAGCTATGATAGAATGTCACCATGTTCCAATCCTAAACCTTATTTCTTGAGTTTTATTTCCATTGATACATGATATACTAAATATTCCAGAAGCATTGTTTCAGTACTTAACTCATCTGAACAAGTTCTTTTGTTATCAAATGCTTGGGTCATTCCATGGATACAAAGTTTTTTTATTATACATAAATTAAAAAGTATTTTTAACTGCATATAATTATCAAATGAATAAAATGCATCTCACTCAATCCCAGACCAAACAATTTTCTGTTGTACCAGTGCCAGCCTCAGGTTTATGTTTATAAACTTTCTGTTCGGTGCTAGCATCAAAGCTTCTTGTTTATTTTGTTAACAATCAGAATATACCAGCCCAGTTTTAGAATTTTTGTTAACAGTCAGAATATTTCAGCCCTGTAGTTATAAGGCTATTGTTAACAATCAGAATATACCAGCCCAGTTTTAGGGTTTTTGTTAACAGTTAGATTAGACAACAATTTTTTAAGGCCAACATTGAGAAGCCATTGATGTAAACCAAATAATTGTGAGTGTTGTCTTGTAAATCTTCTGCATGAAGGCAGGTACCAAAGCGTGTTTATTAGTAGTATTATTTCCTTTTATTTACGACTAAATGTTTTCTTGAAGGAAACTTGAATTTTGTGATAACTCATTAAGCCATGACAAGCTGTTAGTTTGGTGGCATAATGTGTATCAGTAATTGGCTGTGGCATAATGTGTATCAGTAATTGGCTGTGGCATAATGTGTATCAGTAATTGGCCATGTTTGTGGCATAATGTGTATCAGTAATTGGCCATGTTTGTGGCATAATGTGTATCAGTAATTGGCCATGTTTGTGGCATAATGTGTATCAGTAATTGGCCATGTTTGGTGGCATAATGTGTATCAGTAATTGGCCATGTTTGGTGGCATAATGTGTATCAGTAATTGGCCATGACATATTTTTATATCAGTGAGCTCGAAGCATTTCAATTACTTATGTAATCAGGAAGTTGTATTCTTTTATTTTTCTCCTACTTTATGTATAATTTATTTCAACATGTAAAGCAAGTAACTTGTTAGTGAACTTTGTTTTAAGATGTTTATCTAAATGTATTTTGATATTACCATGAGATTTAACATACCTTTTTCTACATCCAGCTGTTACCATTATCATGGTGTGATTGTAAAAATGTTTAGTAATTATAAGTAGAAGATATTTTAACTTGAACTCTAGTAGTTGTCATTGATGTACCATTGGTGTCTCTAGTGGGTTATACACCCTTGCTGTAATGTAGTGAAGAAATGCTGTAGTTGAATAGCTCTTGTACACCTCTTGTTAAATGATGTAGTCTTTCAGGGCCGATGTGGCCAAGTGTTCCACGGATTAGTTTTGTTCATGTTACTTCTAGCTCAGTTAGAACTTCCAGCTTTTATTACTGTCAACAGTGCATTTGCTTTGATATTCAATAAAAATTGATCATCCAGCTGTTGTTTTGTTTGTTTGTTTTTCTCTGTTCATTTTATTTCTTAACTCAAGATATGCTCTCTAGATGCTACAATTCTTTAGAAAGTTTAACTACTTATACAGTCAACAATGAATATTCTTATTGCCTTCACCTTTTATTTGATTACAATATGAAATTGATAAAAAAATTATGACGAATAGGATTAATTAAAGTCTACATTTTCTGTTCAACATTTTGTAATTGTGTTACACAAAGTACTACCTGTACATTATTAATACAAACATACATAGTTAAAGTAGTCAAACAAAGCCCTGTAAATACTTATAATATTTAAATATATATTTTCTATTTACATGTTATTTACATTTGTTTTTGCGTCACAAAGTACATTTTATTCATATTTTTGGTTACTTTTAAAATTCCAAAATATTTGCTGTCAAAGTAACTAACATAGCCTACGTTTTTTGGATTCAGTTGGTAAATAGGTTTCACTTTTTGTATTTCTGTTTATTTTGTGTACTGAAAAGACATTCTTATCGTTTTCATAGCATAAAACATGGGGTTCTTGCAATTTTTTAATATTTATGTCATGCGAAAATCTGGCATATGAATTATTGTAACTAAACTCATCTGGTAGATTAAGCTTATCTCTAATCTCCTGTGTACTTGATGCATCTGGTATATGGAGATTATCTCTAATCTCCCGTGTACTTGATGCATCTGGTAGATTAAGCTTATCTCTAATCTCCTGTGTACTTGATGCATCTGGTATATGGAGATTATCTCTAATCTCCCGTGTACTTGATGCATCTGGTAGATTAAGCTTATCTCTAATCTCCTGTGTACTTGACAAAGTGTCTCCTAATACAAAAGATACTAATTCCTCTGGCATGCCTAATGTTGAGTCAACATTTCTGGTCGAACAGTTACTGACATAACCTGAAAATAGACAAGATAATTTTATAATTTTAAATTCGCAATATAGATCATAGTTCTAGATCTTAATAAGAGTTATATACTGAGAGTCTTTAGAGTGTAGATTCTCTGGTTTAGTGTTGATCTACCTGAAACAAAGCTGTCAATGTCCTGAGCCTTTTCTACATCTGCTTTAAATTGTGAGAACGTAGTGATAATCAAACTAATAAGCTAATCAAAACCAGAGCATTAACAAAATATTGTCTCAGGTAATAAAATGTAGCTAGTGAACAGTAAAAATTAAAACCTTACCACGGATGTCAATACCTAGATCTACACAAGCTTTCTCCCAATAAGCACATTCCATAAGCCAAGCTCCAACACTTTTTCTCAATCCTTCATTTTTTTTAACCAGTTTTTGATTAATCTGAAAACAGTAAATTTATTTTAACAGCTGAACAACATTGATTCTTTACATTCAATTATAATTACCATTTTAGATGAAATAACTTTTAAAATATTCACATTCTATCAAATATTTGTTGCTGTTTTACAGTACTTAATCAAGCAGTAAAAAATATATTGAGTGAGATAAGCAATGTATGTAGGCCTACAGTTTGATAACTTTTTTTTTACCAACCTCTTGATTGGTCTGAGTTTCTTTCTTTTTCTTTTCTCTGCTTTTTTGGGCTGCACGCCTATTCCGTTCTTGTACCTCAATTTTTCTAGCATTTTCTGTGGCCTGAATGAAACATTTAGGACTATTTACATATATCTCTCCATGTATGCCTATTTAATGGATACTTAATTAAAATAAAGCATATATACAATTTTTGGTAAATTAAAAAAATAGTATTATTAGGACCCAATTATCATGATGAAGATTGATTTTTATAGATCTAGATTAGTTAAAATTCAAAATAAATATTTGTGAAAACAAAAAGTCAATTTTTTTTTGTTTAGGACTAACAGTACCCCACCCACTGTTACAGTGTAGGTGTTTAAGCCTATAGTCTATATACACTGAGTTTGTTCCTGTCTTTGATAACACACAGAGTAGAAAATAATGTATAGTATTATATAGAGTTATATACTGTTAGTTTGTTTCTATATTTGAAAATGCACATAGATCTAGTACAAAATAATGTATGGTGTTGTATAGAGTTATGTGGGGATTGTGCACAATTAATAACCCATTTTTTAACCCACCCTCCCACCTTCTAAAATATGAATCAGAAGTTTAATATAAAAATATAACTTATGCAACATAGACCAATATAATAATATAACTTAATACCACATACATAGGCCAGTTTAATAATATAATAATTTTAAAAAAATTCTCCCCCCCCCCCCCACAAACCAAGATCCAATTACATCTGTAGTGAATAAACAAAATTGTGGGTTTTTTTCAATAAAATTATGAGAATCTCATCATTTTATTACAGTAAAAAATTGCTTGTTACGTCTTTATTGAAAATAATTGCAAAGCATTTTCTTAGCCTCACTAGGACGTGTGTCACCCAGTGCAGTCCACACCACAGGCAGGTTTGTGATGTAACTGAAGCACTTTTTAAAGCTTCATTGAGTTAAAAACTGAAATAGATCTAGGCTTTTGGTTTGTCAACTTATTAATGAAATCATTAAAAAAATCTAGAATCTAGGCAATTAAAAAAACCAATGAAAATATTATATGAATTTAAAAATAATAAAATATTAAAAATATTATATAGGCCTAATAGGCCTATAGTATATATAGAATCTAGACGAGTAGACGAGTGATAGAATTTTCAGCGTAGTATTTAGTATATATTAGTATAATATTAGTATTTGACTTAGATATAGAAAATCTAGATCTACTTACATTTTTAATCTGTAAATTATCGTTGGAATATATTCCGTATCCAACTAGTTGAGCACTATCATGTAGTTGATCAACCTTGTTACTTAAGACGTGTGGCCCACTACTTTTGTTGGCTAGCTCACGTTGGTCCTGGGCTTCTAAGCAAACTCTTTTCAGATTCGTTGCATCTTCATCTTGTCTGGTATATTCAATGAAGCTTTCGTTTTCGTCTTCAGATGGTAATACAGAAATATTGCTATTGGGCCAAAAATCCACAGAGGTCGGACGATGTGAGAATGGTGAGCTTCTCACATCGTGAATCGCATTATTTACGCAAGTTTCAGTTAGATGACTCTCGTCAATGCAGGCTTCGTCGAAAAACAATACTTCGTCTTCGTTTTCAACATTTCCATCATTTAGATTTAAGTAATTTTCCGTTCTGTGATTATTATTCATGTAATCAATATCGTGTATATTAAAATTTTCGTAGTTATTAAAATCCATATTATAAGTGTTGCTACGTGCTGGTAGATTCAACAAATGGTGCCATGAACGTTAAAACTACGATTTATATTTATCGGCAACTGATTCAGCACATGAATGTTTACAATTTTTTAGGATCTTCCCGATATTACGTTAAATTAAAAGCACCTAAATTGGGGAATTCCCTATTTACCGAAACTATATTACCAGATAAAATTATCTAAATATTTTTAAACTTGCGTCCTAACTTTAAAAAATAAATAAACTAAGCCTCTTTTAGTATTTAGATAAGAAGTCATCCATAAATGACGGCACGCTTTTTTGACGATTGTTACCTCCCCCTCCCCTCCGTCACACGTCGTCACAAAAAGCCAGACCTCCCCCCAAAATGACGTCACACCTCAACCTACAACCCTCCTCAAAACTGCAGTTGAATTTTTTTAAAACATTGATATTTTTTCTAAAATCTTGTCTAAACTATTACAATTTATTAAAACAGTTATCTAAAATGCGAAATAACGTTTAAAATTCGTTTTCTAACATTGCTTTTTTTATAATGCAAAAGTGTGACGTCGCAACATCTGAACCCCCTCCCCCTCATCACACATCGTCACAAAATTACGGACCCCCTCCCCCCTACGAGTGTGACGTCATTTATGGATGACCCCTAATATAAATTGCGGTAAAGATTAGTCTTGAAAAAAGTGTTACGTTTAAAAAAATCAATTCTAGGAATGTCCTCTGCCATTTCAGGCACTGCCCAGAGATTCAAACGTGTTACTAGTGTTAGGCAGCTAAACAGTTATAAGAATCATCCGTAATTACACCAGTCATCGTGTGGAGGACGGTTCACATTTAGAACAACGCGCAACTTGAAATTATGATGAATAAAAAATACAACACCATGTGGGCCTAGATCTATACGTTTGAATAATTTAAACAAATGAATAATATGCTGGTAAAATACATAGGGGTCGTCCATAAATGACGTCACACTCGTAGGGGGGAGGGGGGGCCTCTGTAATTTTGTGACGGTGTGTGATGAGGGGGAGGGGGGGGGGTTAGATGGTGTGACGTCACACTTTTGCATTATAAAAAAAAAGCAATGTTGGAAAACGAGTTTTAGCAGTTATTTTGCGTTTTAGAAAACGGTTTTAATAAATTGTAATAGGAATTGATCAAAATACTATATGTTGACAGAGTTCTGACAAGATTTTGGAAATATATCGATGTTTTTAGAAAAATTCAACAGAAATTTTGAGGGAGGTTGTAGGCTGAGGTGTGACGTCATTTTATGGGGGGGGGGGGGGGGGTATGGCTTTTTGTGACGATGTGTGACGGAGGGGAGAGGTAAAAATCGTCATAAAAGCGTGACGTCATTTATGGATGACCCCATATTTTCTATTTAAAGTATTTTTTTCTATTTCGACTGGGGAGAGTGCGGACGAACTCGGGAAAATAAATGGAAAATAATCTTTGCCGAGATTGAGTATATTAATACACATCTCTCACATACAATTTGCAAAAAAATCCTTTAAAATGCAAAATATCATTTCATTCATAATTTCTTTAAATAAAAAAAAAAAAAGTAGACTCACAATCACAAATCTACCGTTTTACGGCCATCAAATTGCCTATCAAATTTGTCAATATGGCAAGCCTGTTCGTAATACAATTAAAACTTAAAACTGTAGTGTAGACTACAGAACCTTAAAATAATGCGACCTGGAAAATAGAACTCCGAGAAATTTCAATACTACAATAATAACAATATCGTTTTAAAGCGGATACATATAATCCAGAAGGTGAATTTTTTTCTAATGGTAGAAGTAATTTGTATGTTTATTATTAATGCAGTATTATATAGATCAAGAAAAAAAAGACCGATAAAACAAGGGAAACCCCCCCCCTCGAAAATTGCAAGTAGTCCACACATATTCCTACACGTTCTAGAGCTTTCTTGGCTAAAAATAACCTATCACACGGCAGTATTTGATTGGCCACAACAATAAACAAAAAAAAGGCCTTGCATAAAATGATCATGTTTACAAAATCTTTGTATGTTACAACAAGCCTGTAGATTTAGAATCTTGATCTAGATCTAAATGCTCTAAAAATAAGACAATTTATAATGAAAACATTTTTCTTATGTTATCTAGATCTAAAGTTAAAGCATATGTCACTCAAATGTGTTTTAGTAATTTCACGAGTCACCAACACAACGTGAATTTAGAAAATAAAAGGCTGTAGACTGTAGTGTATACTGTTTGGAGTGTATAGATCTAGCTAGGTCTTACACTGTCTTTCATTTGGTTCCCGCTCAACAAACACCTGGACATAACCCCCCTGGGCATACACCTCCTCCCGACATAAACCCCCTGGGCATACACCTCCTCCCGACATAAACCCCCTGGGCATACATCTCCTCCCGACATAAACCCCCAAGTGAAAACCCCCTCGATCATTGATTGGTGTAAGACGTGTATCGATCATTGATTGGTGTAAGAAGTGTATCGATCATTTATTGGTGTAAGACATGTATCGATCATTCATTGATGTAAGACGTGTATCGATCAATGATTGGTGTAAGACGTGTATCGATCATTGATTGATGTAAGACGTGTATCGATCATTGATTGGTGTAAGACGTGTATCGATCATTGATTGATGTAAGACGTGTATCGATCATTGATTGGTGTAAGACGTGTATCGATTATTGATTGGTGTAAGACGTGTATCGATCATTGATTTGTGTAAGACGTGTATCAATCATTGATTGGTGTAAGACGTGTATCGATCATTGATTGGTGTAAGACGTGTATCGATCATTGATTGGTGTAAGACGTGTATCGATCATTGATTTGTGTAAGACGTGTATCGATCATTGATTGGTGTAAGAGGTGTATCGATCATTGATTGGTGTAAGACGTGTATCGATCATTGATTGATGTAAGACGTGTATCGATCATTGATTTGTGTAAGACGTGTATCGATCATTGATTGGTGTAAGACGTGTATCGATCATTGATTGGTGTATATACGTGTATCAATCATTGATTGGTGTATATACGTGTATCAATCATTGATTGGTGTAAGGCGTGTATCAATCATTGATTGGTGTAAGACGTGTATCAATCATTGATTGGTGTAAGACGTGTATCAATCATTGATAGGTGTGAGAGATTTTTTGCAGGTGCAAGTGCCTGCGTCTCTTTGTATCTTTTGTTTGGTTAATGAAAGCGGCCTCTGTGTGTGTTTTCGTGAAAATACGTCCAAGACCCAGCCCAAATGTTTCCAGTCAAGTTGGATCAACATAAACCCCAAAATGTTGTCAAGTTGGATCAACATAAACCCCAAAATGTTGTCAAGTTGGATCAACATAAACCCCAAAATGTTGTCAAGTTGGATCAACATAAACCCCAAAATGTTTTGTCTGCCCTGTCAGACATCTTTATACTCCAGTCAAATGGGATATAGAAAAGGGGGAGGGGTGACAAGAAACACTAGGTACTGAAGTTTCTAAAATTTAATTGGCGTCTGCAACAGAATTTTAAATAATGCTATGTATGACAGCTCAGATGTAAGACAATATCTTCTACCAATACCCACACTCATGATCACAGGTTCAACCCCCCTTCCCCCCCCCCCCCCCCCCCCCGCCAAATGTTGCTGAAGAAGTGATAAACTCAACATTAGAAAGATATGCCCTAATATGGGCATACAGTGCACGAAATATCTGACCTATGTGGCATTGAATAGAATGCCATGGCAACCATACTTCCGGAAGATACAGTGATGCATGCAAAAACTTAAATGAAGATTTTTTTTTCTCCAGAGCCTAACCCCTTAATAAAAGCATTTCTTAAGCCCAGTTGCACGAAATATTACATAAGAATATACAAGAAAGTTTAGGGGAGATCACTCCCGCTTTATGACAAAATAGTCTCGAACTAAAGGTATCCCATTAATAAACACATCTAGACCATGTAGGTTTATTTATTTCTATCAGCTTTTTGACAGATCCACTTCAATAGCTTTGACACTGAAAAATCTTGGTCCAGTTATACTCAAATAAAAACCAATGCCTTTAACTTTGTGCAGATAACTTGTACAATTGTATTAAAATATCTCGTCCATTTCCTCCTCTATTAAGTAACAGAAAGTAGAATGATAGAAGTGCCACTTACCCTTTTGATTCACTCATCAAAAAGTGCCACTTATCCTTTTGATCCACTCATCAAAAAGTGCCACTTATCTTTTTGATTCACTCACAAAAAAGTAAGAAGACAAACTAAAGTTCAATAAAAAAAATCTTTATTTTCAATTCATTAGTTCTGGATACAAGTACAAAATAACAAAACAAATGCATACAAAACATAGGACTACACATATTTCATTGTCTATCTATATGTACAGGAAAAATTCAATATTTACAATTTGTCTCAAATAATATAATTTTGACATGTACACATTTTATTTTACAACAGCATGACTAGATCTAGCAAATCTTTAACTACTTACAGATAGGTACCTAGCATTGAAATGATCAACTTCTAGCAAACCTTCAACTACAGATAGGTACCTAGCATTGAACTGATCAACTTCTAGCAAATCTTTAACTACTTACAGATAGGTACCTAGCATTGAACTGATCAACTTCTAGCAAATCTTCAACTACAGATAGGTACCTAGCATTGAACTGATCAGTCCAAGAAAACATTTACAAGCTTCATTAAAAAAAGATATTTGTAATGCGGTTGATATAACATTATATAACAAGGAAGTGTTATATGCTACTTACATCATTAAATGTAAACATGTGAAATGATGGGGGAAGGGGGGGGGGGATACAAATGGTGGCTGGAATAAAATAACAAACAACCAGTACAGTAGACTGATGGTTTTCAACAAAATACTCAGTGGATTGGGAGCTCCAAGTATAGCCAACCAGTACATTCTTGTTTGTAGCAATTTTACAACAGTCCTGTGCCACATGTTGCATGACTTCTGACTGAGATGTGTGATTAGAAAATAAAGCTAGAATTTACTTTTCTTTTCTGGTGGAGGTCCATAGTCCAAGGATCTAAATATTGAAGTCAGCTCTTCAATATCTTCTGATGATTCTCTATCTCCTACAGACCAGGCACTGATGTCAGTGGCTGACTTGATTGGGGTGTGTGGTCTAAAGACAATTACAGGATCAACCACTGCGTCTGACTTGATTGGTGCTCGTCGTCTAAAGACAATTACAGGATCATCCACAGCGCCCCCAAGACTGGTCTCAGGGGGTGGTTTTGTCAGAGTGTCATATCTACTTTGGGAATGTAATTTCACTTCAGCCTCAAAACTGGTTGGTGGGAATGATTGGACCTCATCATTAGAACTGGTTGTGGAAAGTGATTTAGAGCCAAAACTGGATAAAGTTCTTGGTCTAACTAGAATAACTGGGTCCCACTTCAAATTGAAGGAGCTGGCGGCATCAGTTTGTGATAAGGAAAAAATTTGGGCAGTGTGCTCTGTGTGAGGCAGGGCTGGCAGTATTTGTTTGCTTGTGTGTTTGTTTGAGAGGTCTGGGCCATCCAAGTTTATAGAGATGTCATGTGGACAGACTGCCGGCTCCAATGGCACAGGGTTATCCATTGCCGGCTCCAATGGCACAGGGTTATCCAGATAGTCAATATAATCAGCACACAGGCTTGTGGAGATTTCCCTAGGAATGCCAGCATCCTCTGACAGCACAGAATGATTTTGGTCAACTAGTGGATCCATCTCTGATATGTCTCTTAGAGTTAAATTAGTTTCTAAATCACAATCCAGTGCAGTGTCTGTCTGTGAAAGTTCAAAGTCAGCATACACAACTTTTTTCCCATAAATGTCAGTAAACAAGGCAAAACTTTGGTTAACCACTTCATGCAGTTCGTCATCTGAACCTTGGGTCAGACAGTTGTCATCACGCATGCTGTCATAACCTTCTTGAACACTGTATTTAGTCTTAAAGCAATCATTGCTAAAATCTGGTTGATATTTTGGCTTGTACAGATCATCTAAAATTGAAAAAAAAAATTCTCAAATTTAATAACAGGATCATCCAAAAATGATAAAAATTTTAAACTGTTTTACATTGATACATTACATTTTTCATCACACAGCATATCTTAAGTCAGATATCAAATTTATTTCAACAAAACAAATGCAGCAGCTCAACTTTTCATGTAATTTCTGAACATTGACTGACCCTCCACATTTAAAAAATTAAATTATTTCTACACATTGATAGACCCTCCACATTTAAAAAATTTAATTATTTCTACACGTTGATAGACCTTCCACATTTAAAAAATTAAATTATTTCTACACATTGACTGACCCTCCACATTTGAAAAATTAAATTATTTCTACACGTTGATAGACCCTCCACATTTAAAAAATGTAATTATTTCTACACGTTGATAGACCCTCCAAATTTGAATAATTCAAGATATTTCTAATGTATCTGACTAAATGTGGTGGTTTTTATTTACTGTGAGTGTAGGAAAACAAATTACCTTCAGCAACTTTACAAACTAAATCATGATCCATCACTATTTTTTCTAGCTTTGATGATTGCCTTTTTAGCCATTTATTTGTTTCTTTCATCCGCTTGTTTTCATCCAGAAGTCTCTTATGAGCCTGCAATAAAAATATTTCTTCACTCTCACGACCTGTCACTGGTACAATTTTTTCTTCACTATACCTTAAAAGTCACAAGTACAATTATTTCTTTACACTACACATCTTTGTACAATTTTTTGTCATCATTCTAGGTGTTAGATTACAGTCACGTCATAAGCACAATATTTGCTTCACTACAGGTCACAAGTACAATTTGTAGCAATTTTTTTTTTCACTCTACAATACACTACATGTTTTAAGTTCCATATTTTTCATCACTCTGCACTACAGAGTAGTTACACGTACCATTCCTACATCTGTCATTGACAGAACCACGGTCACTGTTGCAGAATCTCAAGTTATGTTTTAAAATTATCTCCATGGTTTTTATTTGTAACCTTTGTATCACTTACCTTCTTAATGTCATCATAAAAAGCTTTCTTTATATCTCTACTCTTTTTAGCAGAAAGTTTATTGCGTTCTTTTCTAGCTTGCTTTTTTTCTTCCTCGTCAGGTCTAAGCTGTTAGCAAAAAAAAAAAAAGTTAAAAATGTCAACAACCAATAAAAAACTTTGTGACTATAAATATATAAATTGTAAAAAATTAATGATCAACTTTGTGATAAAACAATGTAAAAATAATAATGGAAAACTGTGATAATAAAAAAATACCTTTTCTTCTACTTTATTTGCTCTTCGTTGGTCAAGGGTTAGTTTCTTACCCTCTGCTTTACACCTGGATAAAATCGCGCTGTGAAGTTTATTTTTAATGCTATCAGTTTTCAGAAATGGAGTCATCAAGCCATCTTTTTGCCATGCATCATATTCGTAAGGTAGAGAGTCTATGACTTGGTCACCATGTACTTCCATCAGCTGTTCACTTTCTGAGACAATGATTCCTTTCAAGAGAGTTCCACAAGGATTCAGCTGGTCTTCTGGTGGCAGAACTTTAGATGTAGATATATCCACAAAGCTGGCAATATCATCTTCCAGCAGAAAGTCCATTTCTTCAATTACTTCAAATCTTTGAGAATCACACATTGTGCCAAAGACTAGTTTTAAGTCTACTGGCTGAAAGAAAAAGATTGTGTATTATTGTAAACATTCATATCATGCAGGCTACAGAGATGTTTTAAAAATTCACTATGTGTTAAAACATTTAAAAATTAGAAAATTAACTTTTGGATCAAACTAAATAATGGGTATAGGGTTGTCACATTCTAGAGAATAGGGTTTGTAATTTTGAGACAATGTGTGATGAGGGGGCTCAGAGTGTGTGAAATCATGCTTATGCATTCTAAAAAAGTTATGTTAAAAACAGAATTTTAGCAGTTATTTTGCGTTTTAAAAAACCATTTTTTAAAATAATAATATACATTCAATGTTGAATGGGCTCAGTTAATACTTTAAAAAAAAATCAATGTTGTAAAAAAAATGTAATGGCAACTTTGAGGGCAATTGTCGGCTGAAGTTTGTAATCATTTACGGGAAGCGCCGTCTAGCTTTTTAATATGCTTCTGGTAATCTATCGTTTTAGGTACGTAAAATCGTCCGATACTAGTTATGTGAAAAAAAGGTGACTCATTAAATTTTAGTAATTATTTCACATTTTTAGGAGGATTTATGTTTTGAAAGTTACAAAAATGTTTCAAAGTTTCATTAATGTATCTGTTTTTAAACAATTGTATTAAAACTTCAGTAATAAATAAAGACTAGCGATGTTTTCATCAAATGCAGCCAAGCTGATAAAGGGATTTACTTTAGTTAGCAGCCATCTTAAGTTTTTGTAGGTAAATTTATAGTTAAAGATTATTTGGAAACCACTCTAACTTACAGATGGCCGCTGTCTGTATAGCAAATCTTGCTAGCAAACACTGCTGTTTATTATAGATCTAGTTAATTTCTGCCCTATATTAATTAATAAATTTAGCCATTGATATTGGTTTATTTTTCAATTATCTATAGGCCTAATATTTGACACAAATATATCACAATATATAGATCTACAATTAGGCAACTTTTTCGCACATTACAAGCCTCCGCCGATTTTACGCACCTAAAACGATAGATTATACTTAGATCTATAGTTTATATACTTTATAGATCTAGATTACCATGCTTCTGTAAAGTTTCATTGATTGAAAAATGTTAAAAAATAATCCAGACATCCACTAATGAAATCAGATCACAGGCCTCGATTCTAGATCTAGATCTAGTACTAGACTGCATTTTTTTAACTATAGACTAGAATCTATAGGCCTAATTATAATAGAGTATTATAATTATAGAATAATTAAATAGAGTATAGTTATAAATATAGTTTAATATAGGCCTACCCACCTTGACATTGTTGGGTAAAACAAGAAGACAAGTTATAAAAGTTTAATAAATTCACTCTTACCTAAGTCAGACGTCTTAGATCTAGAACCTAGATCTAGATTTAAGCCCTAGATAGATTCTAGATTCAGCCTAGCCTGGGTTTAGATCTATTATTATTAATGTAAATCTAGATCTAGATAGATAGTTTAGAGTACTTTAGAGTTCAGATTAGATCTAGATCTATACTGTAACGGAACTTGCCTGTTTGTTATTTTGGTAAAGCCTTCTCACTACTGAGTCATAATTAGGAAGAAAATAGTGCCTAAATTCTACTAGTCTAGAGGGCCTTAGTAATATTCGTTTGCAAATTCATAAACAACTAAACAGTTAAAATAAATAACATACATTAATAAATATAGTATTTCGTTAAACGAATACAATAAATTTTAGCGACGGCTACAGACAAATAGTAGAATATCATAGACCTAGATCTTGGGCCTACTCAATGTAGGCCATAGTTTTAGTTACAAAGTTACAACCTATTTTTTAACAGTAGGTTAACCACAACGATTGATTGAAGGTTCTGAATAAAATCTGTTTAGAAGGGACAAAACGTGTTTACCCTTAACTAAACAAAACACCTACGTTTGTTCCACTGACAATATTAGGAAAAAGACGGTTGAATTTTTTTACAAATCACAATGCGAAATGCAACTCTAGAAAGTAAATTGGGCTAATTTTTTAAAAAGATAATGTTGGATCTTTCCCTAATTATAATATACGTTTCGGAAATTTCCCTTAGTGCAGTTTGAAAAGTAGGCCCTGAGTTAGGTTAGCCTAACAAGACTAAACATCCTTGATGTCGGTCGTTAACTCTGTGTGTGATAAATCCTATATAATTTATAAATCATGGCCTAGATTGGGATGTGTCTTTGGTTGCCTGTTTCACCGCATGTTTTTCTTTCCCCAATCGTTCTCTTACCGTCTTAAAAAAATACTGTAGACCTCAAGTTTCCATTTTTTTTTCAGAATTAGGAAATAGGAGGTAACCCCTTTTTTAAGTTCGACGCCCCCCTCCCCCTTTTATATTGTTTTAATTTTTCCAAAGTATATAATGCAATTGGGGGTTGACTTTCTTCGGGGGGGGGGGGGGGGGCGGTAGACTTTCTTAGTGGGGGGGGGGCGAAGAGATGCATGGAAGAAACTCTGGCTATATCAATGAAAGCAAGACAGACTTTGTGTCAATGTAGTCTGTTATTTGTCTTTTTAGATTATTATTTAAGTAAAACTCCCTTTTAGCTTGTTATTCCCCGATTCACGTTCAACATATTAGCCTGCTGTAGCTGGTGATATATCAAGCTGGTTGAGCCGATGTAGATCTACATATTAGCCTGCTCTAGCTGAGGATATATCAAGTTGGTTGAGCCGAGATTGATGTAGCGGTGATTCAGGAAGTTTGAAGACAGACTTTTACATATAAAAAAGTAATGTACCAATCCGAATTTTGGCTGCCTTTTCCTCGTTTATTTTAGCAAACTGCAATATAAATGGATTAATGGACTTTACTCAACATTACCCGAGCTCGGTAAATATTTAAAAAATAAATCTATTTAAAAAATAATTCAAACATCGTTGGTGTGTGTGTGTGTGTGGATATGTGTGTGTGTGGCGGGGGGGGGGGGGGGCGGGGGGGCGGGGGGGGGGGGGGGGGTAAAGGGGGGGGGGTTAAGTAGATTGTGGTGTGACGTTAGTTTAGGTAAGGGGTGACTTTGTGACATAATGTGACGAAAGGAATGGGGGGGGGGATGAGGGAGTTATAATCGCACCAAAAGCACCATCCCTCACATGTTGGCTCTTGACAAAATGTTTCATTTTAATATGATAAACTGGTCTATCAACTAGAATTGTAAACTTTTGGTGTGAATTGTGAACCCTTGGTATGTAGCCACTAGGTTAAGCCTGCAGCCCACAGTGACCTCGTTCTGACGTCCGTGATCGCAAGCGAAATACAAAAGCAAGTGCAAGCGAAAATAGAAATGGTTAGACGTCTGTTTAAGAATGTAGTCCTTGATCGGAATGTCCGTTTTTGAACACCGAAAGTAGGTCATGAATAATCGGATATTCACGTTCTGATATTGTATTCATGCGCACTAAGTCACAAGAGAATAATAACCTTACTAATTCTATTTCACTTACAACACAACAGTAAATTATTTTTTAAAGTCTAGTTAAAACTTTCTAGATCTATATTAATTTTGCATCCTTTGCTTTGCCTTATCTGATAAATAACTGATGCAATTGCATTCTACAATTTAGTATAAGGCTAACTTATTATCAGTATGTACCTAATAATAGAAATCGGGAATTCCTTAAATGACCAGTTTAAAACGTCACATTAGTATTTACCAGAAGTACACGATGTCAGCAGTGAAGGCATAAAAATGAACACACCATTCACTGCTTTTACATTCGAATGGGGTCGTGTAGTTATAGTGTAGGCCTTAAGCTTACTAAAAATGATGTATAATGCAGTATACTGTACTATATCCCTTCATATCTAGAACACAAACCCAGTAACAAATTAATATTATTTGGAAACATTTTTGTCCTAAACCTTAACACATACAGAACATGATACACCATTTTAGAAAAAAAAACACACATGAAGTTTGACCAAGGGCGTCCCTTTATGGGCTACTGCTACACAAAAATAATTCAAAGAACGGGGTACAGGATAACGCAGATGATGGGCGAGTCATTTTATTAAACGGTTTAACATTAGGGGGGCGTTGGTTGTTAAACGGTCTAACATTAGGGGGGGGGGGCGTTGGTTGTTAAACGGTCTAACATTAGGGAGCATTGGTTATTAAACGGTCTAACATTAGGTGGTATGGGCCATTAAGCGGTCTAACATTAGGTGGTATTGGTCATTAAACGGTCTAACATTAGGTGGTATGGGCCATTAAACGGTCTAACATAAGGGGGCGTTGGTTATTAGGAAGTCAGCAGCCGAATGTAAACCATGTTCTAAAAGATTTAGATATCCTGACTTCTAATACCGCATGTGTTTGGGCTAGACATTACTCATTTAACTCAGTTGTATAGCTTGGGGTAACTATTACTTATTTAACTCAGTTGTAAAGCTTGCTGTCACTGCACGATCATCAGCATCTGGAGAGTCCTGTAGGTCCCTGATGTAGGAGACATTCACATGTAGGTGACATTCACACTGCCTTCTGCTTCCTGTCACTGACGAGATATATTCTTGGTTCATCAATGAACAGGTCTCAGTTCTGACACAAAAGGTACACATTTTGTAAAGGTACATCCAATGAACGGGTCTCTCTCTCTCTCTAGGCAGTCTCACATTGATTCATTCAATGAACAGTTCTCAGTTCTGACACAAAAAGTACATATTTTGTAAAGGTACACACAAGGACTGAGTAGACTCAATACCTTCCAGCAATCTGAGATGCGAACTGAAGTCTACAGCTTGGTCGCACAATGCCACATAACTCCCTTAGTCTACTCTTCAATTAGTAAATTATGGAAATAATGAACAGAACACACTTTTATTTTTTTGTCAACAATTATTTTATATGAACGCCATTTGTCGTAGCAAAAAAAAAAAAGACATGAAGAAGCTTCTGGCCGAAAAATAAAGTGGCCAGATTTCATACAATGCTAGCCGAAAATTAAGTGGCCAAAGTTTAGATATGTTTGTAAACACTCCGAACGCCTGCTGCAAACACCAGCCACGCCCATGTCCTGAAAGACCACACCCCTGTTCTAAAGGATCCGCCCCCGTTGGTTGAGTACTGCCTCTTGCACTGGTCTGTGGTCACTAGCTTGTTGAGGAAATTGTGCTCCGATAGACAGGCCCTGGGAACATACAACTGTCAGGTTCTGGGGAACATAGTCATGCCCTGGGGAACATATTGTCATGCCCTGGGAAACATATTGTCATGCCCTGGGAAACATATTGTCATGCCCTGGGGAACATATTGTCATGCCCATGGGGAACATATTGTCATGCCCATGGGGAACATATTGTCATGCCCTGGGGAACATAGTCATGCCCTGGGGAACATATTGTCATGCCCTGGGGAACATGTCATTGTCATGCCCTGGGGAACATTTTGTTAGGTTCTGGGGAACACATTCTCAGGCAGGCCTAGACAAAATCATTGACTTTGTTTGATATTTCAAATTGTCTCCCATCCAACGTAGTACAACAATAGCATATCAATCATTAGATGAAAATAACAACACAACAATCATTAGATGAAAATAACAACACAACAATCATTAGATGAAAATAACAACACAACAATCATTAGATGAAAATAACAACACAACAATCATTAGATGAAAATAACAACACAACAATCATTAGATGAAAATAACAACACAACAATCATTAGATGAAAATAACAACACAAAAATCATTAGATGAAAATAACAACACAACAATAGGATGAAAATAACAACACAATAGTCATTAGATGACAATAACAACACAACAATCATAGAGTGGAATAGAACCCCAGCCTACAATTATAAAAAAAACAACAACTAAGGCTGAGGTTATTTATTGACTATTGTCGACACCAGCTCCCTGCGTGATGGAAGGTCTCAGTTGTGTCGACATCAACATCAGAGATCTAGCAGCATTGAACTAGGGGACACAACTTTTTATCTTAACACACACTCTCATGTAAACAATGGACAAAACAGGGCTATCGAAAAATCTAAACTCGACATATTTTGTACATTTTTAACCTATTGAATAAACAAACACAACTTACGGCCCAAGACGAGCCAACTTGTAGAGGAAAAACGTGTCGTATTTTGGGTTACATTTGGTGTACTGGGCCTGGATGCACTTCATGTAGTCTAGTGACAGCCTGGGGAACATAGACAGGGAACATATGACGTTATGGGGAACAGAGACAGGGAACATATGACGGTATGGGGAACAGAGACAGGGAACATATGACGGTCTGGGGAACAGAGACAGGGAACATATGACAGTCTGGTTAATAGCGACAGGGAACATATGACGGCCTAGGGAACAGAGACAGGGAACATATGACGGCCTAGGGAACAGAGACAGTGAGCATATGACGGTCTGTGGAACAGAGACAGGGAACATATGACGGTGTGGGGAACATACAGGGAACATATGACGGTATGGGGAACAGAGACAAGGAACATATGACGGTATGGGGAACAGAGACAGGTAACATATGACGGTCTAGGGAACAGAGACAGGGAACATATGACGGTCTGGGGAACAGAGACAGGGAACATATGACAGTATGGGGAGCAGAGACAGGGAACATATGACGGTCTGGGGAACAGAGACAGGGAACATGCCGGTCTGGGGAACTGAGACAGGGAACATATGACGGTCTGGGGAACAGAGACCGACACTGGGAATTGACCACAAGGGTTAATATTTTAAAGTTATGTTAAATTTTTTGTTTATTTTAGAAGTGGATTAAACCGGGAGTAATCTCCCCTAAACTTTCTCGAATATTCTAATATAACACTACGTGGGATGGCAACTCGGAATATAGACATGATTTTTAATTACTTAAACTTTTAAAAATAGAATAGAATCTCGTAGAAAAAAGAATTGCGCACCAAGTGAACGCCAAATAAAGATGTGCATAATAGAGCGCAATATTATTAGTACTTTATAAATTTGACAGAAGGTAGAGAATTAGATCCTTTACTTACATGTAAAATTTCATTTATCTATCTGAAATAGTACCCAGGTTATAGGCTTTTGAAAAATTCAAAGTAGAAAAAGTACCACTTCCGGTTGTCGGAAATCGCTTAAAATTTGATAAGGATCTACGATTTTGATAAAATACTTATATGTGAAATTTCATCAACCTAGCTCTAACGGTACTCAAGTTATCGTGTTTACACACACACACACATAGACACACAGACATACGGACAAGATTGCAAAATTATGTTTTTTCCGTATCAGTGAGGTGTAAAACGTCGAGATTTGTAAAAATCTTGATTTTTTTTGCACGATTACAAGACTTTCTCTATAGTTCGTATATAAAAGAAAGTAAAAAAAAATATTAAAAGCTTACCATTCTAATTTTTCTAAACCATATTTATTTTTTACCAGGTATGACGACAGGTATGACGTCAGGTATTAATTACACAGACAAGTTGATTTACGAATAATCAAATAAAAACTTTCCAGTGATTTGTTTTTACATTTTTTTCGTTGTATCGGATTTTATGATGCCTGATGAAGTGGTTGGAAATGAAGTTGAGATAATTCTTGCCATACTTGCAGGAATGTTTCTCAATGTCGGCCTGATTGTTGGCAGCAAAAGCTGCTTCCAGGTCTTTAAGTCTGTCGGCTGAGGTGGCGTCGATCTCACACTGCCGAGTGTCAGCGGCCTTTTCACAGTCAGACCTGAGCTTGAAGTCCTCTCTTAGGAACTCGATCACTGGGGGAAGTCACATGACATCTATCAAATCTGGTAACATGACATCTATCAAATCTGGTAACATGACATCTATCAAATCTGGTAACATGACATCTATCAAATCTGGTAACATGCCATCTATCAAATCTGGTAACATGACATCTATCAAATCTGGTAACATGCCATCTATCAAATCTGGTAACATGACATCTATCAAATCTGGTAACATGACATCTATCAAATCTGGTAACATGACATCTATCAAATCTGGTAACATGATATCTATCAAATCTGGTAACATGACGTCTATCAAATCTGGTAACATGCCATCTATCAAATCTGGTAACATGACATCTATCAAATCTGGTAACATGACATCTATCAAATCTGGTAACATGACATCTATCAAATCTGGTAACATGACATCTATCAAATCTGGTAACATGACATCTATCAAATCTGGTAACATGACATCTATCAAATCTGGTAACATGACATCTATCAAATCTGGTAACATGACATCTATCAAATCTGATAACATGCCATCTATCAAATCTGGTAACATGACATCTATCAAATCTGGTAACATGACATCCATCAAATCTGGTAACATGACATCCATCAAATCTGGTAACATGACATCTATCAAATCTGGTAACATGACATCTATCAAATCTGGTAACATGACATCCATCAAATCTGGTAACATGACATCTATCAAATCTGGTAACATGACATCTATCAAATCTGGTAACATGACATCTATCAAATCTGGTAACATGACATCTATCAAATCTGGTAACATGACATCTATCAAATCTGGTAACATGACATCTATCAAATCTGGTAACATGACATCTATCAAATCTGGTAACATGACATCTATCAAATCTGGTAACATGACATCTATCAAATCTGGTAACATGCCATCTATCAAATCTGGTAACATGACATCTATCAAATCTGGTAACATGACATCCATCAAATCTGGTAACATGACATCCATCAAATCTGGTAACATGACATCTATCAAATCTGGTAACATGACATCTATCAAATCTGGTAACATGACATCCATCAAATCTGGTAACATGACATCCATCAAATCTGGTAACATGACATCTATCAAATCTGGTAACATGACATCTATCAAATCTGGTAACATGGCATCTATCAAATCTGGTAACATGACATCCAACAAATTTGGTAACATGACATCCATCAAATCTGGTAACATGACATCTATCAAATCTGGTAACATGACATCTATCAAATCTGGTAACATGACGTCTATCAAATCTGGTAACATGACATCTATCAAATCTGGTAACATGACATCTATCAAATCTGGTAACATGACATCTATCAAATCTGGTAACATGACATCCATCAAATCTGGTAACATGACATCTATCAAATCTGGTAACATGACATCTATCAAATCTGGTGACATGACATAAAAATCACTGGCCAGTTTTAAGATCAGATCTGGTAACACCCAAACGTCCAAAGTTTACTTACACCCAAACGTCCATAGTTTACTTACACCCAAACGTCCAAAGTTTACTTACACCCAAACGTCCAAAGTTTACTTACACCCAAACGTCCAAAGTTTACTTACAATCAAACGTCCAAAGTTTACTTACATCCAGACTTCCAAAGTTTACTTACATCCAAACGTCCAAAGTTTACTTACATACAGACGTCCAAAGTTTACTTACACCCAAACGTCCAAAGTTTGCTTACAATCAAACGTCCAAAGTTTACTTACATCCAAACGTCAAAAGTGTACTTACAATTAAACGTCCAAAGTTTACTTACACCCAAACATCCAAAGTTTACTTACCTTTACTTACACCCACGTCCAAAGTTTACTTACACCCACGTCCAAAGTTTACTTACACCCAAACGTCCAAAGTTTACTTACACCCAAACGTCCAAAGTTTACTTACACACAAACGTACAAAGTTTACTTACACCCAAACGTCCAAAGTTTACTTACACCCAAACGTCCAAAGTTTACTTACAAGCAAACGTCCAAAGTTTACTTACACACAGACGTCCAAAGTTTACTTACACCCAAACGTCCAAAGTTTACTTACACCCAAACGTCCAAAGTTTACTTACACCCAAACGTCCAAAGTTTACTTACACCCAAACGTCCAAAGTTTACTTACACCCAAACGTCCAAAGTTTACTTACACCCAAACGTCAAAAGTTTACTTACACCCAAACGTCAAAAGTTTACTTACATCCAAACGTCCAAAGATTACTTCACCCAGACGTCCAAAGTTTACTTACACCCAAACGTCCAAAGTTTACTTACATACAGACGTCCAAAGTTTACTTACACCCAAACGTCCAAACTTTACTTACACCCAAACGTCCAAAGTTTACTTACACCCAAACGTCCAAAGTTTACTTACACCCAAACGTCCAAAGTTTACTTACACCCAAACGTCCAAAGTTTACTACACCCAAAAGTCCAAAGTTTACTTACACCCAAACGTCCAAAGTTTACTTACACCCAAACGTCCAAACTTTACTTACACCCAAACGTCCAAAGTTTACTTACATCCAAACGTCCAAAGTTTACTTACACACAAACGTCCAAAGTTTACTAACACCCAAACGTCTAAAGTTTACTTACACCCAAACGTCCAAAGTTTACTTACACCCAAACGTCTAAAGTTTACTTACACGGAAACGTCCCCTGTGTACAAAAGAGGTAGGCCGCACTCTCCAGGTCATACGGGTTAGGAAATTGTTTTTCGAAGAGCTTAACGGCTGACGTCTCGTCCTGTTGGGTTTGGCTTCGTCTCGCCAGTAGACATTCAGTGTAGCCGTTGGGGTCACTTGGGTTAGGGGGGGGGTGGGGCAGATGGTGTAGGGTTTTAGTCAAAAAGGTGGGAAGGGGCTTAGTGGAAGTTATTCAAAACTAAAAGTAGGCAGATAAATAATCAGGGGGGCGGTGTGGATTTAAGGGGGTGGGGGGGGGGTGGGGGTGTAGTAGGGTTGGGTGGAATTGTTGGAGGTGAGAAGAACTTTTAACTTACAATTTAAAATCAGTAACGTGTGATGGTAGACAAAAATTGTGTAAACTGACTGTAAACTGATTTGGGAGCAGGTTTTACCTGCCTGGATGTGGAAACAGGATTTACCTGCAGAACTTGATAACCTGGTAAACACTTAATTTCGGGATGACTCGCTCGTTATCAGGCAGCTTTCTGGCGCAGTATTCGTCTAGTGTATGTAGAGTCAAGGCTAGAGGAAAACATGCATCAGTGTACCAGAAGTGTGATGCAGTATTCGTCTAGTGTATGTAGAGTCAAAGCTAGAGGAAGTAGAGTCAAAGCTAGAGGAAAACATGCATCAGTGTACCAGAAGTGTGATGCAGTATTCATCTATGTAGAGTCAAGGTTAGAGGAAGTAGAGTCAAGGCTAGAGGAAAACATGCATCAGTGTACCAACAGTATGTCGCAGTATTCGTCTAGTGTATGTAGAGTCAAAGCTAGAGGAAGTAGAGTCAAGGCTAGAGGAAAACATGCATCAGTGTACCAACAGTATGTCGCAGTATTCGTCTAGTGTATGTAGAGTCAAAGCTAGAGGAAGTAGAGTCAAGGCTTACAAATTTTGAATGAAATCAAACTTTCACCAATGTTTGATTTTCAAGTTGCTGAATCATCTGACGTGAGTTCGTGTTAGCAGTTGCTTGTTTGCTTGTCTTTGTGAAATATATTCATTCAGGTTATAGCAAAGAAGAGTTGATATTTTGTGAAGATATCATGTAGGAAATGAATACGTTTTTTTTAAAAAAAACCTGGATGATTAAAATGGGAAAACTTCTGTAGGATTTGTACGGATGTGCGTCATATTTGGGTCAAAATCTGGCTTTCAGAAAAAAGTAAAAAAAATCAGCTCCCTAACCAAGGGGAATCCACTGCATGATTCACCGGTATGCCCTCGCCAGCAAGACTCACCCAACTCTATTGCTAATAAAAGTGGTAAATTATATTAAATCTGGATCTCTTAACACCTGTCTGTTTAAAGAACAGTGCAAAGACGTAAATAAAGATCACGAGGTTCTACATTGCAGTACGCTGGCTGTGAATCATGTTTTTGAATTGAAAGATGAAATCAAGTTGTTCTTGGAAGTGCAAGAGAAGCAAAACCCTTTTGATGTACTTTAACGACTAAGAGTGGTTGGAGAGAGTATCATACCTAGCAGATACATTCGAACAGCAACATAAGCTTAAACTGAAAATGAACGAATATTATCTCTTTTCTTAACAATCTCTTGGCGTTTTATCAATGCTGCAAATTTGGCGAAGAATAATAAATATTGAAATAATTGCCATGTTTGAGAAACTCTGTAGTGTGGCAGATGAATCTGATTATGAGATAAAGAAAAATTTGAAAGAGGATTCTGGGCATCTTAAATCTCTTAAATTTTCAGGCTAAGTTTACTTAAAGGCAATTATGAAGGCAAAAATTGACAAAGAACACATTTTATAACCTTGTCAAATAATGATTGGAGATCAATTTGTATCTTTATTCCTTTTCAATATTCCTTTATACATTAATCTCATGAATTCTAAAATCTAGAGCTATTCCCCACATACCTTAATCTATAATAATCTAGATCTAGCATCTCTATCTGATACTATTCCACCTGGATCTAGAGCAGAATACTCACATCCTGAAAACTGTGTACCCAGTACCGTTAGTGTGAGGGCTAGCAGAGACAGCTTCATAGTAACAGCCGGCTCGCCGCTTGATATCAAAGTCTAACCAAAACAAACAGCTCGCCGCTTGATATCAAAGTCTAACCAAAACAAACAGCTCGCTGCTTGATATCAAAGTCTAACCAAAACAAACGTCTCTAGCTTAGAAGTTATTTTTATCTCACCTGGAAGTGGCGTGTGTTTTTGTAACGTGTTCTGGTGCTAATATGTCACTTGCACACCATTGCACACCAAATAACGATGGTTGTCTTTTCTTGACATCATTTCGATGTACCCAGTACCGTTAGTGTGAGGGCTAGCAGAGACAGCTTCATAGTAACAGCCGGCTCGCCGCTTGATATCAAAGTCTAACCAAAACAAACAGCTCGCCGCTTGATATCAAAGTCTAACCAAAACAAACAGCTCGCCGCTTGATATCAAAGTCTAACCAAAACAAACAGCTCGCCGCTTGATATCAAAGTCTAACCAAAACAAACAGCTCGCCGCTTGATATCAAAGTCTAACCAAAACAAACAGCTCGGCGCTTGATATCAAAGTCTAACCAAAACAAACAGCTCGCCGCTTGATATCAAAGTCTAACCAAAACAAACAGCTCGCTGCTTGATATCAAAGTCTAACCAAAACAAACGTCTCTAGCTTAGAAGTTATTTTTATCTCACCTGGAAGTGGCGTGTGTTTTTGTAACGTGTTCTGGTGCTAATATGTCACTTGCACACCATTGCACACCAAATACCAATGGTTGTCTTTTCTTGACATTTGGATGTATTCAGTGATTGGTGACCGAGAGGGGTGGGGGTGTGTGTGTGTACAGACATCAACTTGATTTAGTTTCATCTGGTTTCAAGTTTTTGTGCTGGCCTTTACAAGTTTCGATTAATGATAATTTATTTTGTGTTTTTGGTTGTGTATTATGGTATTTAAAATAAACCGGGAGTGATCTCCCCTAAACTTTCTCGAATATTCTTATATAAAACAACAGGGGATGGGAACTCGGGCTATAGACATGATTTTTAATCCATTTTAAATACTTAAAGTTTTAAAAATAGAATAAAATCTCGTAGACAAATTAATTGCACACCAAGTGAACGCCAAATAAAAAGTGCATAATAGTGCGCAATTTTATTAGTACTTTAAAAATTTACATTAGTTTTTTGAGAAATCGGAAGTAGCGTAAATTACTACTTCCGGTCAACGGAAATTACTCAAAATTTAACAGAAGGTAGAGAATTAGATCTTTTACTTACATGTGAAATTTCATTTATCTATCTGAAATAGTACTTAAGTTATAGGCTTTTGAAAAATTCAAAGTAGGAAAAGTACCACTTCCGGTTATCGGAAATCGCTCAAAAGTTGATACGGATCTACGATTTTGATAAAATACTTATATATGAAATTTCATCAACCTAGCTGTAACGGTACTCAAGTTATCGTGTTTACACACGGACACACACACAGACAGACAGACACACAGACATACGGACAGAATTGCAAAGCCCAGTTTTTCAGACTGGATTACGCATAAAACCTCTTAATTTTGCTAAATCTGGATTGATAATTTTTGCCCGATTAAAATAAGTACTCTATTCTTCGGATGTGATGAAGGACTGAGGTGTAAAACGGTGAAAATCGTTAAAATTTCAAGTGATTTTTGTGCACGATTACAATACTTTCTCTATACTTCGTATATACGAGAAAGTAAAAAGTCAACTTATTTGGCACACAGAAAATTGCCAGATATTTTGTGATTATCTGAATGATAAACATGAAATGAAAAATAACAACGAGGTCTTTGAAATAGCTAAGTGTTTTATTACATCACCGATACACACATTATTTTTATATGCAAGATGTCAAGTGCAAAATGTCAAAAATTACGTCCTTATCTACCCTCAACTTTATTTTATACACCAACATTTGTATATTTTATTAAATACAAAGTAATAAAATAGGTGTTCAAATATAGAAGCAAATACTTTTCAAATGATTTAACTGATATAAGAACCACACATAACATTCAACTAGTGCAAAACATTTAATAGAAGGTGGTAGTGGTAGGATGAAGCGACGCCACTTGAATTGGTATGCCGTAAAGTAGAACTCATAAATGATTCGAAAAGTTTTAAATATTATCTTACATCTATATACTGCTTAATGTTTAAATCAATGTTTGTATTCATTTTATTTTTTTACCCAGAAATATTTTTTTTTGTCTGAAAAAAAGGAGAGATATGGTGACTTAATTAGATGGTGACATAATTAGATGGTGACATGATTAGATGGTGACATGATAAGTTGGTGACATAATTAGATGGTGACATGATTAGATGGTGACATAATTAGATGATGACATAATTAGACGGTGACATGATTAGATAGTTTCGTGACTATATTGTAATACGATTAGATGGTGAATTGATTGGATGGTGACATGATTGGATGATAGCAAAACTTATCTCTTTGAATAAGACCGGATGTGTATACCACGTGTTCTCTCTAGGCAGCCTCATATTGATTCATTCAGTTCTGACACAAAAAGTACGCACTTTGTAAAGGTACACACAAGGACTGAGTACACTCAATACCTTCCAGCAATCTGAGATGTGAACTGAAGTCTACAGCTTGGTCGCACTATGCCACATAACTCCCTTAGTCTACTCATTAATCTTCAATTAGTAAATTATGGAAATAATGAACAGAACACACTTTTATTTTTTTGTCAACATTTATTTTATACGAACGCCATTTGCCGTAGCAAAAAAAAAAAGACGTAAAGAAACTTCTGGCTGTTGAAATATATTTTAATTAAAGATAAGAGAATAACAAACAGGAGCAAAGAGATTTAAAAAAATATTTTGTTCTCCACCTCTGTAAGAATAAAAACAACAATTGGAATATTAAATATGTAGCTAAAGAATATCAGTAGTGGTGGTTTGTTAGCGTGGATGATTTGATCTTGCTGAGTCAATTATCAGCCACAACTTCTACTTCTAGGATTGAACAACCAAGAAATATCCCAGGTTACATGTAATCCACAGGGATGTGGATAGGCTAGGGTTATAAAAAGGGATAAGGATCAGGAAGGGTTTGGATGAGGGATAGGGTTAAGGATAGGGTTAATGATAGTCGAGTTGCTCATATTAGCAATTTTAAAGACTACTTTTTTTTCAAACGTTTCAAGAATAAAATGCTTGATTTAAGTAAATAGTAGGGGAAATAAATAGATACAGTGTTAGCCGAAAAAAATTGTATCGAGATTTCAAACAATTAGGCTAAAAAATAAAGTGGCCGTATTTCATACAATCTGAGCCGAAAATTAAGTGGCCAAAGTTAAGATATGTTTGTAAACACTCCGAACGCCTGCTGCAAACACCAGCCACGCCCATGTCCTGAAAGACCACACCCCTGTTCTAAAGGATCCGCCTCCGCTGGTTGAGTACTGACTCTTGCACTGGTCTGTGGTCACTAGCTTGTTGAGGAAGTTGTGCTCAGATAGGCAGACCCTGGGGAAAATATTGTCATGCACTGGGGAACATATCATTGTCATACACTGGGAACATATCATTGTCATGCCCTGGGGAACATATCATTGTCATACACTGGGAACATATCATTGTCATGCCCTGGGGAACATATCATTGTCATACACTGGGAACATATCATTGTCATGCCCTGGGGAACATATCATTGTCATACACTGGGAACATATCATTGTCATGCCCTGGGGAACATATCATTGTCATACACTGGGAACATATCATTGTCATGCCCTGGGGAACATATCATTGTCATGCACTGGGAACATATCATTGTCATGCCCTGGGGAACATATCATTGTCATGCACTGGGAACATATCATTGTCAAGCCCTGGGGAACATATCATTGTCATGCACTGGGAACATATCATTGTCATGCCCTGGGGAACATATCATTGTCATGCACTGGGAACATATCATTGTCAAGCCCTGGGGAACATATCATTGTCAAGCCCTGGGGAACATGTTGTGAGGTTCTGGGGAACATATTCTCTGGCAGGCCTAGACAAAATCATTGACTTTGTTTGATATTTCATATTGTCTCCCATCCAACGTAGTACAACAACAGCATATCAATCATTAGATGAAAATAACAACACAACAATCGTTAGATGACAATAACAACACAACAGTCATAGAGTGGAATAGAAACCCAGCCCACAATTATAAAACAAGTAATTAAAAAAAGTCTAGTGACAATTTTAGCGCAATTTCCTTGTGTTATCTAAAAATAGCTCTGTCGTAGCGTAAATTAAGAGCAGGGCTAGTAAAACCATTGGTTAGTTATTAAAACGTTTTTTATTAAAAAAAATTTCAGTATTTTACATGTTTTATTTACAATAGAGTAACATGACTAAAAACCATTGCGCGCCCAGCTACCGAACGTGACGTCGCAGCCATTGAACGTGATCGCGCAGCTATTGAACGTGATGACGCATGTGGTGTGGTTGCATAAAATGCCTACTAATTCGGTCCAAATTTTAATTAATTCAAAAATTTTTTTGTGACCAAACGAAATGATATTTTTGAAAACTTTCTTCGGCAATATTGTTCTAAATTATGGCCGGAATCGATTGGTACATGATTCAAGTCGCTAAGTGGTCTGGTTGCTGAGATATGGGCCAAAAACTGCATTTTCCCGAGGTTTTTTGGCTTTTCCGGGAAATCCATGAAAGAAACCCGTAATTTTTATGGCCTATGCTCATTCTCGTAACTTGCTTAACATAATCGCTTTTGGAACTAGTCATCGATATTGCTTCGTTGAGGAGGAGATACGACTTAAAGCTGCGGACACACATCCATACATCCATCCATCCATTCATCCAGAAATGACGGGTTAATAAACGCAATTCTCCAGAATGGAAATTGCGCTAAAAACAACAACTAAGGCTGAGGTTATTTATTGACTATTGTCGCCACCAGCTCTCTGCGTGATGGAAGGTCTCAGTTGTGTCGACATCAACATCAGAGATCTAGCAGCATTGAACTAGGGGACACAACTTTTTATCTTAACACACACTCTCATGTAAACAATGGACAAAACAGGGCTATCGAAAAATCTAAACTCGACATATTTTGTACATTTTTAACCTATTGAATACACAAACACAACTTACGGCCCAAGACGAGCCAACTTGTAGAGGAAAAACGTGTCGTATTTTGGGTTACATTTGGTGTACTGGGCATGGATGCACTTCATGTAGTCTAGTGACAGCCTGGGGAACATAGACAGGGAACATATGACGTTATGGGGAACAGACAGGGAACATATAACGGCTTGGGGAACAGAGACAGGGAACATACGACTGTCTGGGGAACAGAGATATGGAACATACGACGGTCTGGGGAACAGAGACAGGGAACATATGACGGTCTGGGGAACAGACAGGGAACATATGACGGTCTAAGGAACAGAGATAGGGAACATATGACAGTCTGGGGAACAGAGACAGGGAACATATGACGGTCTGGGGAACTGAGACAGGGAACATGACAGTATGGGGAACAGAGACAGGGAACATATGACGGTCTGGGGAACAGAGACCGGGAACATATGACGGTCTGGGGAACAGAGACAGGGAACATATGACAGTCTGGGGAACAGATACTGACACTGGGAATTAACCACAGGTATGACGACAGTATGACGTCAGGTATGACGACAGGTATGAAGACAGGCATTACAACAGACGACAGGTATGAAGACATGAATTACAACAGACTTGCAAATAATCAAATAAAAACTTTCCAGTGATTTGCTTTTAAATTTTTTTCGTTGTATCGGATTTTATGTTGCCTGATGAAGTGGTTGGAAATGAAGTTGAGATAATTCTTGCCATACTTGCAGGAATGTTTCTCAATGTCGGCCTGATTGTTGGCAGCAAAAGCTGCTTCCAGGTCTTTAAGTCTGTCGGCTGAGGTGGCGTCGATCTCACACTGCCGAGTGTCAGCGGCCTTTTCACAGTCAGACCTGAGCTTGAAGTCCTCTCTTAGAAACTCGATCACTGGGGGAAGTCACATGACATCTATCAAATCTGGTAACATGACATCTATCAAATCTGGTAACATGACATCTATCAAATCTGGTAACATGACATCTATCAAATCTGGTAACATGACATCTATCAAATCTGGTAACATGACATCTATCAAATCTGGTAACATGACATCTATCAAATCTGGTAACATGACATCTATCAAATCTGGTAACATGACATCTATCAAATCTGGTAACATGACATCTATCAAATCTGGTAACATGACATCTATCAAATCTGGTATCATGACATCCATCAAATCTGGTAACATGACATCTATCAAATCTGGTAACATGACATCTATCAAATCTGGTAACATGACATCTATCAAATCTGGTAACATGACATCTATCAAATCTGGTAACATGACATCTATCAAATCTGGTAACATGACATCTATCAAATCTGGTAACATGACATCTATCAAATCTGGTAACATGACATCTATCAAATCTGGTAACATGACATCTATCAAATCTGGTAACATGACATCTATCAAATCTGGTAACATGACATCTATCGAGTCTGGAAACATGACATCTATTAAATCTGGTAACATGACATCTATCGACTCTGGTAACATGACATCTATCAAATCTGGTAACATGACATCCATTAAATCTAGTAACATGACATCTATCAAATCTGGTAACATGACATCCATGAAATCTGGTAACATGACATCCATCAAATCTGGTAACATGACATCTATCAAATCTGGTAACATGACATCTATCGAATCTGGTAACATGACATCTATCAAATCTGGTAACATGACATCTATCAAATCTGGTCACATGACATCTATCAAATCTGGTAACATGACATCTATCAAATATGGTAACATGACATCTATCAAGTCTGGTAACATGACATCTATAAAATCTGGTAACATGACATCTATCAAATCTGGTAACATGACATCTATCAAATCTGATAAGATGACATCTATCAAATCTGGTAACATGACATCTATCAAATCTGGTAACATGACATCTATCAAATCTGGTAAAATGACATCTATCAAATCTGGTTACATGACATCAAAACCACTGGCCAGTTTTAAGATCAGATCTGGTAACACCCAAACGTCCAAAGTTTACTTACATCCAAACGTCCAAAGTTTACTTACACCAAAAGGTCCAAAGTTTACTTACACCAAAAGGTCCAAAGTTTACTTACACCCAAACGTCCAAACTTTACTTACCTTTACTTACACCCAAAGGTCCAAAGTTTACTTACCTTTACTTACACACAAAGGTCCAAAGTTTACTTACCTTTACTTACACCCAAACGTCCAAAGTTTACTTACACCCAAACGTCCAAAGTTTACTTACATCCAAACGTCCAAAGTTTACTTACACGGAAATGTCCCCTGTGTACAGAAGAGGTAGGCCGCACTCTCCAGGTCATACGGGTTAGGAAATTGTTTTTCGAAGAGTTTAACGGCTGACGTCTCGTCCTGTTGGGTTTGGCTTCGTCTCGCCAGTAGACATTCAGTGTAGCCGGTGGGGTCACTGGGGGTTAGGAGGGGTGGGGCAGATGGTGTAGGGTTTTAGTCAAAAGGGTGGGGAGGGGGTTAGTGGTAGTTATTCAAAACTAAAAGTAGGCAGATAAATAATCATGGGGGGGGGGGTGGGCGTTGGGTTGGATTTAAGGGGGTGGGGGGGGGGGGGTGGGGGTGTAGTAGGTTTGGGTGGAATTGTTTGAGGTGAGAAGAACTTTTAACTTACAATTTAAAATCAGTAACGTGTGATGGTAGACAAAAATTGTGTAAACTGACTGTAAACTGATTTGGGAGCAGGTTTTACCTGCCTGGATGTGGAAACAGGATTTACCTGCAGAACTTGATAACCTGGTAAACACTTAATTTCGGGATGACTCGCTCGTTATCAGGCAGCTTTCTGGCGCAGTATTCGTCTAGTGTATGTAGAGTCAAAGCTAGAGGAAGTAGAGTCAAAGCTAGAGGAAAACATGCATCAGTGTACCAGAAGTGTGATGCAGTATTCCTCTATGTAGAGTCAAGGCTAGAGGAAGTAGAGTCAAGGTTAGAGGAAAATATGCATCAGTGTACCAGAAGTGTGATGCAGTATTCGTCTAGTCCATGGGTTCCCAAACTGGGGGTTGCGGCCCCCAAGGGGGTCGCGCAGGGCTTTCTGGGTGAGGGGGGGGGGGTGTCGCCACCTCTAGACTAAACCTTAGCAATGAAAAAAAATATATTTAGAAATATATAGAAAATTCGGCTTTACTAACATCACTGGAAATGGAATAGAGAATAAACACTGTGTACTATGCAAAGTTGTTATCATTCACGAGTCTATACAACTTTCAAAACTATAACGTCATTCAAGACTAGTCAATCAGAACACACCAAAATAGATATGGAGTTCTCTCGTCGGCTTGAAGCTAGTTGCAAACGTCAGAGACTTGATCGAACAAGAATTTTTCACCAAGAAAACACAGCACTATATGAAGTCGCATTAGAAATTGCCAAGCACGACAAACGCACAATAGGAGAAAATCTCATCAAACCTTGTATGTTGTAGATGGTAAAACTTCTTCTTCTTCTTCGTTCTTAATTGTGAACATGGTGGAGGACTCAGACAACAAGTCCAACTTCGTGGACAAACCGGACTGTGGTCTCCAGTTTGGCAGGTGCCCCATATAATTTTTCCCTGAGTGGGGTGGGCAGGGGCCAGTGTCTGACTCGTGCCTGGCTATACAAAGTACATTCCTTGAGTACGTGCTCCGTATTTTCCGGATGGTAAAACTAATTCTTGGGATTCCAGTGTAGTAAAGATGCAACAAATATCTCTTTATAATATATTCATTCAGATGATAGCAAAGAAGAGTTGATATTTTGTGAAGATATCAAGTAGGAAATGAATACGTTTTTTTTAAAAAAAAAACCTGGATGATTAAAATGGGAAAACATCTGTAGGATTTGTACGGATGTGCGTCATATTTGGGTCAAAATCTGGCTTTCAGAAAAAAAGTAAAAAAAATCAGCTCCCTAACCAAGGGGAATCCACTGCATGATTCACCGGTATGCCCTCGCCAGCAAGACTCACCCGACTCTATTGCTAATAAAAGTGGTAAATTATATTAAATCTGGATATCTTAACACCTGTCTGTTTAAAGAACAGTGCAAAGACGTGAATAAAGATCACGAGGTTCTACATTGCAGTACGCCGGCTGTCAATAGTAAATGTGAATCATGTTTCTGAATTGAAAGATGAAATCAAGTTGTTCTTGGAAGTGCAAGAGAAGCAAAACCCTTTTGATGTACTTTAACGACTAAGAGTGGTTGGAGAGAGTATCTTACCTAGCAGATACATTCGAACAGCAACATAAGCTTAAACTGAAAATGAACGAATATTATCTCTTTTCATAATAATCTCTTGGCGTTTTATCAATGCTGCAAATTTGGCGAAGAATAATAAATATTGAAATAATTGCCATGTTTGAGAAACTCTGTAGTGTGGTAGATGAATCTGATTATGAGATAAAAAAAATTTGAAAGAGGATTCTGGGCATCTTAAATCTCTTAAATTGTCAGGTTAAGTTTACTTAAAGGCAATTATGAAGGCAAAAATTGACACCAGTAGCGTAGCGAGTGGGGGGGGGGGGGACATATGTCCCCGGGCGCCGAGCTTAGGGGGCGCCAAAATGGGTTGGAAAAATAAATTGAAAGGTTGAGGGGGGGTGCAAATTGAAAATTTGAGGGGGGGGGGTGCAAATCAAAATCTCGAGGGGGGGGGGTGCAAATCGAAAGTTTAAGGGGGTTGGGGGAAAATCAAAATCTCGAGGGGGGGGGGGGTGCAAATCGAAAAGTTTGTCGCTACGCCTCTGATTGACACAGAACACATTTTATAACCTTGTCAAATAATGATTGGAGATCAATTTGTATCTTTATTCCTTTTCAATATTCCTTTATACATTAATCTCATGAATTCTAAAATCTAGAGCTATTCCCCACATACCTTGATCTATAATAATCTAGATCTAGCATCTCTATCTGATACTATTCCACCTAGATCTAGCCGCTCTATCTGATACTATTCCACCAGATCTAGCCTCTTTATCTGACACTATTCCACCTAGATCTAGAGCAGAATACTCACATCCTGAAAACTGTGTACCCAGTACCGTTAGTGTGAGTGCTAGCAGAGACAGCTTCATAGTAACAAACGGCTCGCCGCTTGATATCAAAGTCTAACCAAAACAAACAGCTCGCCGCTTGATATCAAAGTCTAACCAAAACAAACAGCTCGCTGCTTGATATCAAAGTCTAACCAAAACAAACGTCTCTAGCTTAGAAGTTATGTTTATCTCACCTGGAAGTGGCGTGTGTTTTTGTAACGTGTTCTGGTGCTAATATGTCACTTGCACACCATTGCACACCAAATACCAATGGTTGTCTTTTCTTGACATTTGGATGTATTCAGTGGTTGGTGACCGAGAGGGGTGGGGGTGTGTGTGTGTACATACAGCAACTTGATTTAGTTTCATCTGGTTTCAAGTTTTTGTGCTGGCCTTTACAAGTTTCGATTAATGATAATTTATTTTGTGTTTTTGGTTGTGTATTATGGTATTTAAAAAAAAGTCATCTTATTTGGCACACAGAAAATTGCCAGATATTTTGTGATTATCTGAATGATAAACATGACATGAAAAACAACAACGAGGTCTTTGAAATAGCTGAGTGTTTTATTACATCACCGATACACACATCATTTTTATATGCAAGATGTCAAGTGCAAGATGTCAAAAAGTACGTCCTTATCTACCCTCAACTTTATCTTATACACCAACATTTGTATATTTTATTAAATACAAAGTAATAAAATAGGTGTTCAAATATACAAGCAAATACTTTTCAAATGATTTAACTGATATAAGAACCACACATAACATTCAACTAGTGCAAAACATTTAATTTATGACACCAGTTTCTCAGAGTATTTGGGTAGAATGGATACATTGGACATAGTGGATAGCATGGATATAGTGACATTGTGTATATAGATGATATATGGGATAGAGTGGATATAAAGGAGAGTTACGTTACTAGAATCCACCTTCTAACACACAATCAAGTTTAATTATATTGGTCAGTTACACACACACATACATATATATACACACATACATATATACACATACGGACTTTCACAATCTACGTTTAAAAGTCATAATAAGCCATTCACACAAACATACATCCACAACAGATCCATTCGCCCAATTAGATTATTCCAGAAGTCAAGATTCCTAGTGATTCATTGGGCAGGTGAAGTAGACTTCATATGTTTTTGAACCTCGACAAGGGATGGTGTAGTCAGCACTATGCCCACTAGAAATTATAGCCAACAAGCATGATGGTTTAATTTTATTAACGTACTATATCTTCTCTACCCTACAGGGTAGACAATATAAAGGGAATTAACCCGCAACATGAGCAGCCGCTTTTTTTTAGAATCTACATTATTTTCTCATAGTAATAGACTATTTTAACATAATCCAGTTTTGATAATATCACAAGAATATTTTGGAAACTGAACAAGACAGCATAAAATCTAACAAATAAAGAAAGAAAACATTTACCTTTTCACTACAGGTTGGGTCGTGTTTAAGTTTAAACAAAATTTGTGTTTCAGCAAAAGGAAAATATTCCAACAACGACTTTTAATTTATGGAGACACTAATTTGTCACTAATATTTTTTTGGCTTAAATCGTACGTCTCGTCCTAACTCCAAATTATTTTAAACAGCTTTTTATTTAGAACTGTATTTATTTTCAATATCTGTTTATCTTTGAACTTTCTAGTTTCCATGATACAATTTTGTCAAGAAAGTTTACAAAATTTTAAATTCGCACTTTGTATGACAACTATTCCAGAAGTAGATTGCTTTACTATTAATTAATCTGTTTACAATGCCAATTATCGTAAATACTAAGATGATGAATACATAACAAATTAAATCGCATCGGTTAAAGGGAAATAACCACAAAAATAGAGTGTCACTAATGTGACACGAGTAGGTCACGTTTTAGATGGTCAAGAACAAATGGTGGATTTGAACGACGTGCGTATAAAACATTCAAACTATTTACAGACGTACGAGAAGCGAGCGTTGATGATGTATTGGCCAGCCGTACCACAAGTCGCTGTTCTGTGGCCAGGTGGCCAGAGTTGGCTGTTCTGTGGCCAGGTGGCCAGAGTTGGCTGTTCTGTGGCCAGAGTTGGCTGTTCTGTGGCCAGAGTTGGCTGTTCTGTGGCCAGAGTTGGCTGTTCTGTGGCCAGAGTTGGCTGTTCTGTGGCCAGGTGGCCAGAGTTGGCTGTTCTGTGGCCAGAGTTGGCTGTTCTGTGGCCAGGTGGCCAGAGTTGGCTGTTCTGTGGCCAGAGTTGGCTGTTCTGTGGCCAGGTGGCCAGAGTTCGCTGCCACTTGTCTGAACAGACGGCCTGACCAATCTATGCTGCTTCGGGTGGGGGAGAGGGGAGTCCAGTTTATTGTGCGTGTGTTAGAGTCAACTCTCTATGCATCAAGAAAGATGTTATTTAACAGTTTGATTTGTTGAATAGTTTTACTTGTTAGAGCCTTTAAGTAGGGAATGTTGAATCGTTGATGGTCTCGACAAAAAAAGTCTGGCCACACTCCTCTAAAAACACCTGGCAACGTCCTGATGGAACTGGGTCACCACACCTGGCTCCTGATGGAACTGGGTCACCACACCTGGCATTTTTTCTCAGGGTTCATGGGCGAGTGGCTGGGGCAGTTGAAGGCCCTGGAGAACTCTTGGCTGTTAGACACGGTACCAATCACCCTGAAATGGCAGGTTTTTGTGTGAGAGTGTGAGTCTGTCTGTCTGTCTGTCTATGTCTGTCTCTGTCTGTCTCTGTCTATCCGTCCGTCCGTCCGTCTCTCTGTCGGTCTCTGTTTGTCTGTCTGTCCGTCCGTCTGTCTGTCTGTCTTTCTGTCTGTAGTCAAAGATCGAAACTGCCAAGCGAAATTTTGATACCTTCTAACTGACCGATTCATTTCAAACTTGGCACGTGGGTTAAGAGCCAATGACAATGCAATCTTTTTAGTTATTTAAATAGTAGTGTAGTATTACATATTTTAAGAAAACATACTTTTAGTGCATTATTACATACAATCTTGATATTAAAACGTTTTTGTACTTTTTTGAAATGTCTGTACGCGTTCCTTCACTGACTGACGCTACTCACCTGTAACGGTTGTGGGTGTGACGTAAGGTCTGGATGGACGTGACGTCATTACTCACCTGTAACGGTTGTGTGTGTGACGTAAGGTCTTGATGGACGTGACGTCATTACTCACCTGTAACGGTTGTGGGTGTGACGTTGGGTCTGGATGGACGTGACGTCATTACTCACCTGTAACGGTTGTGGGTGTGACGTTGGGTCTGGATGGAAGTGATCTCATATTCAGGTGAGTAGTGACCACACCACAGCTGGTGGAGAGGGCAACAATACAGGATCAAATCATTCTATGGTTACTATACAGTTTACCACGCGAGAAACATCAGCAACGACTAAACAAAAAAAAAGTCACCTGACTAAAAAAGTCACCTGACTAAAAAAAAGTCACCTGACTAAAAAAGTCACCTGACCAAATAAAAAGTCACCTGACTAAAAAAAGTCACCTGACTAAAAAACAGTCACCTGACTAAAACAAAAAGTCACCTGACTAAAAAAAAGTCACCTGACTAAAAAAGTCACCTGACTAAAAAAAAAGTCACCTGACTAAAAAAGTCACCTGACTAAAAAAAAGTCACCTGACTAAAAAAAAGTCACCTGACTAAAAAAAAAGTCACCTGACTAAAAAAAAGTCACCTGACTAAAAAAAAGTCACCTGACTAAAAAAGTCACCTGACTAAAAAAAAGTCACCTGACTAAAGCCAAGAAAAAACAGCTGGTCATCTGTCAGTTCTAGTCCTGGCAGGGCCTGTTCAGGTGACGTCACCGCGGTCTTGTAGGCCATGTAGCTGAACTTAAGGCCGCCATTGTCCGCGATGTTCTCACCGAGGTTCAGGGTACCACGCAGCTGTAAGTAAATGACGCCATTAGCTGTAAGTAAATGACGCCATTAGCTGTAAGTAAATGACGTCATTAGCTGTAAGTAAATGACGCCATTAGCTGTAAGTAAATGACGTCATTAGCTGTAAGTAAATGACGCCATTAGCTGTAAGTAAATGACGTCATTAGCTGTAAGTAAATGACGTCATTAGCTGTAAGTAAATGACGTCATTAGCTGTAAGGAATGACGTCATTAGCTGTAAGTAAATGACGTCATTAGCTGTATGTAAATGACGTCAGTAGCTGTTTGTAAATGACGTCATTAGCTGTATGTAAATGACGTCATTAGCTGTAAGTAAATGACGCCATTAGCTGTAAGTAAATGACGCCATTAGCTGTAAGTAAATGACGTCATTAGCTGTAAGTAAATGACGTCATTAGCTGTAAGTAAATGACGTCATTAGCTGTAAGTAAATGACGTCATTAGCTTTAAGTAAATGACGTCATTAGCTGTAAGTAAATGACGCCAACTGTAGTTGGTCAGTTTACCCTACCCTGATGTCCACCTACTCACATTTTGGCCTTGTACAGTGTAGCTGCTGTACTGATCGACCATGCAGTTGGCGTTTTGACCAAAGCCTTGAGCAGAAGCCTCGGTCCAAATGTTGCCAAGGTTACCGTCTTTGTCAAAGTTTCGACCCGTGCTGTCGAACCCGTGTGTGATTTCATGACCCAGCACCATCCCGATGGTGCCGTAGATGAAAGACCTGTTCGAGTTCACAATCAATTTGTTACAACCTAAATGTATGGTCTAACTACATTTCTATCATGGTCTCACTAAAGTTGTGTCAAGGTCTCACTAAAGTTGTGTCATGGTCTCACTAATGTTGGTCTCACTACAGTTGGTCTCACTAAAGTTGTGTCATGGTCTCACTAAAGTTGTGTTAAGTTATGGTCTCACTAAAGTTGTGTCATGGTCTCACTAAAGTTGTGTTAAGTCATGGTCTCACTAAAGTTGTGTCATGGTCTCATTAATGTTGGTCTCACTAATGTTGGTCTCACTAAAGTTGTGTCGTGATCTCACTAAAGTTGTGTCGTGGTCTCACTAAAGTTGGTCTCACTACAGCTGGTCTCACTACAACAGGATGTAGGACACTCACTGAGGGTAGCTGAGCGTGAAATATGGCGGCTGCAAGATGGCGGCCAGAACCACAATGTGGTTGTTGTACATGTCGTAGTAGGCGTTGACTTCATCCGGGCTCTTGTGCCACCTGCAGGATAACCACATGGGTAGAGTGGTGGCAAAACCACATCATTTGGTGGTGATACAACCACACCGTTTTGTGGTGATACAACCACACCATTTGGTGGTGGCAATACCACATCATTTGATGGTGGCAATACCACATCATTTGATGGTGGCAAAACCACATCATTTGGTGGTGATACAACCACACCATTTGGTGGTGGCAAAACCACATCATTTGGTGGTGATACAACCACACCGTTTTGTGGTGATACAACCACACCATTTGGTGGTGGCAATACCACATCATTTGGTGGTGATACAACCACACCGTTTTGTGGTGATACAACCACACCATTTGGTGGTGGCAATACCACATCATTTGATGGTGGCAATACCACATCATTTGATGGTGGCAAAACCACACCTTTTGGTGGTGGCAAAACCACACCATTTGGTGGTGGTGATACAACCACACCATTTGGTGGTGGCAAAACCACATCATTTGGTGGTGATACAACCACACCATTTGGTGGTGGCAAAACCACATCATTTGGTGGTGATACAACCACACCATTTGGTGGTGGCAAAACCACACCATACCATTTGGTGTGAGAAACAGATGTGAAATGACCTACACACGATCAACAAACGTAAAATGACCTACACACGATCAACAAACGTGAAATGACCTACACACGATCAACAAACGTAAAATGACCTACACACGATCAACAGACGTGAAATGACCTTCACACGATCAACAAACGTGAAATGACCTACTCCGATCTGTCGTAAGGCTTGCCGTATTTTTCCATCTCCTTCGCCACCTCGCTGAAAGACACGTTAAAAAAGTTGTAGAGAAACTCCCCGTCCTTGACCTCAATAGCCTGGTAGTACCCGTCCAAGGTCACCGGGTCTAGGATCCAGTCTGGGTAGCCTACGTTCTGCGTGATGGCGTTTCCTTTCTCAACCAACCGCTGTCTCGTGACGTCATCGAGCCACGTGACGTCATCAAGGTTTGCCACAAACTGTTTCTGGATCTCATCCAAGGTCGAGACGACCTAGATCATCGACAATCTTCACTTAATTAATGACCTTCTTCTATACAACTTTAATAAGGTTAATTATAATTAGCACTAATTAAGCCGATGTAGGTGTTTGAGTGTAAGTTATGTATTAATGATCTGCTTATTGGTTACACTGACCTTGGCCTTGCTGTCTGCACGGAAGTGACCTTGGACGTAGAGCGAGGAGAGGGCGAACCCCATGTGGGTTCGGGTTTTGAGGAGGCACCGCTCGTGCCTGGGGCTGAGTACCCCCACGCCCGAGATGGCACGCTGCAGCCCCAGACTGGCCTCGGAGAAAGTGTCGGGCAGGTAGTCGGCCGAGTGGATGACCAGTTGTAGCACCATATAGTTGGCTAGCACTCTGTCGTGGACAGCACATACATACGTGTACACAGTGGGGGAGAGTGCTTTAACAGTGGGGGAGAGTGCTTTAACAGCGGGGGAGAGTGCTTTAACAGTGGGGGAGAGTGCTTTAACAGCTCATTTAATAGTGGGCTAAGTTTGTCTATATGAGACTCGACATAAATAAACTACTAAGATATTTTTAATAATACCACTAAATCAAATGTTTTTTGTCATTATATTTTATTTCCAGCGTACCAAAATAAAATCTAAATCTAACAAAGTACAAAATCTTCTGACTAGCTTATATGGATATATATATATATATATATATATATATATATATATATATATATATATATATATATATATATATATATATATATATATATATATATATATATATATATATATATATATATATATATATATACATATATATCGCTTTTATACTCACTCTTTATCAGTGCTATCAATTATAGATTTTAATTTTTCAAAATAAAATTTAGTCGCCACTACCAGCTCGTCTTCGTCCTTGAACGTCCTGAGTTCGAATCTTTTGTTGAGGTAGTTTTTTACGTTCATCTGTAGACAGAACAATTTGTTTTACATTCATCTTTAGATAGAACGTACCAGAACAAACTGAAACATCACTGGTATAACGTACCACAAAAATTATGTCGAACCAAAACGTCTAGAACTTACCCATTGGCCGATTTTATTCTGGAATTCTTTGACTGAAAATTTGTTGTTCATACTGGCAGGGTTGATAAGGTCTTCTGGTTTTTCAAAAATCTGGGGAGAGGGGGGGGGAGGTTGTGGAGGATAGAAGGTGGTAGTGGTAGGATGTAGCGACGCCACTTGAATTGGTAGAACTAATAAAGGATTCGAAAATTTTTAAATATTCTCTTACATCTATATACTCCTTAATGTTTAAATCAATGTTTGTATTCATTTTGTTTTTACGAAACATTACACAGAATTCTTTTTTTTTTGTCGTAAAAAGGAGAGAGATGGTGACATGATTAGATGGTGACATAATTAGATAGTATCGTGACTATATTGTTATACGATTAGATGGTGACATAATTAGATGGTGACACAATTAGATGACTATATTGTTATACGATTAGATGGTGAAATGATTGGATGATAGCAAAACTTATCCCTTTGAATAAGACCGGATGTGTATACCGCGTGCTATCGTCCTTGACAGTACTTACTCCTGCTAGACGTTTCTCAAACTCGGCCACCTCCGTCATCTTCCGTCTGACATGCGCCTGGGTCCCACCCAACAGCTGGCCGAGCTGGACATAGGTGTCCAGTAGGGCCGTGAAGTAGGCAGAGTTGTTGTACATGGCGAACGTCAGCAAAACGCCTGACTGGCTCAGCTGTCAAATACATCAGATTCGATTACAACTGTCGGATCAAATACATCACATTCGATTACAACTGTGGGTCTTTAAGGGAAATCACAATCGATTACAACTGTGGGATCTTCTGGGGAAATCAGATTCGATTACAACTGTGCGATCTTCAATATAAAATCAGATTTCCTCATCCGATCAAGTTGACATGAAAACAGAAAATCTTTCGTCTAGTGAGTAATGTTTCATCAAACACCAACAGATGCTCTACCTACAAACAACGGCGTAGTTGTGGGGTGGGGGTGGGGAAGCTGAACCAGGGGCCAATGTTTCTATCAGACCGCCACACACAAACAGGTGCTCTAACTACAAACAGAGGCGTCGTTAGGGGTGGGGTAAATCTTTCTATCAGACCCCCACACACACACACAAACAGGTGCTCTAACTACAAACAGATGCATCGTTAGGGGTGGGGTAAATCTTTCTATCAGACCCCCCCCCCCCCCCACACACAGATGCGCCACCTACAAAGAGGACGTGTTTTGTGCTGTTCTCGAAATCTTTCTTGACGTTGAGCTTGAAGAGGGGGTTGATGTCGTACTGGTGCAGGTATACCAGGGAGTTCTCCAGGCTCCAGGTCGTGTTGACCCACTTGGTCAGCCCTGTAGTGCTCACCGTCCAGGAGCCCATCTGATCTATCATCTGGGGGGGGGGGGGGATACAGGAACCAGGTCAGTTCAACGCAGTACATTTGTACAATATAGTCTACGATTATATATATAAAACTACGCAAGACCAGCAAGTGTTATACTTTGACTCACCTGCAAGAGTCGAGTGACTCCTTGAGATTTTATGTTCGACTCATTCATACACGATCTGTACAAGGCCTTGACCTTAGCAATGGCGCTTGAACTTCGACCCTGAAGGTCCACCCCAGGAGACTCTAAAATCTTAAAAGAAACATATTTTCATCGTTTATGGTCGTATTCAGTCGATATCCACAAGCTTACAAGCACAGAATGGCACGATGATTGTTGTTTGATTACCACGTTCCGACCTAACAGCTAAATACTGTTGGCCTTTGAAAATATTTTTGTGATAAAATCTATTTTGTGAAGTTTATCTTAAAATTAACTTTGAATGTTTTCATCCATTGTTTGGCGAATAACCTTCAGCAGAAGAAAGACGATGTTCTAGTCAACAATGTTCTAGTCAACAATGTTCTAGTGAACAATGTTCTCGTCAACAATGTTCTAGTCAACAATGTTCTAGTCAACAATGTTCTAGCAAACAATGTTCTAGTCAACAATGTTCTAGTCAACAATGTTCTAGTCAACAATGTTCTAGTCAAGTCAACAATGTTCTAGTCAACAATGTTCTAGTCAACAATGTTCTAGTCAACAATGTTATAGTCAATGTTCTAGTCAACAATGTTCTAGTCAACAAAGTTCTAGTCAACAATGTTCTAGTCAACAATGTTCTAGTCAACAAAGTTCTAGTGAACAATATTCTAGTCAACAATATTCTAGTCAACAATGTTCTAGTCAACAATATTCTAGTCAACAATGTTCTAGTCAACAAAGTTCTAGTCAACAATGTTCTAGTCAACAATATTCTAGTCAACAAAGTTCTAGTGAACAATATTCTAGTCAACAATATTCTAGTCAACAATGTTCTAGTCAACAATATTCTAGTCAACAATGTTCTAGTCAACAATGTTCTAGTCAAGTCAACAATATTCTAGTCGACAATGTTCTAGTCAACAATGTTCTAGTCAAGTCAACAATGTTCTAGTCAACAATGTTCTAGTCAACAATGTTCTAGTCAACAATGTTCTAGTCAACAATGTTCTAGTCAACAATGTTCTAGTCAAGTCAACAATATTCTAGTCAACAATGTTCTAGTCAACAATGTTCTAGTCAAGTCAACAATGTTCTAGTCAACAATGTTCTAGTCAACAATGTTCTAGTCAACAAAGTTCTTGTCACCTCCTGGAAGATCTGGTTATTTTTAGCAGCCAGTTCGTCGGCCGTGTCCCACTTGTTCTTGTCTAGGGGTCGCCGTGACTTTTGGAGCCACCCCCCACAGGCGTACAGATACATGTCCTGGCAGGGGTCGACGCTCTGGTTCATCTTGTCCAGGATGTAGGCGCTGGTCCCCACACATGTGGGGGTCATACAGATCTGGGGGGTAGAAGTCAGTGGAACGGTGAGGTTTATGGGCTAGAGAATTCTTCAAACACAGCAACATACGTGACACGGATATGTGACATAGCAATACGACTGTTTCGGTGCCTTTCGTGCAAGGTAGTTTTATTAAGCCAAATCTTCGCAACACGAATTTAAGGGCCTCTAAATTTTGTTTTACAAAAGATAATTTTAAGATGACTTTTAATCGTACAACTAAAATGTCAACCTGAATGTTTCAATCACAAGCTTTCTTTTTTTTTCATTTAGGACGCCGTGGCCTTAAGGTAAAGCATACGATTCGAGTTCGAATCCCGGCTTATTGTCAACAGAACCTCCCAGAGTGCATCCAGCTGTCTGGGGAACGGAAAGGCGGCTGGGCATAGTGTTGACCACGCTATCCCTTCAAATTTCGAGATCGCTGAAACACGTGAACTCTACTCTACCTGCCACACTCAACCTACCAAACTTTACTCAACCTACCAAACTGTACTCAACCTACCAAACAAAAATCGCCCAAATATGAGTTCTTCCCCGTGAAATGATTTTTAAAGCAGCTACTCTCTAGTGTGAATATCCTCTGTCATCACTTCTTGCTTGAACGTTGTTTACTTTCAGCGACTCTACTTCAAATAACAATTTTCTTCCGATACACTAACGGTTTCATCTATAGCCAGCTAAAAACCTCAAACTAAACCTCCTAAATACAACCTAGAGAAACCTGTTTATGTTGCCGCTTGTGTTTATAAACTGATCCGGATAACTGCCGCGGAAAAAAATGAACAGGTAGCTCTTTAGACACAGTGCTTCCGATTTTAATGATTTTAATGGGGTCCCAATTTTGCTCTGGAATGGCCTTGTTTTTTCGAAATTTTGTTTTTTTATTTTTACATTTGTTTTACCAGTGACTGAATGTTTTAATGAAGTCGTGTTTTATTTAATTAGATGTTTTAATGTACACTTACATGGGATAATTTCCTCCAATTACCTCATGTTTAGACAGTTGCACCTACACGCAGCTGTCATTTTTTACGTCAGAAATTGGCTATTTACCGTGAGATATGCATCGCATGATACAAATGTTGCTACAAAATGTTGCTACAAAAGTCCCTACAAAATGTTGCTACAATAGGTCGCTACAAATGCTGCTACAAATGTTACTACAAAATGTTGCTACAAATGTTGCTACAAAATGTTGCTACAAAATGTTGCTACAAAATGTTGCTACAAAATGTTGCTACAATAGGTCGCTACAAATGCTGCTACAAATGTTGCTACAACTGTTGCTACAAATGTTGCTACAAAATGTTGCAACAAATTGTTGTACAGAATGCCTCTACAAAATGTCGCTACAAAAAGTCGCTACAAATGTTGCAACAAATTGTTGCAGCAAATTGTTCTACAGAATGTCCCTACAAAATGTTGCTACAAAATGTTGCTACAAATTTTGCTACAAATGCTGCTACAAATGTTGCTACAAACTTTTGCTACAAATTGTCGCCCCAATCAAACACGTTGCCTTAATGCCTGACTATGGAGCACTCCCCCCCCCCCCCCCACACGTGAGTTGCTATTGTTCTAGCTGTAGTGCTGACCCACATCTGTTAAGGCGGGAGCTTATTTGGATGACGTTAACAATAGAAGAGCTCGCGTATCAACATATGAGAGTGTACTGGGGGGGGGGGGGGGGACCACAATTTAAATCCGCGTCGGCTGTTATCACTAGTTTATAATAGGAATATCGTTGTCAGTCATATCAGAAGAAAAGAATTATTTATTTATTTATTTTTAGCTTTCTATAGATTTGCATTTAGAATCCGAGTAAATAAAGTTAATTAGGTTCAGTATTATTTGAAAAATTAATTAGCATTCAATTAAAAAAAATGTCTTAAAAAAACACCGTGATATTTATTTTAATTGACGTTTCTGATATTTAACTAATTAAGACTGTTATTGTTAGCCTTTACCGACGTCAGAGTGTGTGTCTCTCTGCCTGTCCGTCCGTCTGTCTCTCCATCTATCTTTTCTTCTGTCCATCCACCCATTTGTCTCTGTGTCCGTCTGTCAGTCTTTGTTTGCCTGTTTATTGGTATATTTTTCTGTGTTTAAGTTTGTCTGTTCGTCTGTTCGTCTGTTTGTCTTTCTCTATTTGCCATCCTGTTCATGTGACTGTATGACTGTTTGTCTGTTTGTCTGTTTGTGTTTGAGTGGATTTTCTGTCAAATATTATAATTGAAATTCGATCCACTTCCGATTCAGGAATTTTGATATTTTAAAATAAAAATTTCTCTGCCAAGACAGCGCAATAATAGCTAATTGTTTCAATCAAATTAGATGTTTTATTCGCAATAAAAAATATTGTATAGATTACACCATTCAGTATTAAAAAAATCACTCATCAGTCGTGTGAGTGAGGTGAGTTTTGTTTTCACATCTGCGAGCTGTCAGATAACTGTCATTTAAAATGTAAGTAAAAGCTGAATAAAACAGTTCAAGTAGTATGCAATTGTTATACTTTATGTGACAAAGTTACCAAGAAGATAACCTCGCCCATCCACACCCTTGAAACATACACAAAACTCGGCTTCCGTTTAACCCCCTCCCCCTTTTCTCAATTTGATATTATAAAGAAGGGGTGGGCGTGGTGGGAACTAGATTTGTGCTGTGCAGTGCAGTTGACATACCATTTTCCAACTGAAGACTTGGTCGCCTAGTATGTTGCTTTTTTAAAAGATTGTTCCAAGCGCTGGCTAGCAGAATCGAGAGTATAGCAGCTTACAAGTAGGTTTTGGGTTCAGGAACGATTAGAAATAGTTTTGTTTGTTTAGCTTATAGTGCCCATGGAATTAATGCTATAAGTTCAAACGCTTTATATCTTAGTTATGGTTAAGGGTTAGAGTTAGGGGTTATTAGGGTTAGGGTTTGAGTTTAGTGGTTAAGTGTTAGTGGTTATGGTTAGGGGTTAGGGGTCAAGGGCTAAGGGCTAGGGGCTACGACTAAGGTTAAATATGGATAAATGGTGTATATATATATATATATATATATATATATATATATATATATATATATATATATATATATATATATATATATATATATATACATATATATATATATATATATACTTCTTGTGATGTTGATAAAAGCGAAGGGTAGGGAGTGGCGCTACAGAGAAGGTCGTCCCAATTACTGGGCTTGTGAATTGACCTACATAATAATAACGTATTCGCTGAATGGCCGGAGTTCTACGATAGGGGGGGGTGGGTGGATGTGGGTGGGTGGTAGGGGAGGGAAGGGGTGGATAACTTGTGGAGAATGTTGACGCCGTTTGTAATTTGGTATTTGGAGGGCGGAGAGAAATGGGTTTGGGCAATGTTTAATTATAGCTGCACCCTGCAATACCACGGGTGACGTCACACAGACCACAATATATGTATACCTTCATGATATACACACAAAAAACCGGGAGTGATCTCCTCTAAATATTCTCGAATATTCTTATATAACACTACGGGGATGGCAACTCGGGATATGGACATGATTTTTAATCCATTTTTAATTACTTGAACTTTTAAAATATAATAGAATCTCGTAGAAAAAAGAATTGCGCACCAAGTGATCGCCAAACAATATGTAGATAATAGAGCAGAATATTAATAGTACTTTAGAAATTCACATGCGTTTTTTGAGAAATCGGAAATAGCGTAAAGTAATACTTTCGATCTTAAACAGTACTCAAGTTTTCGTGTTCACACAAAAATAGAGTGAAGAACCACTTCCGTTTACCGGAAATCTCTCAAAAGTTGATAGTAACCATTGTGTTACCGATTTGTGAAATTTCATTCACCTAAATAGGTGCTCCACTTATTGACTTTTGAGAAACCGGAAGCAGAGTAACTACGACTTCCGGTTAACGGAAATCTCTCAAAATTGACAGGAAATTACGAATTCTATATAACACTTGTATAGGAAATGTTGTAAATACCCACTGAAGCGGTGATCAAGTTATTATGTTCACAAACACATACACACAGACACATACACAGACATACATACAGACATACACACAGACACATACAAACACATACACACAGACACATACACAGACATACATACAGACATACACACAGACAAGTGGAAAAAATTGCAACCCCAAGCCCTGCTAGTTATGGCCTACCCACCAACTGAAACAACCAATTACCTGCGACCTAATCTACAGGTCTATCAACTAATGACCTAATCTACAGGTCTATCAACTAATGACCTAATCTACAGGTCTATCAACTTATGACCTAATCTACAGGTCTATCAACTTATGACCTAATCTACAGGTCTATCAACTTATGACCTAATCTACAGGTCTATCAACTAATGACCTAATCTACAGGTCTATCAACTAATGACCTAATCTATAGGTCTATCAACTTATGACCTAATCCACAGGTCTATCAACTTATGACCTAATCTACAGGTCTATCAACTAATGACCTAATCTACAGGTCTATCAACTTATGACCTAATCTACAGGTCTATCAACTTATGACCTAATCTACAGGTCTATCAACTTATGACCTAATCTACAGGTCTATCAACTAATGACCTAATCTACAGGTCTATCAACTAATGACCTAATCTACAGGTCTATCAACTAATGACCTAATCTACAGGTCTATCAACTAATGACCTAATCTATAGGTCTATCAACTTATGACCTAATCCACAGGTCTATTAACTTATGACCTAATCTATAGGTCTATCAACTTATGACCTAATCCACAGGTCTATCAACTTATGACCTAATCTACAAGTCTATCAACTAATGACCTAATCTACAGGTCTATCAACTAATGACCTAATCTACAGGTCTATCAACTTATGACCTAATCTACAGGTCTATCAACTAATGACCTAATCTACAGGTCTATCAACTTATGACCTAACACAGGTCTATCAACTAATGACCTAATCTACAGGTCTATCAACTTATGACCTTATCTACAGGTCTATCATCTAATGACCTAATTTACCAGTCTATCAACTAATGACCTAATCTACAGGTCTATCAACCAATGACATAACACAGGTCTATCAACTAATGACCTAAGACAGGTCTATCAACCAATGACCTAATCTATAGGTCTATCAACCAATGACCTAATCTACAGGTCTATCAACCAATGACCTAACATAGGTCTATCAACCAATGACCTAATCTACAGGTCTATCAACCAATGACCTAACATAGGTCTATCAACCAATGACCTAACTCACAGGTGTATCAACCAATGACCTAACATAGGTCTATCAACCAATGACCTAACTCACAGGTGTATCAACCAATGACCTAACATAGGTCTATCAAACAATGACCTAATCTACAGGTCTATCAACCAATGACCTAACATAGGTCTATCAACCAATGACCTAACATAGGTCTATCAACCAATGACCTAATCTACAGGTCTATCAACCAATGACCTAAAACAGGTCTATCAACCAATGACCTAACATAGGTCTATCAACCAATGACCTAACACAGGTCTATCAACCAATGACCTAATCTACAGGTCTATCAACCAATGACCTTACACAGGTGTATCAACCAATGACCTTACACAGGTGTATCAACCAATGACCTAACATAGGTCTATCAACTAATGACCTTACTCACAGGTCTATCAACCAATGACCTTACCTGCCGCCCGTCCTTACTCCTGGCGACGCCATCTGACGTCTGCCCACCGAGGCGGACCCCGACAACGACGAGGGCGATGACGAGGGCGATAACGACCACCCCGAGCACGATGGCCAGGACCTTCAGTGCGCAGGATCCACCCATGCACGTGCTTTTCGTGCCGTCCTCAACCAGCGATAAGCTGCCTTTAACCATGTCCGAGAGGTACTCACTCCAACGTCTGACTAGACGAGGTTACTGTCCGTGAGTGCCATCCAGTGACGACCCGCTCTAGGCGGAAGGTAAGCGTCAAGTGCTCGCTGCACGCCGCTGGCCTGAGATCTAGGCTACACTAGGCCAGCCTGTAAGTGGGGCGGGTGTGGGTTGCTCACACTGGACTGGTGGGGGGGGGGGGAGGTTAGCGGGGTTACATTTTTGGGTTAGTGGCTGGTTAGTGGAGGGTAAGTGGCTGGTTAGTGGAGAGTTAGTGGCTGGTTAGTGGCTGGTTAGTGGAGAGTTAGTAGCTGGTTAGTGGCTGGTTGAGTGGCTGGTTATTTGAGGGTTAGTGGCTGGTTAGTGGAAGGTTAGTGGAGGGTTAGTGGAGGGTTAGTGGAGGGTTAGTGGAGGGTTAATAGCTGGTTAGTGGAGGGTTAGTGGCTGGTTAGTGGCTGGTTAGTGGAGGGTTAGTGGCTGGTTAGTGGAGGGTTAGTGGCTGGAAGTCCTACAGTATTAGGAGTTTTGCAAAATTTCCCGACAAAATTGAGAGAAAACTCTGGAAATCAAAAAAATTGAAAAGAAAAAAAAATTCTTACGAAATTTCGATTTTTTAAGACAGAGCCATAACATGTGGCATTTTAACAGCAGAAATTAGGGAAATAGAAAATACCTGAATTATACTTGAAACTATTATCGATACAATTCTCTATTTAGGTAAACAGGGATTGGCGTGCGTGTGTGTGTGTGTGTGATATTTCATATATAAGTATAACATCAAATTTATAGTTCTGTATTAACTTTTTAGCAATTTCCAGTCACCGAAAGTGGAACTTATTTTACTTTCCAAAAGCCTATAACTTGAGTACTGTCTCAGACTAAATTTCACATATATAAGTAAAACATCTTCTGTCAAATTTTGAGTATTTTCCATTTACCGGAAGAAGTACTTTTCGCTATTCCCAATTTCTCAAAAAACGCATATGAATTTATAAAGTACTAATATTCCGCACTATTATAAACATAGTGTTTGCTGTTCACTTAGTGCGCAATGCTTTGTTCTACCATATTCTGTTCTACACGTCAGTGTGTTACACACCAACGAGGCACTGTGTAAACATCACTCGCTTTATAAATGCCCTTTTGTACGAGAAGGTTTCTAAAAATACCCTCACGGTTAAAATAAACAGCATCCGGTAATTATGAAATCATAATGTCATAATGTCGGTTTTTTCTCTCGTTGTTTCGTATATATATATATATATATATATATATATATATATATATATATATATATATATATATATATATATATATATATATATATATATATATATATATATGAATGTTTCCTTTCCTAATCCATAATTTTAACGTAATGCGAATCTTTAACAGTAACCTGCAGACAAACTTAAACTTAAAACCCATACCGAATTTGCGAATACCAAACATTACATACAGATAGATTAAGTGTAACCATAACCCAACTTAACAATCAACATTTGCGATTCGAGAAAAATACATTCAAGTGTCGTGATTTAGAATGAAAGAGAATTGACGGAGTTTTATATAGGCCTAATTGTAAGAGTAATTTACACGTCGAGTGATAAAGTTTAAATACGGATGGGTTTAAGATTTATTTTGTGAATTAGCAGCATATATACTTTTTACCATGCGGGTATTCTAAATACAATTTTTCGTCAAAAGTTTATGCTCTAAGTTATCGCCCTTCTTCGAAAACTAAAAATAAAATAACATTTTCTTTAAAGTTATTTAGGTCAAGTTAAGGTAGGGTTGAAACGTCTGATGTTAAGAAAAATTAGCAAAATCAAGCTTAATGAATCTTAATTAAATTGGATGGTGAAAATGTTTGTTTGGCGTTAGATACGCTTCCTTTTGATTAATACCTCCCGCTAATTGGGTCACGTGTTCGTGGAACATCTGATTATCAACACACTCATACGTGACACAATCAGTGCTCAACATCGTCAAGGTTTGTTGATATTACTCGCACTTATCTCGTCCCGTGGGGGGGGGGGGGGTGGGGGGAATTAACCCGGGGGATGGGGGGGGGCATGCCATAGATCAGATGAAGCTTGGGCATGCTGACAACATGAGGTTTATGTACACATGATGGACTGCAGGTCAAATCTTGACTTGGACTTCAAATCTTGACTTGGACTTCAAATCTTGACTTGGACTTCAAATCTTGACTTGGACATCAAATCTTGACTTGGACATCAAATCTTGACTTGGAGTTCAAATCTTGACTTAGAGCATAAATCTTGACTTGAAGCGACTTGGACTTTGGTAGACTAAACCAAAAAAAAAATTCATTTTGAGACGAGTCATTCGAAACACACCAAAAAAGATATGGAGTTCTTTCGTCGGCATGAAGCTAGTTGCACACATCAGAGACTTGATCGAACAGGAAGTTTTCACTAAGGAAACACGGCATTAGTCCAAGCATCATATGGCTGTCAAAAGGAAATGTGAATCGTGTTTTTGAACTGAAAGATGTAAACAAGTTCTTTGGAGTGCAATGGAAACAAGACCTTTTGATATACTTTAAGAAGTGGTTGGACAGTGTAGCATACCTAGCAAAGACGTTTTGATATACTTTAAGAAGTGGTTGGACAGTGTAGCATACCTAGCAAAGACGTTTTGATATACTTTAAGAAGTGGTTGGACAGTGTAGCATACCTAGCAAAGACCTTTTGATATACTTTAAGAAGTGGTTGGACAGTCTAGCATACCTAGCAAAGACCTTTTGATATACTTTAAGAAGTGGTTGGACAGTGTAGCATACCTAGCAAAGACGTTTTGATATACTTTAAGAAGTGGTTGGACAGTGTAGCATACCTAGCAAAGACGTTTTGATATACTTTAAGAAGTGGTTGGACAGTATAGCATACCTAGCAAAGACCTTTTGATATACTTTAAGAAGTGGTTGGACAGTCTAGCATACCTAGCAAAGACCTTTTGATATACTTTAAGAAGTGGTTGAACAGTGTAGCCTACCTAGCAGATATATTCAAACACAAAATAGGCTTAACCTGAAGCTTCAGGGAAAACAAACGAATATTATCTCTTTTTTTTATCAAAGCTGCAAAGAAAAATAAATCTTGGAAATTTCCATGTCTGAGGAACAGAGGTGTAGCGATGGGGGGAGGGGGGGGCAGGGGGGTACATATGTCCCCGGGCGCCGACCTTAGGGGGCGCCAAAATGGGTTGTATAAACAAATTAAAATGTAATTTTAGCTGCATTTTTGCATTATAAACAGTTTGAGGGGGGTGCAAATCAAAAGTTTGAGGGGGGGGGGTGCATATCGAAAGTTTGAGGGGGGGGGGGGGTGCAAATCAAATTTGCTCCCGAGGGGGGCGCCAAATTGAAAGTTTGTCCCCGGGCGCCTGGAAGGGTCGCTACGCCTCTGCTGAGGAACTCGGCAGTGTGGTAGATGAATCTGTGAGATAAATAAAAAGACTTCTGGGCATCTTGAATCTCTTAATATAACAAATATAAAAAACATTTAGCACGCTTTTTTAAATGCACTGAAAATTTGCTTTTTTTCATAAAAGCTTTGGTTGCTAAAATACGTGAAAGATCTCATAAAAGAAAGCAAATCAGTTTTAATGTTCTTATTTTCAGTGCATTTAAAAGCTTCCTATTAGAAAGGTTTTTTATATTGATTTTCTACTTTTCAGTAATTCATAATCTATAATAATCTATATCTCCCATGCTGCAACTAAAAATATTTGCTTCAAAACACTATCAGTAACTCGTGAAAGATAATTATCCCCCCCCCCCCCGGAAAAGCAGCCATTGTGACGACAGTTTACAGACGACAGCAACCAGATCAAGTAGATCTTATTACCTCCCCTAGTTTCAGATTATTAAAAACTTTATTATCTCCCCCTAACAGCCTTCACTAAATCGACCGTCTCTACAATTGTAAATATTCTCGTGAACCACAGCTCACCAGACTGTTAAGGCAATCGCGTCTAGCTATTTAACTCCCCTTCTGTTATTGAATATAGTAATATATGGAGTGATTTAATTGTGTTATCTCCCCTTAGTTTCGAAACAGTTCAGTTGATTTTTAATGACTAATTAAACATCTAGTTCAATTAAAAATTTTTAGACTTATATTCTCATGGAAGTGGAAATGTGTCAAAATTGAGTTACAAGATTTGCCACAAACTCACAAACAAACAAACAAACGTTTTAAAATCTTGTAAAAACGAACTGCGGTGTTATTTCCCTGATCTGAAAGAAGAAGAATCTGCATTGACACGTAAACCATTCTCTGCTTCCCTTGATGTTGCCAGCATTCCCGATGAATTACAAGATGAATTCTTGGATTTGCAGGATGATTCCGCGTCACGTAAAATATTTAATGAAAAACTGCTCACACAATGTTGGTGTAGTATACACCATCCATACCCAAACGTGACTTTGATTGCCTTTTGAGTTTTAGTTCCTTTTCTGTACATATCTTTGCAAGAGAGAATTTTCAACGCTTCTTCAATCAGTGTTTCTTCCAGACTTTTTTCTCCGGAGGGGGGGGGGGGGGAGTTGAAATTTTCGGGGGGGGGGGGGGCGGTAGACTTTCTTCGGGGGGGGGGGGCGGACACTGTTAAAAGTATATATTTTCTATATAAATTACATTTCATTTCGTTCGGGGGGGGGGGGGGGGCGGAAAAAAAACGTCGCCACACCAAAACGTTTGGGAACCTTTGATGTAGAGACAGACTATAAAAGGGGGTCGCCACTCGAAAAAGTTTGGAAACCCCTGATGTAGAGACAGACTATAAAAGGGGGTCGCCATTCGAAAAAGTTTGGGAACCCCTGATGTAGAGAGACGAAAGAAAATTTTCCCACGCCCAGAGTTGTCTTTCCTAATTGTTCTCCCCCTTGCCGCACCCCGTTACGCCATCCGTCTGATGATCTGTATATTTATCTGACTCACAACATGAGCCACATGGCTCTCTTCCAACCGGAAGTTTATCTCATGGGGCACGCCCCTTTTTTTTATAAGGACCATTCACATAGCTGTTTGCGCTCTAGGTTGTACGCAAAGTATTTTT